ATGAAGTTCAGAAATTTGGAAATTTCAATCATGCTTCCCCTAAGTCGCTGTGGTAGCCCTCTCCCCTTAAGAAGGGCTAAAAGTCCAGCGCACGACGTGTTGATGGCTCCAAGGACTGTTATTGCCACCATGTGGTCGGCGGCTGAGGGTCCTAATGCTGTAATGACTGCGCCAATGATCACTTGCACCATTGTGAGCAAATTGAAAACAAAGCTGCTAAGCCCATATTGCACTTTCAGATGCCTTTTTTTCAGGATAAGCTTTCTTCGTAAATCGGATGTCGCGGCCATGTATGCTTGGTAAACATGCTGCTCTTCCTGGGAGGTTTGTGATGAAGGCTGATGAGGCTCAGACATGGCACCTTTTAGGAGTCAAGTTTTGGTCTGGAGAACAAGAGACCTTAGGAATAATTTATAGGTATCTGCGCGAGTCCTCTTCATCCATCGTTTTCAAGTTTTTTCTCCTCTGTCGTATTGGAAACATCCGTTAAAGTTCGATTCATACCTTGGGACATCTTGAAATGGAACCGCTATCTCTCTTTTTATTGTTCTAGACTTCTCCAAACTACATAGGCAATTAAACTTACATGTACAGGCACTTTGTTGGTAGAGCCTGAAGTCATACCTATTACCTGAATAGCGGATCTGGTGGAAAAGACATTCTGAACTGTACAACCAGATATTCTTCTCATTAAAAACATCTGCAATGATATGTGTCGCTTTTCCCAATAGGATATCTCGACTTGGTCTGTTGAACTACTAGTAAGTAGAGAAGTCCACATAAAAGTTTCAATGTGACCTATACTTCGCTTAGACATCGAATTGATACTGCTTCAAATTGTTGTTGAACTTGTTTCTGGGGCAGTAGATCATTTAGTCAATTTTCATTATCGAACGTGAAAACAAAGAAAGCGAAATCCAAGATTTTTCAACACACTGCAAAATCAAATTGGAACCCGTTTGATCTTCCTCTCGCATGCTTTTGTCTGTAAACTTCGAAATCAGGGGCTGTGTATTGTTAGTTGTCCAAGTAGTAGGAAACCAATTACAAAAGGCACTCACCGATACTGTAGATTGCCCCCTGAGTTATTGATATGCTCAGCCAGATTCACATCTCTGTCAGCATAATCATTCCCAAAATCTCCCCGGAGCTTAGCGCGTAGCACAGGCACATTCTGCTGGCCCTCAATACCGAATCTCACATCATATGCTTCCTCAGTAAAATCATGCCCACCCCATTTGAAAAAGCCCTGGTGTTATATTAGTATCGGATCTAATACGTGAGCTTATACAAAACACCTACATGTTCGTCTCCAAGGACATCATCCAGACGTATTTCGCTTCTTCTGTATTCCCACGGGCGCTCATTGAATCTGCATTCGCCATATAGGTAGGTGTCCGCACCATCAGAGCGAATGCCAAGGTTCCTTGTTCCGTTCATGTTGAAAGGCCCGTTCCTTGAATTGAGCTATTGTAAAAATTGAATTGTTCAAGTATTGGATTAACGTAAGTTGGAATAAATATTTAATGACCTTCTTCGATGAATCTATGTGGGTTTTATACATTAATTGATGGCAAAATTTCGAAATGCTTTTCTAATCTTCACTAGTGGTGATGCAACACTCAACCTTAATTTTGGACATATGGGAAGCCTTTTACTGTTCTTACACTTCCATACGTACCAGTTGGAGATAATAACAAGGATTAAATCGCACATTATATTTGAGCCAGTCTAGCCATGTCTGAAGTCAGGAGTCGATAGTCTAGAACTTCTCCGGACCGCTCGAGTAGCAGGCTACCGGATATACCACAAAACACCCATTCAAATGTTCAAATGTCCCAACCCAAATGATGGCGTGACGCTCTAGACAAATAACTCTAGACATGTGCGGCTGTCAATTTACGTGATAGTGTTCCCGAGTCTCGGCCAGCCCCGAACCATACCTTCCTCTTTGGGATGAACCACTCATGAAGTCACGGGTCAGCAGACACAATATGCCGTATGGTGTTATCCGTTTGCATTTTGCATCACGAGCTAAAAATTCTTGGCAGTTTCTTCTTTTTCTCGGTTCTCATCAAGAATGCCAAGAAAGAATGACTGGCTCAAAAGGCCGTCGAATGAGCTCTTATGCTTTGATGATGCGAGTGGTCTGGCTGCTTTGTTTTGGTCCGTGCTGAGATCATGATGCCTGGGAACCTGGAAACGCAGTTCGTATACGTTGTCTCCGTCGTACTTTTGGCCAGCAGCTGCGTGAGTCCGTGAACTGCACCGACTTGAATGGAACATTTCACGCTTTCGGGTTTGAATTTTTACCAGCTTCTCACCCTTGGTCGCGCGACTGAAAAGTAGCCATCACCTGTTTCTCCACCGGGTTGAACCACCTTCTCCGCCAGCACGGGCGTAAGGTGCACGGCATGGCTAAAACGCGGAGAATGGCCGGGTGGGGTTCGCCGAGTGGGGTTCGCCGAGTGGGGATAGGATGAGCGCCGCTTCAGCGTCGCGCGATCTGGGGTGAGAAGGGTGAGTGCGCAATCAGCAGGGTTCGTACTAGGCAACAAATCACCACTCTGCGCAAGCTAGCCAACTACAAACAAGGAAGCATAACCAAACAGTCGTAGACGATTTCAGAATATGTTGTATTGAAGTCCCTTTGTATTTTACCAAGGTTTCCAAGGCACCTTTGCTCACGTAGAAGGCGCCGGAGAGGATTATGTCTTTATGATTGGTACACCACCATATTCTGGGCGTCTGTGGGTAGCACCAAATGTTTCCTTGCGCACAAGGCGGAGGTTGAATACATGCATAGTGGGAGCTGCAAGACCAATAAGTATGCCTAGCTTCACCATCGTGCCGGAGAGTTCGGCAACGCTAGACCTCTCACCCGCCCGCGGGCCGACCATTTCTTTCCATTGCCTGCCCTCTGAGGGCGGCTCGCGGGTAGTTTCGAGGGCCGACAAACAGGGGAAATCTAGAAATATGCAGATTACAGCTGTTTCTGCATTGAATTGGTGAGTATTTATAGCGAACTATCCAGGATTTTGTATAGATTAAATTATTTAGCTATTCTAGACTATTCATTATTAAATCCGTCTAGCCCGATAAGAAAAAATGAGGATTTGGGGGTGTAATTTATTTTTCTGGGTTCGCCGCAAAAAAATAGAGATCAACTCATTACCACATTTGACTCGGAATAGAACTCCGGGCTCCTTTCTGGTCTTCTTTGAGTATCCCACCATGATTCCTTTTACACTCTCGCCGATCCTGGTACTCGCCGGTATATCCACGTGACGTGGCCCATGCGGTAATCTTGTCAAGTTCTTTTCGAATGTCTTCAGGAAGCATTTTGAATTCTTGATCAGGTCTGGGTCTCCGTCTGAGAAGAAGAGAAATGGCAAATCAGAAGTGCGCCCTGTGGGCAGATTTATAAGTCTATGGTGACGTGAGGGGTGAGAACGGGTGAGATCCATCGCTGGTTTAACAGTCGAGGCTTCTTAGAAATTGACCGCGTATAATATGTGGCTACATAAATTGTGAGCATTATTCAATACAGTCGGATAAAAACATCAGGCGAAACTCAAAATTAAGTATAAAAAAAGGTTAAAAAAATGAAAATTGAACATACAACAGCAGGGATTCGCATGTGGTCACCCACCATACTACTAACCTGCCGGCGTGTGGCTTAGGTACGGCTGAGCGGACGGGAAGCCCTGTTCTCCACACCCTATGGTCGTATGTACTGATTTTCAGATGAAAATAGGTATATATCCATAATAATCCCCCTGCACGGCAATGCCGGGTGGAGAGACATGAAGAGACTCGTTAAAGAGAACGAGCAAGTACGAGCGAGTATTTGATTTGCGTGTATACCTTTTCCGCAAAGCTTCATTGGTGTCTCCCTCCCATAGGAAGGATTCCTCCCACCAGACCCACACAACGGATGGGTCTGGAGACTCAGAGAGGACGATATATATGGAAGACCACGCGAGGACACAAAGCCGCGTGGGATATGTAGTAGTATCACATTTTTCTTGCTTCGTTTAATGTCGTCTTGCAACAAACCGTATGTACTACTACTTCTCTATTCGAACTGATGATTTCCAATCCCTCTAAGCTTCCCGTCGCTCTATATCGATAAAAGTTGTACCCAAGGCTGTCCTCAATGTCGTCACCCTTCACAAATTTTGCAACCTACAAACTGTTAGAATGGGTCAGAACTCTCACCCTTTTTCACCCACATTCACCCCAAGGGAAAATCCAACGCTGGGTAAATGACTTCCACATCTCAAGTCGACGCCTCATTTTAAATTGTTTCTGTTCTAGCCAATTTACACATAGTAATTAACACCAGAATATGTATAGCTAGTTAATGCAAACATCGATGTTTTGGTCGCATGCATACGAATTTGAATTTGGCCCCATGTACGCAGATCATGCCGGATTTGAGCTTATAGTGTGACTTGTTGGCGGCTGGTATGTGGATAATCAACAGGCCGAAAGCCTCTGGAGCGGAGATTGAGCTGTGCCGAAAATAGCATTCGCGTGGGCTTAGCGTGGGTTCGGTTCGGGCCCGAAGAGCACCCGTTCACAAAATGCTCTTGCTCCGTTAATCTACTTTGGCCCCCTACCAGCGCATAGGGCGGCCAGTCATTGCGGCGGTACTTTTGCGGTACGGGTAAGTCGGCCATTCTACAGTGCACCAGTAATCCTTTTCCCGTGGTCCCGCAGTAATGTTATCCAGTGTAGTGGGCAGACCTCCTTCCTTATATTGTATGGAGTCACAGTCTAGTATGGGAAGGAATGGCCCAACGGCAGTAGGTAGTCCATTCGAAGTGCTCAAGTTATCTTCTATCGTTTACCCATTTAGGATGCAGGTATAAGAAAAAGAGTATAGTATTCGGTCATGGCGCTTATTAGCGCAAGTCATATTAATCAATGCAAAAGATCATAGTCTAAATGCAAATTCCCCCCAAGAGCAAAGCAGTACATATTACTCTAGCTAATTATTTGGACCACATCTTGGCGTAAGGCCAGTCCTTAAGGGTACTGACTTCGTGCGCCACAGTGCTCAGGAATTCTTCCTCCGAGGTCGGCTTCTTGTCCTTAGAGGTCGTGGAAATATCACTCGAGCTAACAGCCTTCGCACTGTCATAGTTGACAACAGGCAGGTTGACAAAGAAGCTCAAGGAGGGGCGAGACTCATCATTTTGGATGGATTCGAGAAGAGCCGAAGAGTTGGGGGCAGACGGATATCCACCAAACTGGCTCTGGTACCATGCCGCGGACTCGGCGATATCAAGCAGTGTCATGTTGTAATTCGCAACCCTGTCGAGACCCTTGGCTGCAACCCACTTGTTCTTTGAAATGTGGCTAATCTCTTGGGCGACAACGAAGAAGTAGCAGGTGCCATTGTTGTCGCAGGTACGAGCGTCATCGCCAAGAATGGGAAGGTCCATGTCGGAAGGCTTCTGGTCATTGATATTAGATGATACCTTGGCGATGAAAACATCATCCAGTGCCCAGGCAATGTTGACAGCAGAAGCACCAAGTCCACCCATTGCTGCCTTCTTCACAACAGTCGAGGCGTTGAGGAAAGATTCCTTGATGGTATCGAGATTGTTAAATTTGGTGTTTTTGAAGCTGGTCGCAATTGTCAGCATTTTAAACTTCTATACTGCCCTTAAGTGTGGTGGTAAGAGTACTCACATTTCAGTGATATTAGGCCGAGCAGCAGCGGCAACCCCAGAAGCAAATGAAAGCCCAAATCCACCGATGTTCATACCCGATGAAGAGGAATCGAAAGAGATGTGCTTCAACTTCTTCATAGCGGTCTGGACAACATCAACATGGTTCGTGGAGTTGACCTTGTAGTGGGTGAATTCGATCACAAATGAAGTAGCCTGAGCTCGCGGCTTCTTCCAGTACTTCTCAAGCTTTTCACCAAGCTTGTGGTAATAGTCGCGGGAGTATTTAATACCCACTCGGGTCCAATAGGTTGCTGGCTGGACGACATTTGCCTCGCAGCTGGCATTACTGGAGATATCATAATAGCACTCGACAATTCCGGCGACAGTGTTGAAGTGCTTCATGAATGATTGCTTCTCGGCAGACTTGCTGCTCGAGTTGCTGGCATCGCTCGAATAAATGTCCGCACTGGATTATGTTAGACCACGATACGGAGTCAATCGGAATGGCATCCATACAAGAACTTCGCCCATTTCGTAATATCAGCCTGTTGCCAGTATTCTCCATCTGTGCTGGGGCTAGCAACTGCGCTCGCAGAGCTTGTAGCGGTTGTTGATCCTATATCAACTGAGACTGTTGTGGCTGTCAATGATGAGGAAGAGCTTTCGCTAGCGGACTGTGCAGGGAGAGCCAAAGCTCCAGCAGCTAAACTTATTAGTACAATATTCCAAATTAATCCGTTTGTCGGATCTGAGAAAGCACTGGGGAATGTGAGCAACTAACCAAGCACGGAATAAATGAAGAAAGAACGCATTATGGTGAGGAAGTCGGTGCTTTGCTTCAGAGAAAGGAAACGAAACCTGGTTGAGTTGATTCTCCAAATTATCGAGAGAATCCTCATATTTTATAGAATTCGATCCCGTTTGATATCGTGGTTGAAAGCACTCCCATCGTCGCATTGACGCTATTCACGTCAGAGTGGACCCTGAGCTAACTATAGGATTGGGGGCCATCCTTTACTGCCTAATTGGGCATTGACTGCGAGATGAACAAGGCTGAGAGGAGAACATTGCGGAGTCGAGGATAAAGGTAATCCGACAGTTGCCTATCTTTCCCAAAATCTCCGTAGAACGTGGGCACTGCCCTTATTTCGACCTTGTACCTTAGGGCGACCAAGGTTGTTGGGGAATTCTCCACTCTGTGAAGAGCTGGTTTACAGACCATGGATTTTCATAGTCTTCAAGTCAATTCACTCTAGACTTGTAAATCAGCGACCGTCTTTGTTTGTGACGCGCGATGACAAGAAATCAGGAAAAGGTAGTGAAAGAGAAGAAATGCATTACTCAGACAGTCCGTACCCCGATAATGATACTCACATAATACCCCGAAAGAGCACGATGAAGTGCCGAGAGAGCCAAGTAACGGGGCCAAACCCGTGCGACCGGATCTCTGCTATGCATCCTGCCCCCGGGGCGGAGGTCCACAACTAGCGAATGCGAATCCTGGAGGCTGTCCCCAACTGCCCCGAACTGCCGGACTGCGCCACGAGACGGCTTATCTCATATCGAGACTAATCCGCATTTGGAAATAAGGATGCAGTAGATTTCTCGTCGATTTTATTTCGGGAGTCATCAAGATGAGCTTCGCCGCATCGTTTTTATTGGGAAAATTTCCCGACGCCCGAGTAATGCTTCGTTGTCACTCATGTCGATGAGTTGTATATGTTGAGGTTCCAGGATAAGGCACCGAATTGATGCCTCATTCCCAATCTCTGTCGGCATGACTGTCCAGGGAAATCCGAGGCACTGAGCTTGATATGCGCTTCGACCGCTCTTGCCGCCATTATATTCTACATTCAGGGGATCTTCATGGAAGAACACCGATCGAGACCGATTCTTGGGGGGTTTACTACTGTCAGGGGCTTGGCGCCCGTTCAGGGATAAATACCCCCAGAATCGCATGTAGACAGTTTGAAAACAGTCAAGTTCCAGTTCTGTCAAATTCCATTAAGGTAGATTTGTCTATCAGGCCCCTATTCAATATTCGGTGCTTCGTCGTAGCCCATCTCAACAGTATATAGTAATTGCCCTTGGTCCTATCGGGAAACCCGGTAAATCATCAACTCCACCCGTTTCGCGCAGGAAAATCAATCCGGTGTTTTTCATCATGTCGGGATATATCCTCCTGTCAGAACAAATTAGCGGTGACCCACTGCTAGCGACCGATGGATAACATCCCTTGCTTGGTGTACGCATTCTTGCGCTGGGCTGCGGGCCCGGTGTTGTGACCGCCGAAGGCCAGTGTGTGGGATCTAGGAGTGTTTTCCAACTAGACGGAGAAGGAACATCTATCTACATGAATCAAATTGACTTTTGCTTTGGGAGCATACACACTGTCCACTTAACTGTGTACACAGTACCTAGCTGGTGATACCAACACTTTTAAACCGGCAATACACCACCACCATTTTCCTCAAGCATCCCTAGTTCACCACCAACTAGTGCTTGTCAGGCTAGAAAGAACCATAGAAAAGTTCAAAAATTGAATAAGCAGCAGCAGCAGGGAGAGTGTGTACAGGCGAATATTGAACGTGCGATTAACCGATTAGCTGATGGTCAAGTTCGGATGGCGGAAGAGATTCGACTACTACAGTCAACTATCAACAACCAACTTCCAAAAATGCCTTCTACTGCCCGAAAGTCACTAAAACAGGTTGGAAAGTTCGGCGCATTAACTACAAAGGATGCGAACCGGAAAATTGCGAGCCGACAAAGCCAGGATAGCGAGAAACAACTGAGGAAATGGGGTCGAACGGCACCACTTTGGTTAGAAAAAAAAACCCCCACCATCGCCACCACCAGTTGAAACACCTGTTATTTATGATCATGTGATCTCTCGGCGTGTTTACAACAACCCTACGTTTTTAGCACGTTTGGAAGCAGACCCTAACACTAATGTTATATGTCAACTCTGAGAGAGGTAAAATACTGTGGATTCTCCACTGCTCTTGGTTATTCAGCATCCACCCACATTGCAATAGTAATTGTATGGTAATTCGGGTCATTCTCGGAAGAACTGTGATGTAATACGCAGTTTATAGCCCCTGGATCATTTTCAACAGATCGGAACACACAGACACACTCTCGTTAATCCATCTCATGCATCAATTGGCCGTCCCTCGATACTAGATGATACACGTATCCGACATCCTGACATTATATACCGAGACTGATGGAAATGTTCTGTCGAGGATAGTGGGGTAGTAAAATACACCCGAAATAGTTTAGTTCCATTTGTGTCGTGATATCTTCATTTGTACTAGGGGATTCTCGACACTCCGAGAATCGGGAGTTTCAACCCCCCTCACACTACTCATGTAAGCAAGGACACCCTAACGTGTCCTCGCAGCATCTGCTCTTTTCTTCTTTTCTTCAATTAATTCATCCTATCTTTTTGCATTAGTTCCCCTTGGTAGATTAGCCCCATTCTTGCATACAATGCCATACTGTATCAGCTAGCTGTGACATGTTCGTTGAGATGAGAATGTACGTTGAGCTGGGCGTGGGCGGTCGGCCAGCCCCCTAAGTCCAGTGACCATTATTGGACATGTTCAGTACTAGCCAGTACATAATTCCTCATCCTGACACCAAGACCAATACTTCATTCGAATCCTGTCGGGGTGAGTTGAAGGGATCCGGAACGACTGCAGTAATCCGAAGAGACGGCCTATAAAGGTAAGTTCCCATATTCTGCTAATCATTCCAGCCCAAAGAGTCGGGCAGAATGCCTGCGAGGCGCAATGGGCGGGAGTTGGACGCGTCGTTCGGCGCGTCCATCTCCGCCCCTGATGCGACAATCGCTAGATCCACCACCAGGTCTGGTTTGGTCCGCCAGACACTGTCATCTTCGTCAACTCGAGAAGAATAAACCCAGCAGCCGAAAATGGATCTGAGACACCTGGGGTGGACCAACGGTTGGAGGCAACTCTACGACCCCCTGAATATGTCCAAATGGTTCTCAGGGCAAACACGAAACGCGCAGTGCAGTTCAACCGTATGTCGGAAACGTGCAAGAAAACATTAACTAATCCTGACACCATGTACTGATGGTATTGTCCTGTCACCCTGATACGCACTACTCATGCATTAGGGTTAGACCTGTATCTATATAACGGGTCCGAGAATCCACAGATCCACACACAATACAACCATCATACACATGCTACAAGAGGTTATGAAGCCCTCTTTGCTCATCATGGATAGTAAATCTGGACACCCAAAACTTATTCGAACAAACTATCACTCTTGGAAACTAAACGCCAAAGTCCAGCTCACCAGACTGGGAGCACTGGGCATCGTTGAAGGCACCGAGCCCGTTCCCGAGTTCCCCTTTACAACGCGAGCAGCCGAAGTCACAAATTACAGCCAGAATGTCAAAGTCTATAGACAAGCTCGAGAAAAGGCGATACAATGGATTTGGAATCATATCCACAGCGACTTCCACAGCATCGTTGCAGTTGTGCGTCGAGACCCTCGAGCCATGTGGCTGGAACTAGAACGGCGACTAGGAGGAAGAAACAACCACAATATCTGGGCTGTAAGGCAACAACTTGGGAGCGAAACATTCAAAGAAAACGACACTATTCAAACATGGTCCGCTCGTCTCGATACCTACAGCCAACGCTTGATTGGAACTGGATCAGAGCTGTCCGATCTAGAGAGAATTGCCAAATTACTCAGTACACTTCCCAAACGCTTCGAAATTACGGTATCTCACATTCAGCGAATCCCGAATCTCGACTACCAGACTGCTCTTCAGCAACTCCTTGACTTTGAGAATCAACTACCGGTCGGCGCTGAAAATGGCTCTGGAATAGCACTGATCGCTCAAAATCGACCCCGGGGGCCATTCCAATCGCGACGAGGAAGAGGCTATCGATATAAACCCTCTGAGCCATACCATCGGGGGCAACGCAACGACGCCTCTCGACAAAGAGTATACTGCAACCATTGTGGACGAAAAGGTCATACCAAATCAAAGTGCTGGGAGCTTCAGCGACGTGAAGAAGAAGATAGACAAAACCAAGAACGACTATCCCGAATACCATGCCGTACAAACTACACAGCTGAAGACGTGCCGCCTGCATCAGCAAACCCGCCCCAACCGTCATCTCGATCTGATACGAACTACATGGAAGATGGATTTGCCCACATGGCAAGCCACGCTGCATCATCCACAAACGAATGGATACTCGATTCTGGAGCAAGCCATACAATGACTCATACGAGGTCAAACCTCAGAAATTTCAGAAGTTTTCACCAACCTCGTCAAGTCGATTGGCGATGGGTCACACGTGAAGGCACTCGGAAGTGGCATTCTCCACATTCGGACAAATTTAGCCTCCATTGACTTGAAGGAAGTCTGGTGGGTGCCTCAGCTCAGCACAAACCTGGTATCTGTACGTTCCTTGGACGACATGGGACTAGAGGTCATTTTTGCCCGTGGCCAATGCAAGATTCGACGCGGCGGAAAGCTGCTTGCCACTGCAAGCCAAATTCGGTCGAATCTCTAGCAACTTAAATTACCCGCATCTGCGTTCAATGCTAAATTCAACAATTATCATCCGATTACAATCTGGCACCAACGGCTTGGAAATCTCAACCTCAAGAATGTGTCAAAGATTACCAGAATCCAATTGCCAAAACAAGTATCTCGATGTGCCTCATGCGTGGCAGGAAAGCAGCACACCGTGTTTAGCCGAAAGCCCCAAGAAAGAGCTACGAAGCCATTTCAATTCATCCACTCGGATCTCAGTGGTTTGCTGCCTACATCTTTATGCGGATATCGATACTTTCTCGTGTTCGTGGACGATTTCTCACGATATACCCATACCTACTTTCTGAAGGGGAAAAGCATGACCGAAACCATCGAGGCATTTCGTGCCTATCACACATGGATCAAGACTCAGTGCGGTGCGACCGTGCGCAGAATCCGCACAGACAACGGCACTGGAGAATTTGCCAATCAGTACTGGCAAGACTACATGATTAGCGAAGGCATCCAACATGAGTTCAGCCCTCCTCACACCCACACATAAACGGTGTGAGCGAACAATTCGAACACTCAAAGATATGGTGAGGACAATGCTTGCTGGAGCGAACTTGCAAGATCGTGAAAAATTTTGGGGTGAAGCAGTAGCGACTGCCACCTACACACGCAATTTGTCCCCCTCCCATGCATTCAATGGTAAGGTATCGCTTGTTGGCCTTCATCCAAATTTGACCCCCAGGTATTATCACCTGAAACCCTTTGGCTGTTTAGCCTACGTTCTCGTTCCACCCGCACAGCGTTCAACGTGGCAATCACGTACAAGAAGATCCCTGTTCATGGGTTACATCCACAACACGACGAAGGTTTGGAAAGTATATGACATTGAAGCAAAGTGAACGTTCAACTCAGGGCATGTGATATTGGTGAAGAGCAACTTCCAGGAATCCCTGTTGAATCCCAAACGCTGCAATGCCATCCATCCTGGCAAGTTAACGGCCCATATGCTGTGGCCAATATTGTGCAAGCCAGTTTCCGAAATCTTCACATTGAGGTTATTGAACAAGAACCGGAACTGTTGAATTTCAAGATCTGTGGGATTGAGCCACCACATGAGAATCTCGAAGATGAAGAAGAAAGGAGAAAGAAAGAAAGAAAGTCGGCCGGAAAAAGAGGGCTTAAGTCCCCAGCAAACGCACCAGCAAACGCGTACTGCAAAAGACCCAAAATTATGCCTCAGGCACCCTTCCACGAGACGAAGCTATTCCCAGGTTCATCCGTCACAGATTCCCCCTAAAATGAGACGCAGTAACAGTGCCGCGAAGTCACTCAAGTCCCATTGACTATTTAAAGTGATAAATTTAGGTGCAGAGCGGCTGCAATACGAGCTATAAGTGGCTAGCAGAGAAACAAGCCCTGCATGTTTGGCATTGGAATGCCCGATAACCGTTTAATGGCTCGGATTGACTTCTCCCTAATGTATGCCTTGCTCTCATTTGAACTTCATTCAATTTGTCTTCATCCGAATTGGCAAGCCTCTTTCATAAAAAATCTTGTTAGTTATCTTTTTCGGATATGTACTGAGGACGAACTTACGGCGTCATTCTGCCAGTGTTGAAGCATGGAACTTAAGTCATGTGGGTTATCCAAGGCTTGTGCACTGGAGTCAAGGTATTTATTGAATAAATTCCATTCCGACTTGTCATCGGGACCTTCGCTCTCATTCGAAGCCAGGGTAGTAATAAGGTTGTAAAACTCGAACTGATCCAAGCCATGAGGCATATTGGTACCCTGATAAACAGCGGATCCTGCTTGGCGTAGCAGAGTGTCGAAATTTGCAGGAAGTCTGTCTTTGCTCTCGTCCTACAAGCCGTCGCGCTTGTCAGCCCACTTTCCATGGGTGTCTTTCCACTCCATCACAAGCCGTTCCACTCCACCAGGAACGAGGTAGTTACCGTCCAGAATTCCTCCAACGTGCACGCCTCGGAACTTGAAAGTGTTCCTTGTTAGAGGTTGAAGGCGCTCAAGGAATTCTACCCGAGAGAAATCAGCGATTTTCTCGAAGCAGACTATGTGGTACATTGCTAAAGGAAAGCGGCGTCAGAAGTCCAGTGACTGTAGCTGAGGAGAAGTGTTTGCGTACACGCATTATGTCTTCCCCACCACCCCTGGTCAATTCCCGGATACATGGCCAGGCGTAGGTCACCCGGTTGGATCATTCGATGACAACCTGGAAGTCGGCATTTCGCGCCACTTGGTGAATTCGGGGCACATTCGATAAAAAATAATGACGGCACGGTATGGGCCGCACCCGATGGTTGTTGGCCTGGAGTAGTTTCGAGGCCTAGATGTCGAATGAGGCGCTTTTTCTCCAGTGACACGACGTCGTCTAGCACAGGATCGGCCGGTGCTTCTTCACTTGAAGATGGTTGATTCGTCGCGAGCACATCAAGCTCAACGTCTTTTATATCTTCGTGAGAGTTTAAACGAGCCACGAGGTTTTCGGAAATTCCAGCACTGTAAATACCATAGGAAACTTAGTACTGTGATGTGTATGCATGACTGAAAATTTTTGCACCCACGAAACCATTCAAACTTTTCAGGTCCTCCAGAATCTCGCCACCATTGTGTCTAACGAACTTTTTAATCCTGCAAAACAGATAATCAGTTCGTAATTTTAGAATCTGCTGGATTGGAAGGCATACTGATTGACGTTTCCAGGCGGAACGCCTTCGTAGCATTCAACCAGTTGGGTAAATCGAATAGATTAAATGAGCTGAAAAGACACGGTTATAAAGGTACACAGATACTTACAAGATAATAAGGCATTGTGGTTAACGTGAACGTAAAACAAGTTTGTCAAACGATGCGTGGGAAGGCTGCATGTTTCAAAGCTTGAATTGGTGGGGAGAGAGCAACGTAAATCCATTGTGGAACAGGTTTCACTGCGGCCCGCCCCTAGCTCAGCCACAGTTAGTGTCCGTTGGGGAAGTCTTGCCATGTAAGGACAAACGATTAGGAGGCCACTGCGGAAGTAACTCAGATCACCCTCGATCGTGACCCGCTTCAGCAGGCAATGGTCCCAGTTGGCCAATGGAGTGTCTCCTCACTAGGAGCTGGGTACCAAACCCGTGAATTCTCTTCAAGGGTTACTCTCCGCCCGCCATCCTTCTCAGGAGACCCTCCAGTCGTCCTGTATCGAAGATCCCAATGCAAATGATCGTCGGCGCCATGATCTGTGGCGCGTAGCAGGTCCGATCCCCAGGAAGAACCTGGCCATCATTGGACCCGTCCCGGAACTGGTCGCACAAGAACCGGCGAGGTCCCCAGCCACCTAGATGCAACGGGCGGGCTGAAGGGGTTTTTGTAACCTGATGTATTGTTTATCAGGTGAGCTCCAGGTCAACATATATTAGCTGTACCACTAATAGGCATCTATAAACCGAAAATCAGATTTGAATCATATTTGGTGGTTGAGACATGAAGTTGTAATGTGTCGCATTTACTATGTGTTTTGGGGTGCGCGATTCGCCCGTGGATTACGTGACATCTAATTCGTAAACAAGAAAGCTTTTAAACATAGACAAAGTTATCTTTTAATATACGATACTCAAAAAAAAACCCAAGAAAAAATGACTTGCATCGAGATTTCAGAAAAGTAACATCAAGAGCAAAAGGAAAACTTAAATTAATTGGTCATGAACACTTAGTGTTGGTATCACCAGCTAGGTACTGTGTACACAGTTAAGTGGACAGTGTGTATGCTCCCAAAGCAAAAGTCAATTTGATTCATGTAGATAGATGTTCCTTCTCCGTCTAGTTGGAAAACACCCCTAGATCCCACACACTGGCCTTCGGCGGTCACAACACCGGGCCCGCAGCCCAGCGCAAGAATGCGTACACCAAGCAAGGGATGTTATCCATCGGTCGCTAGCAGTGGGTCACCGCTAATTTGTTCTGACAGGAGGATATATCCCGACAGAAAGTATATTTCTGGTGTTGGTGAACGTTGAGAATTAAGTTGAGGACCAGACGTGGATTAAAGGGCCAAATTCCACGATCCTTAAAGGCATTCTTGATTGTTGGAGAGGGTAAAGCGCGCTTCCGAATAGTCCCAATTTCCTGAAAGAAGAACTGAAGATCCCTTGTATCTCCACCAAATTGAGTAACAAGAGTGTTCTTCTTCCGAAAGTGCTGCTTTAATGATCGAAAGGGACTACCATCTAGTGGTTGCACTAGATGAGTAGTATGAGGTGGAATGACAAATAGGATAATGTCTAGCTCCTCGCAGGGTTGTAGGAATTGAAAGTTATGATGAGAACCATGCCCATCATATAATAATAGCCCCTTCTCTCTCTTCTCGCCCTCTCGCTTCCTAATTCGATCTTGAGTATTCAGATCGAACCAGTTCAACCAGCCGATAGCCAGTTCATCATTCGAATAGCCAGTAGTTGAAACAGCGATTCGGGACTGTTCAGACAGGTTACCACCCTCATACCATCGTTGAAGATGAACATTACCAGGTGCTACCCAATAGGGTGGCATCAACCAGCCATCAGCAGCAATACACTCAATACCAGTATCTAATTTACCTCTCTCACTAGAGAGTAGTCTAGTGCGGTGTTGATAGGCTGATATCACCTTCTGAGACCGGCCCTGGCCCAGTGCAAACCCCATTTCATCAAAATTATAGATATTTTTCGGCTGAATAGATTCAGTGTTCAAACAGATTTCCAGCCGGTCAAACCAGGTAGTCAATATACCTAGTAGTCAATTAGTCAATATTAAACTAGTCAAATTCACATACCAAGGACCTCTGCTTGCAGCCTAGCACGTTCAGAAGGCTTCCGTTTCACCCAAAATAGGCCGTTCGGTAGGTTTCGGATAAACCGATACACCCAGTTCTTGCCTACTGGGCCACCGGGCACTTCCCCTATCATCGAATTTGCACTCGCTTCCACCATACCAGCGGTAGGTGGAACATGCATACTATCAAGGCGGTGTATCCAGTTGACTAGTGCTTCTTCCTGCGACTGTTCGAGTCGCTTGGTAGGCTGTATTCTGCTAGATTTCGACTACCGACCGTGGAAATGGGCCCGTAGCCGCTGGCAAGGCACGTCATATTCGCGTGCTAAACTAGCAAAATTCGGTTTTTCGACTGCCCTGGCGGCTTCGCAGGCGGCTAATATACGCTGTTCAATGGCTGAATAGCTGTTTTCCATGGTGGTGGTTGCTTAAATTGGAAGAATGTGTGAATTTGATCGTTGAGATGGGAATGTTCGTTGAGCTGGGGGTGACAACACCCGGAGGGGTGTGGGTCACCTGGGCGAGGGCGGTCGGCCGGCCCCCCTAAGTCCAGTGAATATTAGAATCAGATGATTGATTGGAGGTTGTTGAGGTCGGTTGAGCGATCTCAGGTGTCTAGGTGGAAATTGCGTGAACGATGAATAAGCCGGTCCTGAAGGGTCCTAGTGGTATTTGACCACTTCCTCAGTTTGTCACTAACTCTTGTGTGGCATCGTGTTGTCTAATTGTGTATGTGCTCGCCATCACGTCCAAGTCTCTACTGTTGTGATATGTCGTATCGTAACGGAATCAATTCCTAACCTCACGGAATTACCAGCTTTGATTGGAAATCAATCTGGAGGTCGCATGTGTATATAAACCCTCAAGTTTTCTGTCCAGAAGAAATACAAGCAATCTTCCTTTGAATTACAACATCTACATCTCCCAGCCGAGATCTGCACCCAGGTTTGCATACCATCTAACTTTGCTAAATCTGAGAGTGTGAGATGTACAGGATGATCGTGAACGGGTGAGAAGCAGGTGGTATTGGCTATCTGCTGCTATCTGCTGCTATCTTCTGCTATCTGTGTGAGAGGGAAGAGGAATGAAGAGAGAGCGTGGGAAGTGAGAGAAGAGGTACAGAGTCAGGTGACTGTGGTGACTAAGTGAGTACCTGATGTATGTACGCTCAAAATCATTACTGACTTATCAGATCATTGAATATATGAACGAGAGCAATTTAACAACCTGGCAGAAACACAGCACTCTCTGTAACATTCGCCTAATTAACCGGGCCTGGTACCAAAGTGCCACCGTTCCTTTGTTCCAAAACATCAACTTCTGAGGCTCTCACCTATCGATAACAATTTCTCAGAATATCTCCTATTAGAGGAAAGATCGTCAGGTCCCCCCATATGTTGTTATTTTGGAATACGAAGCGGGACAAATACAACCCAACAAGATGATGATCACTACTCGGCAGATTTTCAGATATTTACGGATCGCCCCACTACCATATCATATTGAACTGAATGTCGTGTTTGAGCACCACAGATTTCGCGCCTCACGATTAGTTCCTGATTGGGAGCTAAGAAATTAGATAACTTAAGAGGAGCTCCCTTAGCTCATCTCTTCAAGAGCTCAACAGGAAATCGCTCATATACTACTAGGAAAAGGTGTTTTATTATCTTGGCGCTTAGCGTGCCAAGGCTCACAGTCATCATTGCTCAGAGGTTGACAAGGCTCGGCTCGTATAAGTCACTGTCGATCTCTGTAGATCCTAAATCGCGTAGTCTTGAAATGTCGGTCATCTCCTCGTGTATGCGTATATATTTAGCGCTTGATCTTAGTGTTTGCCTTTCCTGGTTGCAAATCACGAGCATCTAAAGATGATTGATGGTTATTATCATGATATCTCCACTCGCTCAACTCAAAGGGTGGAGATGCTTCTAAAACTCCCTGGGTAGTTGGGTTTGACTACATACAGGATGTTCCATCGTCCGCCCGAATACGAACCACAGTTGTTCCGATCGACATCATATACTTGGTGACTACTGCCGATCCATATATTTTACTGCAAAAGCCGAGGCAGCAGAGGGGCGATTATTATCTGTGAATACGAAAAGACCTCGAGATGAGGTACTCATTTGAATGATCAAGATATCCTGAATCTCGACCATAAATACCCCCTTCTCGCCCGCTGTCCTCTGCTCATCTTGTCAACAACAACCCATCGAATCCCAATCTAAACCTACTTCAAATCATTTTTCAGTTTTCAAGACATCAGTCTTTCAACCAACGAAACCATCAAAATGCAGTTCTCCACCGTCTTCCTGGGCGCCGTTGCCCTCTTCGGCTCTGTTGCCTTCGCTGTTCCCTCCGAGAACCTCCGCGTCCGCTCCTCTTGCCAGGTCGGCGATATCTGGGGTGCCGGTGATGCTGCATGCAGCGCTTCTGTGGGTTTTCTTTTTTTTTTTTTTTTTTTTTGGCTCGACAAACCAATCTCTATTTTCAGGGTCTGACAATATTGTAGTGCATTGCCCAGGGTGAGGGCTACCACGGTGGCCACTGCGACGACAACAGGTGAGCAATCTTTCCTTCTGGGGTTAACGTAGACTTGCTTGGTAAACTAATGGCTTGGTATTAGTGTCTGCGTTTGCAACTACTAAACTAGTGCTGTCTCTTGGAGAGCCGGAGCTTTGATCCTGATTTCGGGGCATATGCTAGGATAGTGTGAATGTAGAGGAAGTTGAGTTCGCAGGGGACAGTGAGAGACAGTTTTTGATGTGGACTTGTTTTCTGATTTAACTTCTTCACTCGTGAGAGTTCAATTTTATATTCACTGTCTTTCCTCGCATTCTTTCTAGTAGTTGGGATTCCGATTTTGTCGACATATTTATTGCAGGCATAGCTCCTTTACTCGTCCCATCAGATGACACCATCGCAGTCCCTTGTCCTCAACAGAGTCTCCATGTTTCCGCTCGGTTTCTGATGCGAAAGGCTGATTCCTATTTTTTGATTTGTCTAACTGTAGTCTGAATGCTTACTTAACTTTGCGGGACATGCGTGCTAAGCACAGGAAATTGGTTATAAACTATGTATCGTGTTGCAAAAAAAGAAAAAGTTGACAATTGTGTTATAAACAATGCGACAATACTATGTAGAGTTGTGAGATCAGCTTTCGGGGCGAAGTTGCTCCTGGCGTCTCGATGTAGGGAGCCTGTCCAATCCTTGTTCCTCCCATCCGATAGGTTGATCTTGTTTTTGTGGCTTAAATAAAAATTTCGAGGTCAAGAAGTCTATGTGAGCCAAAGAAGCCGAATCTATCCTATGTTTCTCATGAAACATTTACTATACGAGTCAAGTTATCTCGAGGTGAAGTAGTGAGGTCAACCGAGTTTTCTCCTTGTGCCTTCTTAGCATCATTTGATGATGATGCACTCAAGGGCAAAAATGGATCGAAGCTGAAGAATCTCTTGTCGGATGGTTCAAGAGGGCTATTCCGCGTGGGTGTGATGGATGAACCTGGGAATAGCCTCATCTCGTGGAAGGATGCCTGAGGCATAATTTTGGGTCGTTTGCACTACGCGTTTGCTGGGGACTTAATCCCTCTTTTTCTGGCGGATATTCTTTCTTTCCCCTTCCTTCTTCATCTTCGAGATTCTCGTCCTGTAGGCACCGAATGAATCTTTTACTTTCGAACGGCCTGTAGCACTATCCATAGTCTGGAGATCCGCAATTTTCCTGTCCTTTATAGTGAAAGCAGCAGCAGTGGTTGGGACCAGCTCCTTCTTCTTTGGACAGTCACGAGAAAGATGACCGGATTCCTTGCAGCTGTAACACTTTACTTGCTTTAGGAGCGCACTCCTCATCCATCTGTTTCCAAGTTCCTGTATTTTTATTCACAGATGAAGTGCCCTTCGTGCTTGTGTTCGGAGCAGTTCGTCCTCGATTACCACCTGCATTGACGTTCGCAGTGCGACTTGCAAACTGCTGGTTAACCAGGCGTGTGATGATTTGACACTTTCTGACAAACTTCTCAAATGAAACATCATTATCTCCTGCTTCCGCCATCACCTGGTTCTGTAGTGACACTGGAAACTTGCGGTAGAGATCTTCCTTTCGAAGTTCCTCTGGCTGTTCTGCTTCCTCCGCAAGGTAAGTGAATTCGGCTAGGAAATCAGTGAAGTCTTGTTTCTTTGGTTCCATCTTCAATGTGAGATACTCATCTCGCGCGGCCTGTTTTTGGTTTGGATCATGGAAGACTCCTTCAAGATGATCAAACACATCTTGGATATGCTGGTAGGATCAATGCAGTCTTGCATACTGGGATTGATATGCCTTAGTGCTTTCCCTTACTGATATAAGCCAGCTGATGAGCAGCTGTAGGGTAATGGTCCTCGTTGAGCAGTAGCTTGCGACGTATATCGTTCCTCCATGTCTTGAATTTCACATCCTTTCCATCATTCAGCATTGGTGGGTCAGGCATCTTGGTCGATTTTTTGTTGCTGATCGTCGAAGGGACAGGGGATTCACGGACTGGAGTCTTTCCAATCAGGCGCATAGTGGTCAACACGCCATCTCGTTCATGGATTGCAGCATCACGCTCCTCACGTATCTGTGCATATTCTTCTGCATAGTTCTCGGCGATGGCAGCAGTAGAGGTCTGTTCCCTTAACTGGGCAATCTCATTTTCCAGTCGGGCGTTCTTTTCAGCCAGTTCCATAATGGCTTGGTTTGTGTTCATAGCTCCGTCAGCATCCGTGTCAGTATCCCGTATCTCGACGGGTTCAGTTTCGAATTCATTGATTCGGTCCTGACGTCTCATGATAACACGCCAGGCAGTCTCGGAGTCGACACGAATCCATTCAATCAATCCATCCGTGTCCTCCAGTTCGATCACTTCAGGAACACCTTCATCAGGTCGGATCAGTAGTGAGGGTTGCTGCCTCGATCCGTTTTTCTTGCGCAAACGAGCGCTGGATCGTTCGGTCGACGACATATTGCTTCAGTCGTCGTTCGTGTGTTCGGGAACTTCGTGGGGTTCACCAGGTAGCTTGGGCGTACGTACGTCCTTCGCTCAGCTGACTTCAAAGTGAGAGAAAAAAATGAAAACCAGGTAGCTTGACGCGTACCAAATGGTGTGCGTTGTCGCTCGGCTAGTCCTCGAGAGAAAGAAAGATGATCTTCGAGATAATGTTACGGGCCGTTCGAAATAAACAGATTCATTCGGTGTCTACAGACGAGAATCTCGAAGATGAAGAAGGAAGGAGAAAGAAAGAAAGTCCGCCAGAAAAAGAGGGCTGAAGTCCCCAGCAAACGCGCACCAGCAAACGCGTAGTTGGTGCAAACGACCCAAAATTATGACTCAGGCACCCTTCCACGAGATGAGGCTATTCCCAGGTTCATCCGTCACAAGATTTATCAATTTAAACGGCGGATGTGCTTTATTTGATGGTTTGAACTAGCAGGATCTTTCTGTTTCGCATGCTTTCGTCGCTCTTGAGGATTTGGTTTTGATTTTATTGATCTATTCCAACCATTGCTACACTGGCACAGATAGAGACGGATGAGATATTTTGGCCCGCACGGGGCACCTGCGGTCTGAACACTGGCGATGTAGACCTCGTTGACGGAGGGCTACGGCGCCGTGAGGGCTGCAGGTGGGCTCAAATGACCCGGTGGGCCAAAAGAGGATGGTGGAGGGGCTGGTGGTATGGAAGATGAGACCGGAGTTGGATGACCGGTCTGGAATTGACGGTTCCAGGCATATAGTGTTGTTGTAGGTGTTGTGAAATAAAGGCGGAAGGCTTCGGAAGACCATCTCCCGAGGGCTTGGATGTGGTCATTTCTTAGGCCTGCGTTGTGGGCGTGTTGTGCTGCCCCTTTTCTGAACTATGACCCTTAAGTCCCGTGGTGTCTTCCCCGGCGCGGTTGAGCTTAGAGATAACCGCACGTTGGAAGGCGGATGAGGTGAAAGGACCAGAGGAGAGCGCAAATAGAGGAGCAGTCATAGGTTGAGAATCATGGAGGAATAGCTTAGAAAGGCCTTCGACGGGGCAGGCTGCGTCGTTTGTCGCTGCAAGGACAACATTGACACCTTCGTGGTTTCGGTCGGTCTTGCTTCTCTTCAAAGTAAGGAGGACGTGGTCCATGGTGGGGGAGAACCTGACATCCACCCAGGTTAATTTAGTAGCAGCGAAGACTTGAGTGTCTCTGAGGTCGGTAGCTGAGTATGTAAATTCCCCGACCCGAAGGAATCCGGCGAAGGCAACGCGGGCGGCCACGGCAAGATTAAGGTCATTTTTCTGGGCCGCTGAGAGCCCCCGCGGTTGGGCAGGGAGATGTGAGATATTCCCTGAAAGGGGTTATGACTGAGGCGCGTGAGATTGGGTTGCGAATCCGCTCTCGGCGGGGCGGTTGCAGCCGGCGAGCGCCATCGATCATGCGACGAAAATGCTTAGCGTGGAGGTCAAAAATTGTGTCAGGTAGACCGTTATCGATGTGATACGCCGCGGAGAGCTGAGAGCTCAGACATAGCTGAATCGGGCTTCACAGGTGGGGAGCTACCCGCGCCCAGTAGGCGTTCCGTATGCCAAGTGCAGATAGACGGGGCTGTGGCTGGCCACGGCTGCATTCCATGGATCACGCAGCTGCGGGCGTAGGAGCGCTGCGCCGAGCGATAACCTCTTCTGGTTCCTTCTGCAAGACCATTCCAGACCAGCTTCGCATGGCCAGCATTCACGAAAATAGGCTGTCGAGAGAACCAGGTTGGCGGAGCAAGGGAAAGGAGCTCGTCCACTGTGGGCAAATATTAGCGATGATCCTATAATCGGAACGGGACAGAGCATCAGCTAGTAGATTCTCCGATGAAGGTAGCCAGTGTGGCTGGACTTCGATATCAAGGGCGGCTGCTATGCTGAAAAGCATGAGCAGGGGGCGATGAGCCGGCCCACGGAGTGCCTGTTTAGACGGGCCATGAAACGCGACGGCGCTGTCTGTGAAAGCGAGGACAAGATGATGAGCCCAATGGGGGCTATGTATGAGGAAGGCCTGCAGGATTGCGGAGACCTCCTTGATGTTGATGTGGGCCACGTCGCCGCAGGCGGAGGAGGCGTCCACGATAGCCGTATGGGTGGACGGCAGGTGAGGCGCTGCAGACATCCAGTCCCTGGCGGAGTCCCATGAGGGCGCATAGAAGAAGAAGAGGCCCAGACCTGAGTCGCACGCGTCTGTGTAGAGGGCAACTAGGGGGCGGCTCTTCTCGAAGAAATGGATGCCGTTAAATAACGGGAGAGTGTCCCTCCACCACGCAAGATCCCCGCGGCTATCATGGGATAGGCGGCGAACGGAGCGCTGGTGGGGGGGAAGGATGCGAGGTCGCTGTAGAGCGACTGAAAGCGGGCTCTGCCGAGACGGATAACCATTGAGCAGTGTTGGAGGAAACCGACTACACGTTGCAAAGTTTTATGCGAGACGCGATCTAGCTGTAGTAGCGACGCGGCTTCGGAAGATGCGCGTGCTAGCTTATCGCGAGGCACTCGGGCCTGTAGGAGCGTGGTGTCGATTTCGACCCCAAGGACACTGACCACGGTACCCACGGCGTCTTTTGAGTCATTCCGTGGGATGCCTAACGCATCCGTGAGAGGAATATATACGGTATTGAAAGCGGTAAGGGCTTTGGAGAGACTTCCTACGGAGGAAGGGAAAATAGTGATGAAATCGTCAAGGTAATGAGCGATAGAGGCCAAAGGCAAGTAAGCGCTTAGGAGCCAGTTAAGGCCCTCGGCAAAAAGGTTAAAGATGAAGGGTGCAGTTGTAAGGCCGAATGGGAGGCAGCACTCCATGTATGTCTTGTTCTCCCACGAGAAGGCTAGGAGAGGCCGGTCAGCGGGAGCGACGGGAATGTTACGGAAGGCATCCTTGATGTCGCGTTTGATGATATAGCACCCTCGTCCCGACGTGCGTATGAGATCAAAGATGCCATCCATAGAGATGTATTGTATAGTAGAAGCAGCGTCAGGGATAGACTCGTTGACACTCTGACCCGGCGGGTAGGAAAGATCATGGATACGGCGCCAGCTTCCGTCGTGTTTGGGTACCAGCCCCAGTGGGGAAACAACTACGGGGCCAGTAGATAGTTGTACCCGACGACATAATAGGTCATTAGAGAGCTTCTGGGTGATAAGAGAGTGTTCCTCGATGCGGTGATTAGGAGTTCGACGGTATCTTGGCACGGTCGTACAACCGAGGCGGCAGCCGAACGTAAGGATGCCGCTGCAAATAGTCCCTAGGTTGCCAGGATAACGTTCGAGGAGTGTTTTCCACGCTGAGGCGATGAAGGGAGAAGCGGAATCACGCAGAGGCGGGAGGGAAGGGTCGAAGACCTCAAACTGGATAGAAGTATTGGGACGCGGGGCCGGCCAGCTAGTTGGCGGCGACAGGATTTGACCTATACCAGGGCCGACCCCGGCGTGTTCCTAACTCACTGGTTTCACTTTGCAGCTTACTATAGAACGGTCGTTGCCACACTTAGAGCAGACGTGTCTTCGGTGACACGTTCGCCAGTGGCAGCCAGCGGAAGAGTTGAACTTTTCACAAACGACAGTATCGTTATTTGGGGCAGCGGTAGAGCGCGTTGAGCGCGTGGTTGGGGAAGCCGGCGTCGTCTTTGCTGGGAGCACGTTGTCCGGGCGAAGGTAGGAGCTCTCGAGGGCTTTCCCAATTTCCCAGTCACTGAGAGAAACGGTAAGGTCGCCTTTATCGACGATCATCTGGTGGTGGTCCAAGGCCATCTGCAGGATACAATCCTGCCATTTATATGCCCTGGCAAGGTCACAAATGCGGCGGTGGAAGAGGACCATTCCACTGATGCATAACGGGTGCTTAGCAGCGAAGAAATCACACCAGACAGCGATGTAATTGCTGAAGCAATGGGCCCAGAGGGAAACGTCATTTCCCCAGTCCTTGATTGAGACTACCTTGCGGAATTGCAGGCCAGATGATGTGGATTTTAGATCGAAGGACTCGCCATCCGGTGCCGAGGCCTTGAACTCAGGGCGTCGTCAGCATCCTCCTCCCCAGTGAGGTCTAAACGTGGGCGCTTGCGCTGCCCGTCGCCCGCAACAAGAGACGCGGACACAGTAGAGATGAATGAGTCCCGCTGGGAGTCGGAGAGGGAGTTCCATATATACTCTGGTGGATAGATCGAGGAGCCCAAGGTGGTCTGTCCCCCAGGGGTTGGACTGGGGGCCGCCGAACTATGACGCACCATTGTAAAAGGAACTCTTGAAGAAGCCGTCGCGGAGAGAGCCCGGCTCTCCCTCGAAACGTCGATGTTCTTTTCGAGGAAGGGGCAGGCCAGGCGATATTTGTGCGCGATGTCCAGCACGGAATATCGTGGGCCCGACGCAAGGGGCTCTCACGCAACAGTCCCGAATAGAACATATCATTTTTGACCTTCTCGGGAACTAACTAGCTCGCCTTCACTCGCTTATGTTGTACATCTTATTGTATCTAAAAGACCGCCAAAGGATTTGAGAAATCCTTCAACACCGAACAACCTCCGCAAAGAGATTGTAAACCGAAGGTGTCCCAGTCCCCGGAATTGATATGATGCAATTATTTTCCATTTCCGGTCGAGGCTTGGCGGTAGCAGGGTTTGTGATTGGTGGATTCTCAATTGAGGAAGGTGTCACAGGACCCACTCCGACCGTTCGGGAAGACGATAAGCTTGAAATCGCATCAGATTTAGCGGGGCTGATCTACGCGGAAGGTGATGATACCAAGGGTTGTGATTACAGGATATCACCTTCTGGAAGTAACGACCTCTATCTCGGTTCCCAGCCGTCCCCTCAGCCTTTTCCATTGCAGCGTCGTCCTATAAATTAGGGTCCGTTCCCCTCTTAACATCAGCAGCAATTATTCAACTGCCTTCTTAACATTGAGTCGCTTTTGTTTCACATTCACAATGTCCGAGGCTATTGACCTGTCCTTGTTGAAGGGTACCCCCCAGGAGAGGGCAGAAATCTCCGCTGCGCTGCTTCATGGTCTCAAGACTCGCGGTGGCGTCAAGTTGAAGAACCATGGTCTGCCGGATAAACTCGTGCACGATCTCTTTGACTGGGTATGTTCTATACTAGCCATTTTTGAAAAGCAAAACTAATTTTTCCTAGACTCGAAAGTTTTTTGCCCTGCCACACGATGATAAGATGATGGCCAAGCATCCTCCCGAAGCAAATCCAAACCGCGGATATTGCTATGTCGGACAAGAGTCGATTTCAAGTATCAGTGGTTACGAGAAGGGCCTTCCGCAAGGCAAGTTCGTTCGCGACATCAAGGTATATTGTCATTGACCCTTTCACCATCGCTTGGTATTAAGAATAACACAGGAAACGGTCGACTTCGGTTCGCCGCGTGACGATCTGGTCGATAATATCTGGGTACCAGAGGAGAAACTGCCAGGCTTTCGCAAGTTCATGGAAGACTTTTATGAGACCTGCTTTAAGCTAGAGCTGGAAATCCTCGCCTCCCTCGCTAAAGCCCTCGGTGTCGACGAGAACCAAATGGTCGCCCTCCACAACAAAGGCGAGAACGAGTTCCGGATCCTCCATTACCCGGAAACCCCAGCATCAGAACTGGCCGATGGAACTGCGACGCGCATCGCAGAGCACACAGACTTCGGTAGCATCACCATGCTCTTCCAGGACTCAGTCGGTGGCCTTCAGGTCGAGGATCAGCAAAATCCGGGCGTGTTCCGCGGGATTGAGTCGGCTGATAAGACAGAGATCATATTGAATATCGGCGACTCAATGCAACGACTCACGAATGATACTTTCCGGGCTGCATGCCACCGTGTCACCTATCCACCTTCTGTCAAGGTTGGCTCAGAGTCTGTCATTCCCGAGCGGTACTCAATCGCATACTTTGCGAAGCCGAACCGAACAGCATCGCTTTTCCCCTTCAAGGAGTTCATCACGCCATCATATCCCTGTCGGTACGATGACGTGAATGCATGGGACTACCAGAATCTTCGCATTTCCAAGCTCTTTAAATAAGCACCCCCTCGGGCCCACTCAATGAACATTCTGTCGATAAACCAATATTGGAGTTATATCGCTTTTCCTGAGTCGTATACTGAATGTAAAATCTGGTAGTCTCTTGAAGAGTGATATGGATTTACGTAGTAGATTGCTTGTAGAATAACACAGAAATCTGTAGGCAAGAATCAATTGAATGTTCATACATGGTAGATGGCATCGGATGGATCCGAGACGAGGTGACTTTAATCTTACTTAAGGAACCTGAGATTAAGAGGTCAGATAAGCCTAGTTCTGGGATCAGTTTAAATATCAGATAAGCTTGAAAGATCGGATAAATGTAAGCATCAGATGAATCAGAGATTGGACAAATCAATGAGAATGGCATATCATCCCTTAGGCTCCGGCGGTCGGAACACGGAATCTCGTGGAATAGTAATGGGAAAGTCATCAAATTCATTCACTGGGATGCCGATGCACTATCTAGCCACGAACTGGTCCACATATCCATGATTTGGGCATCGGGCACATGGAGAGGAGAAATGTCCAGAGGCATCTCGAATGGAGCTACAGAAGCCTGTCCGCCAAGGACAGAATCGTATTGAACAGCCTGAAAAAGAAACATGTCAGCGACAGTAAACCCGCAAGTAGTCAGAACGCTTTTACCATTGTTTGCCCTTCTAGTATGCCAGGTGTTGTCGGCGAGGTAATTGGTTGACCTTCGTGATGGGACAGTGATTGCAAGATACTGGCAATTTTGCGTCAGTTCCATAATTACTAGGTCTTAGTATCGTGGCCTACCTTGACGTTTCCGAGGGATCGCTGGAAATAATCTTGTTTAGCAAATCTCTCACTTTGGGAGTTTGATGCGTCTCGGAAGTATGGCCATCATGAACAAATAAGTTCGAAACATCCTCGAACAGTCGCAGGAAGGGCTCGACACCGGGCAATACCCGAGTGTATACAGCCAATGCGCTTAGGCAAGCACTAATGGCCCGATGGGCCTGTCTGGGTGTCAATGCCGTAGGCTTTATGACCAAGCATTGTAGTAACGTGATCCCAGCATAAAAGCAATGATAAACTGTTATCCTGTCTGGAAGGGTCAGGGGATTGAGACTCAGGGCCTTCGCGCTCTGTTAAGGGATTAGTCAAGTTCGATCGGCTGTTTACAGTCACATACCTCGCATGCATCAGCGGCGAACATGACGCACAGCCCGATCAAATCAAGATTCATCAAATCCCCAGTGAGAATCGGGCGAATCAAAAGAAGGACTGCTTGGAGATAATTTGCTTGAACTCTGTCGGGGTTCTGCTGTGGAAAGGATTTGGATTCTTGTTTGCGCGGTGCGTTCTGCCTCCACTGGTCCAGTTCGAAGAGGATGTCCTGCACTTCATTTAATGATGGCATTCGCGCATGAGGCCCGGCATAGTGGGTTCTAGACATTGTTCAGTCTTGGCTGCCTTATTGCATCACTAGCACTTACAAAATGCGAGATCTTATGCGGTATACTTGTAAATGGTGCAACGCTGCAGTCATCTACAAAAAATTAGTTCAAAAGGTCCCCAGAAGACCGCGCGCGTTCTTACTGTTGTGGTTGTCCCGTTTGTAGATGTATAGTCTCCAGCTGCCTGCTTTATCTGAAGTATTCGAATCGCTTGCTCATCTGTACAGGTATCGTCTATATCAACAGGCACCTTCATGATTGATTAGAAAATGTCACACTGTTGTGTGGTAGAGACACACCTCAGTATCAATTTCTGAGTCGCTAATTCCAAAAGGAAGCTTCGACATCATGGATATCAGGCTGCGCTTCAATCAGTCGTAGGCGGCCAAAGATGGCGAAAGTAGTCAACGAACCGGTCGAAGCAATATGCGCACCAGAAGAATCGCTTTTGGAGCTCCAACTGATAAGCCGTTTTATTTTGCATGGTAGACGTATTCGCAGTCTTGCGATGATACCTGAGCTTAATGCACAGTCGCAAAGCAACTCCGACAAGATCCCTGGGAATTTGAAATTCTGTCAGCGAGGCAGGTCCATATTATAGGATGAATTGTTACCAACCAGATTAGAGACTCATTCTGCTTATGTCAGACGTTGTTGGCGATCGTGGATCAAGGGATGATTCTCACCGGAGCTCTAAAATAGTATTGTGTCAGGCATAGCAGTGCCTGGACAGTTTCCAGGCTTTGGAAAGACATAACCGCAGGGATGTACAGTTGAGCACGGGAAAAGTATTCCTAGGACCTATGGATTAGACGTTTCACAGCAGTCAAGCAGGGGCTAGAGGTCTACCTCTGTTGAACTCTCAGGATTTGGTACTAGGCAAGCACCGATCGCATAAATTATCCAAATAAAGAAGGTGCCTAGAAGTGTCAGGTCACTATCTTTGTCGATATTCCGGGAAGACTCACCAGTTTGCTGTTCTGCTGGACCTTCTGGGGAGGTATAAGCTATCATCTCCCGGTCGCGGTGCCATTCCCGTAGCTGAGCCCAATCGATAATGCAATACCGTGCCTGGGTGTAAAAGTAAACAGTATCCACAAGTTCACGAGCACGGTCATCAGATGGAAGATCTGGTAAGGTATCTTTGTTGAGTCTCGAATCAAGTGCCCCGTTGTTAATGACGCCCAGGATGCTGATGTCTTGCCGCGGGCTTTTCTTCTCGGCTGAATATCCTGAACGTACGCTCGAGGACTGTTCGTTTTGCACGGAGCGGTCGTGAAAAGAGCCTCGTTTTGGGAACTGGGCATCGCAAAGGCTCTTGGACTCGGTGTGTCGAGTAGATTCGTGCATTGTGTCGATTTGCGTGTTGAAAAGGATTCGAGGCGACATGTGTCTCATATTGGCAGGTGAATGTGAGAATGTTGTCTCTGGCGTAAGACTCGCCTGGTCCTTCTGCCTTGATGATCCGTTTTTGTTCGCCTTTAATTGTCTTTCGAGGTTTTGGATCCGAGCTTCGAGTGTCGCGACATATCTATGAGAGGATTAACAGAGGCTCGGCTGCCGATTTGTCGCCCGCAAACCAACCCTTGACTTCTTAGCATCCCATCAGGTGCAGCATCGAACAAACATTCTGTAGGAGCCTTAGCCTTGAAACTTGGGTCATTGAAAATGCCGAATATATACCAGACCGCGCTTTTGAACACGCGACGCATTTGCTAGACATCCGTAAGCTTTGTACTGCACAATCATAAGCATGACAAACCCATCGCTGCTCTCGATCTTATAGGAACATTTTATTTTCCTTCGCTTGCATCGGCGACCTTCGCTATGTACATCAGTCACTGTAGTCGATGGTTAACACCAAGGCGATTGACCCACAAGCATTTGTGCTTCTGCGGTGGATACCGCTGGCAGCATTGATGTTCCAGAGTGGAGTACTGTCTTGGCGACCAGCGAGGCCAGCTGGCGTGTGCATTTCCATGAAATCCGAGCTTCCGATTCGCGTGGTGTCTGCGAGACGTATTCTCCAGGTTCTTGAGGGTCATGAAAGCGTTGCTGGTCAGAAACGCAGGGAAAGGCCGTGCCACGTGACTCTGCGTTGCGCTTTGACCGCGTTCAACCACGAATGAATTGCAGGCGCGAGCGGGGACAAATCTGGGGCCGAGCCTGCGTACAGCACCGCAAAAGTAACACACACGCGTGGCTAGCCTTGCGTTGCGGCTGACCGAGACGCATAGAAGCAAAAATGCGTCAATCGGTTTCCTACCCGTCTACGATTCGTTTCGTGGTCTTTCCCGCGCGAGGAGCGATTCCTTCGTCACCCAGTCAAGCATCCGCGGACGGAACGCGACAGTATTTCCACGCTATCAACGTTGCTAATCTCGGAGGCAGACCAATACTTGCGATATCCTCAAGATCAATTTGATTGGTAGATATAATTTACCGACTACCAACGATGACGTTCATCCGAGTTTTGACCCCAGAAAGATAAGAGACTAGCGTAGGAGGCCGATCGACCGTCTAAGCGCCTCGAAACGGCAGGACTCTTGGTTTCCTAATTTGTCTCATTGGCCACCGGAATACCTGCTCGCAAGCCCCATGACTCTCTACGATTTTGTCGTATTGGGAGGACCAAGACAGACGACCACTGCCATTGGTTTGTTACGGAAGGGGCAATACAAGCGAGTGACCGAGGCTACTGGCCACGATTCTAGTGTTTTGGCATCTACGCAATTAGAGTCGCGCTTTCGGGTTGCCTGGCACGAGAGTCGCTTCGAAGTTTCCAAAATTATCGATTGCCGAGTTTCCGAATCATATCAGTTACAGAAATTCATTCGCCATGTGCATCACTCAGTGACCCGTCACCTGCGTCGCACCCTCCGTCGGCCGTTTCTGCGATTTGCTATCCACAGGAGAAAAGTCTGGATCCCCGTGTCTGACATTTGAAGTTAGTGATTGAATTGTGGGAAGAGATGAATGAGCGTCATCTTACGATTTCGGGCCCACATCCTGTCCCTCCAGCATCGACTGAATTCCGCGAGTTCTTCCTCGTCTTCCAGCGACGACCCACGGCCCATTGAAAATAGAATCGATCTCCTCAACGCTGAGTCCTGCAATATCTGGCACCAGAAGATACACATAGATCAAGCCGCCCGCACACCAAGCCGCGAAGAAAACAAAGGCACCCCAATTCTCGGTTCGGGATAGGAGCGATGGCAATGCATATGTCATGGCATAATGAAACAGCCAGTGGAATGTCTGCGACAAGGCCGCGCCAAAGGAACGGATGCGATTCGGCCACAGCTCTCCGCCAAATACGTACGGCAGTGTGAGAAGGCCTTCGAAATTCATCAGCTATCATGAATCGGATGTCAATTAGATCTTGGAAGTACTCACCCACTGAATATCCAAGAGCATGAATGAATATAGCTGCAAGGGCTGCCTGACTTGCCCCTTCAGATGCCCCGGTGTCCTGCTCGACTTTAATGTATGCGGCAAGATATACGTCCGACAGCAATTGAAGAATGATTCCCACGAAGAGGGAGTTTCGGCGACCCAAGGCGTCGATGAATAGAAAGGATGCGAAGAGACTAAAGATGAATTTGGCGAGAGTGTACATGCCACTAAGCAGCAGGTTATGAATGGAGTTGCCAGACAGCCCAGCAACCTCCAGAATGGGGACGAAGTAGTTGGTAACTGAGTTCCCGCCCGAGAACTGTGGGAGAGCGTACATGATAAGAGCTTGTTGGACACGCCGCAAATTCGATGGTTTCGTAAAGGTTTCCTTTGCAACACTGACAAGGTGGGACTCAGATGAGTTGCTGGCATTGCAGAAGTCATTTTCGGACTGGATGGACAGCTTGATGCTTTGGAATTCCTCCTGTACCCGAGGATGGTGTTCCGGGAGCTGCCGGAGCGAGACAAGTGCCCTCATGGCCTCTTCATCTCGGCCAGACAAAAGCAGCCACCTCGGAGACTCGCAAAGGAAAAAGCTGGCGACGACCCACAGAGCCATAAAGATGCAAGGAGAAAACCACACCACCTGGTACTGCAATTTGCTTTGTGGGATATGCAGCTCCATGCCGTAAACGCAAAAGGTAGATGTCATGAGCGCAATGCCCATACATACCGAGTACCATGCTGAGAGCAGCCCTCGGATCTCAGCAGGTGCAATCTCAACGATTGAAACCGTTCCGGTAACACTCAGCGAGCCTATGCCCAAGCCGCAGATTATTCGGGCAGCATAGAGGCCGGATGCTCCGGGGCTGAACATTGCAACCAGCTGTCCAATTATCCAAATGCAAGTATACAGACGGTATGACCACAAGCGTCCGATCCGATCATTGATGAAGAATGAAAGAGCCGCACCCACTGCATCACCGATGTATACCAAAGAAACGAAGTTCTTTGTTGATCCCGCACCGGAGGAAGAGCTGATGCCGAAATGTTCTTGGAAACTCGATAGCGAGGATACTGTTGCCGCGGATCCTTGGTCCCAGGCTGTCGTCCGTTCTTGTCAGTGGAATGTGCAGTCACCCCAAAGTCGGTCAACCTACTCAGAGGAATCGCAGCAGTCGCGTACATCATGGCCGATATAAGCAGACCTTTGCTTAAGATGACCTCGCGCCGGGCCGACCTAATCTTCTTGATGTATACCGCCATTGCAGTTCGGTTCAAAATGTCGCGAACGCCCATGTTGAGAATGAAAACCCTACCAAACGTGGCGCCTGTCGGAAATCTTTTGTCGGGCCGAACAGAGAAATATGCAAGGAGTCTCAGGTCAGCGTGCTGCAATAGTTGTACTACATAGGCGCGAATCTCCTAGGTCTCCACTTTCTTCTTATACGATGTTCAGCTCTACCCCGGCAAACCCGTCCTCCACAGGACCAGAGCAGCGGAAATAGCTATCAGTGATATCTCACATGGCCATGCAGTATTGTACACAAGTGCGAGGTCTCTGTTAGCGGTCAAGCTGCCGGATATTATTGGTGGAGATACGTGTTGTAACATCGTAATACATGACAGAGGATTTGCGGGGTTCAATCAAATCGCTGGAATCGACTGGAGATGACGGTGATAACGGAAATGCCGTGTTGACGGCTACACTCCGCGTCCAGCTGAGCCCTGCTGAGCTGCTGCGCTGTTCGTGCGACCCACCGCAACCCCGCACTGCGTTCATTAAGTCTTTTATCAACGGCATCCCCCGCATTCCGGCGCCCACGCCAACTTGCACATAAACGGCTAGCCCGACGGAAATCCCGCTCGCCGCTATCTAATCCCCGGATGGTCTGGACAGTAATCTTGGATCGCGGCAATCCCGTCACCACTATTTCAATTCAAAAGCTTCAAGTCTGGGTACAGGTCTGGGTAGTATACGCTCATCACTTGCATCCTTACAGCGGGACTTCATAGCAGCTCTGTGATCTTCGCTAATATTTTTATACGTCATTTGTCAGGCAGTTTGCTATTGGAAAATGACTTCTCCCGAGTCCAGCGTGATCATCGTCGGCGGCGGCGTGTTTGGTTTGAGCACGGCCCTGTGGCTCGCCCGAGGCGGTTACAAGAAAGTCACGATCTTCGATCGATGCGCCTTTGAGGAAAACTTCTACGACCCTTCCAATGGATGTGACGGTGCGTCTGCGGATATCAACAAAATCTTTCGGGCGACATACGGAGCTCAAACCCAGTGAGTTCGACGTTCTATACATCACATCTTGAAATTAATCATCTGACGTCTTACACAGCTCGCAAGATCTTGCCCTGGAGGCCAAGGAAATCTGGCTTCAGTGGAACAAAGAGATCAGGAATAGCCGTACTTGCGATTTGCCGCAGCCCCTCAAGCCGGAGGATGAATTGCTTTTGAATTGCGGTTTGTTTCATCTGGCCGACGGGCCTGAGATGATCGACCGCTATGTCGAGAATCTTAGAGTGATGGAAGAAACAGCACCTTCATTTCGCGACCTGCAGTTTGTGAAGGTAGATTATAAGAAGGCCCAAATGAGTTGCCTTGGTGCTAATATTATTTGCAGAACAGCCCAAAGGACGAAAAGCGAGCGACTGAGTTGGGCCCAGAGTGGGCGAAAAAGTACCATCTCTTTGATCGATTCCGAGACGGTCGCACGAACGGATTCCTGGACGCTGGTTCTGGAGTTACGTTGGCGGACAAGGTCAGTCTATATCATTCAGAGCTTTCGATTCAGATCTGACATCCGATCAGGCATGCGTGTATGCCCGGCACCTGTGTGTAAAAGCTGGGGTTAAATTCATCCTCGGCCGGCCTCAAGGTGAACTTGACCAATTGATTGTCGAGCGATCACAGTCCAGCAAGCGTGTAACCGGGATCAAGACGCGAGACGGCCGTGCGCACAATGCCGATTTCGTTGTGGTCGCCTGTAAGTGCTTCGCGTCTTGACCAAATCTTTCGACTGTTGACACTTCTTCCAGGTGGACCTTGGTCCTCGTCCGTTATCCCAGAGGCCCATCGCTCTGTTGAGGCGACAATGGGAACAGTCATGTTCATCGATGTCCCTGAGGACAGACAGGATCTGCGAGAGCGATTTCATCCCAAGAACTTCCCCGTCTGGCGATTCTTGGAAGGCGAAGGCGATGAGTAAGGAACCCAATTGTGCCCAGCATGCACTTCTGCTAACGTGTCTGTCAGTGCTTACGAAGGAGGTGGCTTTCCGATCACCAAGGAGGGCAGACTCAAGTTTGGTTTCCGTGCTCGAAAGGTATGCGATAATGCACATCGATACTCTAGAGACATATTAACTCTTCGACAAGTTCACGAACTTTCAGGACCACCCGTCAGAAAAATGCTTGTAAGTCCCTCTGTCAGGTGATGCTGCGCTAGAATATGAAGAGCTCACACAGACCTTCTAGGCGCATTTCAACACCTCGAACCAAGTACAGCCCAGAGCCCATCAACACCGTGCCTCTTTACGGTCTTCAGCTCATGAAGCGGGTCATTGGTGGGCTCTTCCCAGAGCTTACTGAAATCGGCTTCACTGATAGTCGTGTAAGTCCATTGTCCTTTGTTCCTCTATTACACTTTTACTGACATCCATCGTTTTAGCTGTGCTGGTACACGGACAGTATCGACAATGAGGTAGACTGCGGTTTCCGGGCACGAATACGCTTGAATCAACTCGCTGATCTTTCCTAGTTTGTCATCGACTATGTTCCCGGATATTCCGACACCCTTTTCATCTGCACGGGTGGCTCGTGAGTAATATCCGACTGCATATCGCAAAGTAAATACTTATATTTCGCAGCGGCCATGGATTCAAGTTTCTTCCTATTCTCGGCAAGGTTGGATTCTCCCCTAGTGACCCTTCTTGCCTTTCCCATCATAACTCACAATTTCTCGCAGTATGTCAAGAATCAACTTGAACGAGTACCCGACCGCTTCACTCCTCTCTGGAAATGGAGGAGTGTTGAGGAGGGCAAAAAGTGCAATGGACTCGAGGAGGGAGAATCAGGACCACGCGAGATGTCGAAGCTGCGGCTGGCGAAACGTGAGAATTCCATCCTTTTCCAGCTATTGACATGTGTTAACAATTCCATGCAGCGCAAGATTTCAAGTTTTCGATCAAGAGTACCTTGTGATTTGATACCTATGAGGCCTCATCCTGGAGTAGCCCATGTCACGCTCTCGCTGTATAGCGATACTTGTATAGGGATGGTATTCCACTTAACGTGTTTTGAGGTTATCAAGGAATGTTCTATAGTTGTATAGATGTTTCGCAAACTCAGGTCAGTTGTGAGCCTGTGATAGATGCCACGCTGCTCACAAGTATACATTTTCAATTGTTTTTGTCGAATTGGATTAGACGCCACTCTGCTAAGCGTGGCGGGATAAAGTTAGCATAAAAAAGACCTATGCTGATATCTGGATTACTGCAGACATATTTATAGTTGTATTCTACTGATTCTGATTTATCCCATCGCAATCAATCCCATAGTCATACAATCTGAGGTCAGCCTTGGCGGCCAGTCTGTTTCCGCGATTACATAATATTCCACATGAGATGCGATCGCGACCACGGAGACTTCAAAAATGCCGAGGTCCATCAGGTCCAGATCAGGGCCAGCATTGCCATTCGCCCACATGCTCCCAACGCTCCACTCGTTCTCGGAGCGTTGGCCACGGTCGACCATGAATTCCCAACGAACCCCTGCGCGCGCCTGGCCTCGCGGATCAACTTCCAAATCCGATTTTTCTGATTATACGACACGGTCCGTGGCAAATGCTTTTATAACGCTAGTCACTAGGTCGGGATTTCTCGCATCACACTAGCCTTTGGTTTCGATTTTGGAAGGCGCTTTGTTTCAATCGTCTCCGACCTGTCACCCCGACGTCCGATCCACCTCTGTGCACAACAATGGCTCCGCAGCCTCTACCATTCCCCGGGTTTACCCCGATATCAAACCGGGTCTATCTTCGCGATGGTCACGAAAAGGCCGAACCAGCCCCGGCTGATGAACCAACAACGATCATGATTTTTGGGTGGGGCGATGGCATGCCAAAAAATGTTTCCAAATACGCCGATGGGTACCACGAGCTGTACCCCTCCGCCCGTATCATTGTGGTGCTGTCACGCACTCTACATGCATCAAACCAGCCTCTCGACGCCCGCGTGGAAGCGATGATGCCGGTAGTTGACATGGTATTCCCGACACCAACCGGCGACGGTGCAGGCGAAGAGCGCGTGTTGATGCATGCGATGTCAAATACAGGCGGTATATTCACAGCCGCCACGGTCGTCGCGTACCAAAAACGTCATGGCACCGACAAAACTCTTCCTCACACACTGCTGGTCTGCGACTCCACACCGGGCAGTCTTGATTTCGCGTCGCAAGTTGGCCGCTGGTCTCGCGCGATGGCAGTCGGAACTGCCAAATTCTTTCCGTGGCCGTCTATTGTCACCCAGGGTCTGTGGTACGCCTTCTTGTGGGCCAACTTTGCTTTGGAATGGGTGCGAGGATCTGAACCGTCTGGGGTGTGGGCAACGCGAATCATGAACGATCAGACCATTGCCCCAATCAGTTCAAACCGGCTTTACTTGTACTCTAAAGAAGACGAGATTATCTGGTGGGAGGACTTGGAGCATGCCGTTGCCCAGGTAAAGAGTCTGGGTTATAAAGTTGATCTCGAAATGTTTGAGGGATCGCCGCATGTGGGACACATGCGATTGCACCCGGAGCAATATTGGAACAAGGTTTCAAATGCTTGGAAAGAGGCGCAGGATCAACAATAGACCAGAGAGGAGGGGATCATTATTTGTAATCTACAATTGTATAACGTAATTCCCGCCGACCTGGACACCTACCCCTATTAGACAGTTTTGAATTAGGATATCTTAACCGAAACACCTAAATTGAATTAAATATAGCGACTTTTACATGAATTGATCCTGTGCCCAACCACCCTACACCCACTGCACCTTGGCGCAGCCCTCGTTGCTACCTGATCTGGCTGAATAGGCAATTCGGCCTGCGTATACGATACTAACCCATTAGCTTCAACTGGTTGATCTAGCTGCTGAGCTAGCTGTCGGGCATCTTCAACCGATAGGCCCTTCATGTGCTATCTGCCGTTTTGACCGTGTGCGGTTTTGGCGTTTCTTCTCATTCGCTGTGCGTAGATTCGTGACTTCTTGCGCTAGTACCGCAGTGTTATGCAGCGATACATAGTGGCCTTTAATAATCTGATCTAGCATAATTTTTGATGGGCTCGGAGGGCTATTTGACCGTTGCTTTAGGAGTTTGTTAAGCATTGAAGCTTGCTTTGTAGTTGAACGACGGTCTTTGGCGTTTTTAGGGTGGATTGGCTAGATCTGCTGCTTGGCCGGCTTCCTGGTGGTGTTGGCGTTCGGAGCGAGATATTTAGCTTTGAAAGCACACGCTCTGGGTTAATTGGAGTAAGACCAGTAGCAGCAAAGCTATTTCGAATAGTCTGAGGTTGAAACACCTCAATACGCTCTTGGGAGTAATCTGCGAGAAAATCGAGCTGATCGATGTAGTTATATCCAACGCGCGCTAGATCGCTCACAAAACGACCGTATGTGCATTCAAGCACAGCAAAATAGCCAACATCAAGCGGTTATAGTAGATGCGAGGAATGCGAAGGCATGAAAAGCGGTATAATATCGTTTTCTGCGCAGATTCGATCGAATTGAGGTGTAAGATGGCTACCGTGGCCATCAAGAATTAATACCCGATATCTACCTCGGACACGCGAATTCGTTGATGGAATAATAGCTTTTGTAGCCAGCGAAGGCCAATCTCATCGGCGGTCCAGCCATTCTTCGAAACCTCGATTCGCCAATCTCCTGGGAGGTTATCAAACCAGCCCTCGATATAGACTTCGCCTTTAAATATCCCACATGGCGGTAGAAAATAGCTTTCTGCGCAGATTGCTTCGATAGCAGTGAACCATTTGCAATTTCCTGGTTGTAGGATAGATCGCCGACCGTAGTATTCTGCTCGAGTAACCACCTTCTGCGCTGAAATAAGACCTATTGCGAATCCTGCCTCATTGAAATGGTAGATATCCTCTGTTTGAATACCCTTCTCATCGATAACGCGTTGTACGGTAGAAGACCACTCTCGTAGCGATTTCGGTCTCCTTTTAGAGCGCGCTGGTAGTCGTATCTTCTTGACAAGCGTGTGCGAAGATCATCGCGCCGTTGAATAAAGGTTGATGGCCAATACTTGCCTACAGTAGCCAGAGGGTTATTACCACGCATAGCTAGTAGGCTATTAGCCATATCTCGCACAGTAGATGGCCTAGACACTGCTCCACGCGAATCCATAGAGATAATCCACTCAGTAAGTGGACCCTCTTCACATTGGGTCAAATTATGACCGGATGGGCGTTTCTCAGCGCGTGAGATTTGACCGTGGGAGCGCGTATGTAGTGTTGAGAACGGTATGTCGTATAACTTTGCTCCTGCGCGAAGAGATTTGATGCGACCGTCTTTTAAATCCTGGAGTGCTAGTAGTATCTTGCCTTCCTGATTAGCCGACTTTTGCCGGGATTTAGAGCGTTTTGGTGGCATGGTTGGTGGTCGAAGCGGAGGATGTAGAGATAGGGACGCGTTTTTGAGTGGGTGTCCAGGTCGGCCAGGAATTACGTTATCACATTAGACTGGACATAGATATGGAATGAGGAATGGTTCGCGGTAAATTTGCCGAGCCCAACAACTCAATTTTGAAAGTCCCGGGCCTAGTTGTTGGTGCTGTATCCGTGCTGCGCCAGGAACTCCTCCAGTGACCTGTCTTCTTCCTCCAGATCCAACTTCCTGCTCTCGGGAAGCAGGGCGTAAACGATCATGCCAAGAACAGCCACTCCACCAGCCAGGTAGAACGTAGAGCTGCTGCCAGCCGCCTTTTCCAGAGGAGTGAAACACTCCGTGCCAACTGCAGCACCAGTCCTACCAAAAGCAGTTGCAATTCCATAACCCATTCCTCTCATGGCTGTGGGGAAAGCCTCTGAGGAGATCAAGCCAATCGTAGCACCAGGTCCCATATGACCAAATGCCTGCAACAGACCATACAGGACAACAAAGGCGGCAATGTGCTTCGAGAGTTTTTCGTATGTGCCTCCAATAATGAAACCGAGAACCATGTATCCCGCAAAACCTAGAATTCCAGTGTTTCGACGACCTATGGCATTGGTTAACCACGCACCGATCATGACACCAGGAACCGGGAGGACTGCCAGAATGACCTGCCAAATAGCAGTTTGTCTGATATCGCTGTCTTTGACCAGAGACGAAATAATGGTGCTGGACATGATACTGTTGGGGAAGTTGATGAAGTCATACAGGAAGAACGCGAGCGATGTCGTGAAGATGCGCCACCGGTACCGCCGGGCAAGAAGCAGGTATACCTTCGGTGAACGGCGTTGGTTTGTCAGATTTGAGTGATGGAACAACGACGAGTCGACCATGAACAGGCGCAAGATGATGATAAAAATCGGCAAGATAGTGGCGATCGAGTAGATCGCGTGGAATGTGACAGTCAGGTTATTGTCACTGGCGATCAGGCAGATCAGATAGATAATCTGAAGGATTGGACCTGCAAGCGTGGCCATCAACGTCGTGAAGGAGACGAAAAGCGGGCCTCGGTACTTCTGCAAGACCTATTTGGCAATTATCAGTATCACAAGATTTGTCACCGGAGAGGGTGCACTTACAGAGTCAGATTCCTCGATACCAGCGGCCGCACTGGGAGGATATTCACCACCGACGCCGAATCCAGCAATACCACGGGCAACAACAAAATACCACAGCATGTTATGCGACGGATGGACACTCAATGCCACAGTCGACATCAGCGTGCCAATCGCGACCAAAGATGACGTGAATAACAATCCAGATCGACGCGAGAACATGTCTGAAGTATAGCCCAGCACAACAACACCGAGAATCGCGCCAATAATTAAGGAGTTACTGATCCGAGTTTTCATCTCGGACGAATAACCACCTGATCCAAGAAGTTCCTTGAAAATGACATTCGTCGGATTGGCAAGCGTGTTCTGAAAGCCATCGCTGAAGTTCGCAATGTACTGAATACAAATCCATTAGATTCTGAGGCCATTCGGGTGTTGTATCAACTTACACAGCTCACGATAGTGACATTACTCTGCCATTTCGGCAGATGAAATGGATCATTCGATCCATTACCCGTCTCTTTGCCAACAACAGTTGTGTTGGCCTTGTCCGAGCCATCTATGACATTCGGCCGTTGCTCTTCCTCTGAATTGACCGACATGGCTCCAGAACTTGATCACGACAGAGTAGTGGGTCAGAAGATTCTGAGTCAGCGGACAGGCCGTCTCTAATATGGATTTCATCAAATGCACCTAGACCTTTAGTCGTTCCACTTTCGCGATAAGAGACGCACTCTGGTGAAAATTTTACGTCTTAGCTCCGACCGCCCCACGGGTAATCAACTGTGACATATTTCCGCGGAGACGTTACCGAGGGGTATTGTGTATTTACATGTTGGATTTGACGAAATTCATGCTGAGAAGCGTTTGATTGGCGGCGGGTATCTTGGGGCGGAAGACTAGGGTGGCGCGTGGAAAGTTGATGCCGAATGCTTAATTCTGTGCCAAGTCCGCATATCTCCGCTCGTGCGCAAAGCAGATGAGCAGGAACGACACTTAGCCTCTTACCAACTCCGAGTGTACCTTTGTTGCTTTCCATCTATTGGAGTTCTCTATTCTTTCTCGACTTTCCAAATTGTTCAAGTGAAGCCGCAGGTAAGTCGACTTGGTAGACTTTTGGCCGCATGCGGCTGGGCCCCTCTTCATCGGGCGGACAGGAGTCGTTGGAATATGCGCCCCTTGCAAACCTTTCTCCTTCGAATACGAGGGAAATTTGGATATATCTATGTTCTCAGTAATTCTAAATTGACTTGCGAGAAAAAAATTGCCGAAAATATTGAAAGGGCAAAGAAAATATCACCGAAGCGCATGTTTGTTTTGGATTTCGCGGGAAGACAGTCATCATAACTCCGTTGCTCATGCAGATGGCTGTACCAACCAGGAAACTCCGTCGCCGATCGCCGCTTGTATTTCATTTCTAGATGTTCGGAAACAGTCACGATGCCCGAATGGCTCTGCTGCTTTCATCCATCAAGCTGTTTTTTATATGTTCAGATCGCATATTGAGTGAGTGTCTCTCGACAGGCGCAGGACTGCACCACAACCGCATCCCAATATCTTGATGCCGTCGTTGCAATTTGTGAATGCGGCTCAGAGCCCAAAGGCCATCATAACCTTGGTCGGAACCATTTGCATAATCCTTCTCACAATCCACCTATCTTCCCACCCGCAGTCCGGCGCAAAACCATCCTTCGCATCCTACTTCCCATCCTCGTCATAGTGTCCTCGAACGATCGCCGACACCGACTTCTCCCCGACCGCGATTCGATGCCGAATACAAACTGCGCAAAAGCAAGCACATTTCGCGCAGAAGGCCCAGTCCTCCACACCCGAACAAGCCATTGCGGAATATAACCGGCGGTATCGACAAGACCCACCCAAGGGGTTTTACGAATGTGCCCAATTCGCACTCGATCATAGATCTATGGTCATTGACGATTTTGATCAGATTGATAGGGACCTCGAATATTACCGCACCCCCGAGAGGACGCATACCGAATTCTCAATGAAAAAAAAATCGAAAATTGGCACTGGATCAGGCGCATTGCCTTCTTGGATGGCGCAATGAACCGATCTGCTGAGTATATGTACGACGATATCCTGCCCGATCTACTAAAACCGTTCATCCACGCACTGCCCGACTACAGCCTATTCTACATGAGCACCATCGACGAACCGCGCGTACTCAGCAAGTCAGGACAACAGCCGACGGAGATCAAGTTTACTGACTCATCTGGATAATCTATCGAAGAGCTGGTCAAGGATTTGTGTACGCAGATCCTGCGGGAACTGACGAACTGTCTTAGCCATGAGAAGGATATTTGTCAATTCGACGAGCCCGGCAAGCTGCACGCACTTGTTGCAGCCCCTAGCTCGTTTTCAACGACCGATTCACCCGTTCCAGTTCTCAGCTTCGGCAGGATGTCCGCGTTCCGAGATATTCTGATACCATGTCCCTGCTATGCGGCCCATCCCCTGCTGGGAGAAGATGACGTTCGGTTCCTCAGCAAGAAATCTGGATAGTACTGGCGCGGTTCATCATTGACAGGTCGTCAGGCGACGCGTTTCAACTTGCGATTCGGTCACCGACAGCGCTTCGTCGCATTCATTCTAGCCTTACAAAACGCAGCGAATGTTCTCGACGTAAGCCGTCATCTGGGTTTCAAAGTCAGCACCCTCGACCAAAAACGGATAACTATGTTCAACGACATGTTGATGTCCACATGGGAGACTACAAGCAATGCGAGATAAATGGAGACCGTACCGCCTGCGACGACATGGCATGAGTTCTCGGCACATCCGACTTCGAACCCGATGACACATCCTTGGGTTACCGGTCTCTTCGACCTCGATGGAAACAGCACGAGCACTCGATTCTACCGTCTCCTGTCTCGTCGAGCTGTGGTCCTGAAACAAACATGGTTCCACGAATGGCACGACGATCGTCTTATACCCTGGGCTCATTACATCCTCGTAACCATGAGCATGGAGGAGCTTCCAGCATTGATGGACTTTCTCATCAACGACCCCGAGGGCGAGCAATTGTCTGCTGAGACTATACGTGGTTAAGACAGGTTCTTCGCAAGATTGATATCTCGATTTACATCTACAGACTCATGCTGGAAATGGTGGAGCTGTATGGTCCAGTTGATCCTGACAGTAATGGGTTCAAGTCTTCTGCGGAGAGAGTTATTTAAGAAGAAGATGTAGGACCAATTTAAGATGGTGTTTGCTGCTAATGCATATTCTATATCCGAAAGGCTTTAGTAAAACATATCATTCCGCAAGAAGGGTTGGTAAATTTAGAGGTGGTATTGGCGGGGGTTGTCGACAGTAATGCCTAATCGTCCCCACATGGCTTCAACATTCATATCTTCTTGGCCACTAGGAAAGTTAGCTTCAAAATTTGATTTCAATGCCGAATGAGGGAGTTGTGACCTACTCCTGTTTCTCGTTGATCCAAGGCTCGGTCTGGCCTTCCGCGGTGTTGGGATTGCGGAAGATAACGTTATATTTCTGTTTGACGCGAAATTAGTACGAGATATGACGGACCAACTGATGTCAGAGACTTACCATGCCCAATGTAAGATGGATAGCCCCTGGGCCCTTGACAAAGGTCTCTTCCGCCTTATTTCCTTCTATTAAAGAAACAATGTTCCTCGCGACCACTCCAGCCTGAACCGAGCCAGGCCGGGCAGCCTTCTGGGCCCCTGTATCGGCGATGTCACCCACAGCGAAGATGTTGGAGTACTTCTTGTCCTGAAGCTGCATGGTCGGTCGAATTCGAAGGAAACCATTATCCGGGTTCACCACTGATGCACCGCCAGCAGACGGCTCTAAATCGGCAACCATCTGATTATTGGGTGTTTGTCCAGTCGCCAAGATCACGAATTCGGTCGACTCGATCGTCCCATTTGTTAGCTGCACATCAAATGGCTTGCCATTGTTGGGGAAGCCGCCTTCTGGGATGGTAACCCGAGAACCAGTGACCAGCCTGATCCCCAGCTCATCGAACCGCTTCTTAATGAGATCGTGCAGTTGCGGGTGGAAATTCGGCATCACCTGGGGTCGTGACTGCACAACGGTGACAACTTTCTTTGGGTAGTATTCTTTCAGATCGGTAGCCATTTGTACGCCGACCGCGCCACCACCGACGATCAAAACGGACTTTGCTTTTTGCACATCGCTCTGGTGCTTCTGCAGATACTCGACCGACGGCAGCTTCTCATCGTGCTCCATAGCTGCCGGCTTGGAAAGTCGGGTGCCGGTGGCGAGAACAATATAGTCGAATGGAATCTGCTTTGATCCTTGCCATTCCCGATCCAGCTCGATATGCTGGGCCTTGACCGAGAGCACACGTGCCTGGACGACACCGTGGGAGGCAGCGTGGGGTGTTCCGGAGAAGATACCGCTGTAAGGAACAAATGCTTTGTGTTCCTGGCCTGGAACAATGGCGAAACGTGGCTGGATCATGTCAGTGCTTACCGTCTCAGTTTTCTTCTGTAAGTACTTACAAATGTAAAGAGATGGTGGAAATGACTATGCGGTTCGGTGAGGAGAATCTATATTAGGCATCAGCACTGCTCTCAATTCAACCAACTGATTACGACTACATACTCTATGCGTCGGCGGAACGATCTTCGCCAGCTCTTGAGCGGTCGACTGCTCGAATGTCAGCACGTAATCCACGCCAATGGTTCGGGCATACTCACGCGGCCGACAAAGGACCCTCCGACGATGACAATATTGCGCAGAGAAGTAGTCGTCATGATGCAGAATATGACAAGACAGAACGAGAGAAAACCCATGGGAGGGCGCGAGGAAGGTGTTATAAATACCCCGGAAAGTTCGCAGCCGCGCCTTATCTGATTAACTCCGAGAAATTGCCTCTTTGGGTAAATCCGAGCGACCGGATAAGATTACAGCCGGCGCGGTCGCCCCCAACAGCCGATGGCGCCACTCTGATCCGACCTGCTTGCCGCCATCAACGCCGGATAACATGGAGTAGAACAGGGGATACCCTGGCATTTGAAATCGCCATATGCGGAGGTTCTGGAAATTCCGTACTCAAGTTCTAACAAATACGACACGCAGAGTGTGTGTGTCTGTGTTATGTGGAATAAGGCAGAACGAAATAATAGTCGCTCGCCCATTTCCGAGAACATGTCAAAACTGACAGGTCTACAAGTTCAGATTTGTCCGTAAATCCGAATCAACATTCTGCTTGGCATACAACCTTGGCAGCTATCGAAAGTACGGTGTGAAGATCGGGCGCCTTCTGGTAAGGGACTGCTAGGCACCAAGGCACCAAGGCACTCAGGCAGCCACATATCCCGCAAAGGATTGCTTCCCTCATTTGCGTCGCGATAAACACTGCGCTGGTGGCTCGCATTCTGCTCATTCTGTTTTCAGGACAGCGCTGAGATACCCCATAACTCTCAACTTGGTCAGTGAGTCCGTCCTCGTGACACCAAATACCGACATGGTTAATTGACATTGAGACCACAGTTTTTTTTCTGTCCAAGTTTCCGCATTTTATTATCAACCATTATGAACGCGCGATCGTTGAGAGTACATTCCATCCATTAACCGATATCGCAATATGGACCCGTTCGATCACAGCATTGTGATCTTCACCACCTTTCCGGGCTCCATGAAAGTCCCCGCCACAGGCGCAACCTGGCCTCCACTGGTTCCGACATAGAGCGTCTTGCGATCCTCTGTCAACCGGCAGGAGGTGGGGCCTGGCATCTCGGTGGAAAGCTGCCCTCCGGCAACGAGCGAGATTTGTCCGTACGGGGTGACACGAACGACCGAGTTCTGAGGATCAGTGGCGATATACGCCGTGCCATCGGGAGCCACGTCCATGTTGTCAGGCAAGAACCCACTCGCAATCACTTCATAGTCGCCCACAGCCTTGGCCTCCTCGTTCACCTTGACGCGGCAGAATTCCATTCGCGTGGTACTCGAATAATACACATATCCATCCACCAGCTTCAGCCCGTTGATTCCCAGAGGCAACGCCTGTCCCTTGGCCGGCATCATCGTGGTATCGTTCAACGCCACCGCATATTCTCCAGTCTCCGTATTCACCTTCCAAACTGCGCCCTTCGGGCTATCCGCGATCAGTACCAGATGAGAGTCCTTGGTGAAAGACGTCATTCCATTCAAAGCCTGTGCCTCGGGGAGAGCAGCAATATGCGAGACGGCAGCAGCTGACAACACACGCTCATCCGAGCTCGCATTGATTTTCTTGAAATCCAACTTTTGTACCGAGAATGAGCCCGGGGTCGGCGCGTACGTCTTTGTCGAGAAATTTCCTACGACGACAGCAAAGACATCATCGTCGATCTCAGCGATACCGAAACAGCTCGTCGCATTGGCAAAGGAGTGGGCTAGTGTCGCGTTGCCACTTGTGGTGTCTACCAACCAGACTTCGGGAGCGTCAAGTCGAGTGAGCAGAAGATTTCCATCAGGTCGCAGGACGATGTTGTCGACCCAGGATTCGTTCTCAGGGAATTGATACAGTGTTTCGACCTTGACATTCGGCTCGTCGTTTCGGTAAGGATTCGCTGATTCAGAGTAAAACATTGGCAATGATGCGAGTGCTTGGGGGAGGACGACCAGGGCGCCTAGCCAGGTTGCTTGTAGGCGCATATTGTACCGTTTGTGTCGTTCTTTGAAGGGGAGAAGACGAGTTCGATGACAGGTTGTTTGTGAAGGCCTCCAAGTTCCGGAAGGTTGATGCGCACATAATAAAATCTCCGCGGACAATTTTTTCCACTGCTAATCTTCGGTCTTCAAGGGGTACAGCAACATCTTAGCTCAGCATTCCATCATGCAAACTGTGGTTCTGCCAAAGCTCACCCCTTCATTCCAAGCCAAAGTGCAAGCCTTTACATTGGTTATTGATGGCAACGAGTACTAACTAATTATTGTACGGTATTACTAATTGACTTTGCACAGAATGAATCCGTTTTCCATTTGGAGCGATACGTTGACAGTGATCACGGAGGGACAGTGGCTACAATTTGTTTCTCGGAGGATGAAATCCTGCATACCGAACTGTTGAACACATCCGTCGCCTTTGCCCTTCGGCAGTAGGAAGCACCCCAAAAGCCTCAGTTGCTGTCTGACTGCGAGCCTGAAATAGCAACATGTCTAAACACCGAGGCCCAAGGCACCTCTAGTGAAAGCACACGTAGAGTCGATCGTCTGCTCAACACCATCGACATTGAAGGTAGGGTTGGCCTCGACAAAAGCGATGCGATGAGATTGCCATTTTCGTGAATGCGATGCACGATTAATTTTCCCTCCTGCAGAGATAACCCTCCAGGAATGAGATGTCCAGTGCTCAACGCCCACTAAGGACCGAGGGCATCAATGTCGCAGAAGATATGGATAGGCGTTTGTTCACCAACATACTCCAGTGCCATGTTCACAAGCAAGTTGATTCCGCGTCTGGAGATAATAAGCGGCTAAGTCAGAGCAAGATAGGCACCTCTGAATGTCTTCCATATCAAAGACCTTGATCCCATTCTGCTGAATCAACGCCCTCTCCCCATCAACAGCATCCCGTGTACCGATATAAACCGGTCGCTTCATATCGATGGGCTGGCCTTGCTGAATCTAATAAAAGACCCCCTTCTGCTGACATCTCGTAAGCCCTGTTGCAAAAGCTAGAGGCATTCCATAAATATCCCCATTTGGGCTCATCTTCGGAGGATTAATTGACACATGTGCATCAACACAGTTCACCGCCGGCTGCTGCTTCAACTTCGCGTTGAGGGCACCAGACGTCCCTGTCAGCGTTCCAATCGCATTGGAGTGGTCTTCGCCCATGGTGAACACCAGTCGTCCGTTGGGTATGAGTATAGCCTAGTTCATGGAGACTCTACGTTGCCTTGCTAACGGCACGAGGTCTTTTCATTCCGGCACAATCAGAATCTGCGTCGGAGTCAACGGATTGTTTATTCTAGATTTCGCAGATGTGAACCTGCTAGAAATGGTTTTTGAGTTCATCGAGGAGGCCTGAGTCGAGGATGGCGCGTGGGCAGAGTGCGCTACCTGTTCGGAGCTATATATTATCAGCATCGGAGAAGGTGGAATCTAGAAATCGAAGGGGCGTACCGCGCCTGCTGAGGAATCGGCTAGAATGATGTCCAATTATGAAATTGCTTGATACGGCCATTATGAAAAGACGACGCTATCGGAGAGATCGACTTTTAATGTGGTATTTTCCAAAGTGGAATGGAACAATAAGCGAATTCTTCATATATTTGATCAGTTTATATTCTTCTCATCAGTCCAGTTAAAAATACCCTCAAAGCCAGGCCCACTGTCTAAAGGAGCTTACGCCGATATTGACCCCCTTAAAGTTGAATATGACGGACAATAGCGCTTCAGGAGACCGGACTGGAGCGATTCGTAACCTGTGGATGAGCTGCCACGTTGAATTCCTGCTGCCCCGGAACGTATATTTTTCGAGTGCTTGATTGGGCCGTACATCACGTGATCGCCAAGCTCCCAGGGTGTCAAGTTCACCGCTGGATGGCCCTGTGTTTACTTTCCTCAAGCTTCAAATAAACTGCATGTTGGCACCGCTGAAGTGAATAAATCCGGCCGTAGCCCTTCACAGTAAGCTTTACGAGATTATGGAAAAGTCCTCTTTTTTCTTGTAGTCTTTCGAATCTTTTTCTCGTTCTTATCTCTAGACAATAATAAAATTTATTGAAATAGTGAATGTGTAAACAATAGACAGCGTTTGAAATGTAAAAAATACAAAGCCGCACAAAAGCCAAACTGGCATGGAACTTAACCTACTCTTTCATTTCATTCAAATCAATTCAATTGTAAACTATCTCATTTACAAAACAGCTCCCACCACTTCATCAGTAGTATATCCAGTCAGCGATAAACTTTCTCGTACTCGTCTATACTTAACTTTAATGGACGTTGCGTCACCCAGTTTAGGGAGTGGGGCACGGGATCGCTGTTAAAGGTGAGTCGAGCCGGCAGTCCGGGACTTATAAGGGTCCTTCTCTTTCGTCAAATTCAAGTGCGACAAATTGAGACAATTTTGTAGCATTCCTCTCGTATCAATAAGCAACATGGCAAAACAGGCGCTCACCACTTCCAAATTCCTGGCAAGCCCGAGCCATCTGGCCGTTGTTGCAGCAAAGTATTCCTGTGGGGCAGTATGAAGATAACCCGTCCACCCCATCTAATCATCCAAACAACACTAACAACAGCACAGCCCATAGGCGGTGCCGAGCATGGTCCTGACGCCTTAATTGACGCAGGGATCTTCTCAGAAATCGAATCAAAAACAAAGTACAAGTGCACCATCGACCACATCGCTCAAAGCGGCACTTTCGGCAACACGAACGAAGCGCACGATGCAGACCCTGACATCAACGGCATGAAACGACCGCGCGCGGTCAGCCTCGCTTCAAAACAGATCAGTGAGTGCGTCTATGCCCACGCACGAGAGGGAAAGTTCGTGATGACTCTCGGCGGAGACCATTCGATCGGAATCGGCACCGTCACCGGGATCGCACGGGCTATTCGCGAGCGATTCGGTGGTTCCGAGCTCTCAGTTCTCTGGATAGACGCACATGCCGACATCAATACCCCCGAGACGAGTCCCAGTAGACGAATCCATGGAATGCCTGTCGCATTTGCCTCGGGACTAGCCCAGTCGCCAACGGGACACAGTGTTTTCGACTGGATCACGGCGTCGCATTTAATCAATCTCAAACGATTCGTGTATATCGGCCTTCGCGATGTTGATGAAGCCGAGGAACGAATTATTGCGGAGAATGGGATCAAGGCATACAGCATGGATGATGTGAGACGGTAAGATTGTCACCCCGTTACAGCACTGATCCGCCTTCTAATTTCTCTTAGATACGGCATCGTAAAAGTCATGGGTCTTGCACTGGAGTATCTTGGAGACGAGACTCCGATCCATGTGTCCTACGACATCGATTCACTCGATCCCGAGTGGGCTCCCTCGACTGGGTTCCCTGTTACTCCGGGGTTGTCTCTTGAAGAGGGGATCCATATCTCGCGCCGGCTTCATGCTACTGGGAATCTTGTTGCGATGGATTTGGTGGAGGTTAATCCGTTGGTTGAGCCGGGGAAATTGGGGACGACTGTTAAGTCTGCTGGTTCTGTGATTCAAGCTGCTCTGGGGGTTGCAGTCTGAGGCAAACGGGGCTCCAAGGTGAGATGCGTGGAACTGTATGGAATATATGTCTTCCGAAAATATATATTTGTTCAGCTGCACAAAATATAATAGAAAAAACCACGAACCGCTTAACATAATCTTGACCGAAGACCAAGGCGTGGAAAATGAATCCTTGATCTTTCGATCTATTGTGATATATCATAGCGTGGTAACTCGGGAAGGTGAAGCTTCCCCGAACGCTGGTGCAGCGGGGGCATATAACCATATAGCCGAACCGACCCACCAGGCAGCACATAGAATAACCGACCGCCGCCGACTCACTCCTGCTGCATTTTGAATCCAGCCCGCGATATTGAGGGAAGCAGCCGATTGGCACCTCCAGCATGGTCGAAACCCCTGATAGGCCGCGCACGCGCGCGAAGAAGGCGTGTCTGGCCTGCAATGCGCGGCGGGTGCGCTGCAATGTGCTGGAGCAGCAGCCGTGCCGGAATTGCGTGGCATGGAACCTCACCTGCGAGCTAGGTATTTCACGGCGTGGCAAGTAAGTATTCCTGAACCTGCATTCTTGACTCTATACCAACATCGGTCATAGATATCCACGTCGGAAGAAGAATGATACCTCCGACTGTGCCAGCGCGCAGCCAAGCACAATGGAATCCCGAGCTCTAGCACAACGGCCGCTGCAAGATAGCTCAGTGCACTACACACCCTCTGCCCGCCCGCCAAGTGCAGATAATGCAATCCAGAAAACAGTCTTCCTCGGCGAATCCAGCCCACTGACCTGCGTGGTGGATGAAGGGCGACGATCCCCAGACAAGGGCTATGCATGCGGGATCCAGAAGGGACGGCTACACTATTCCATATCGGAACTGTGCGACCCTGCAGAATCCGGGGAAACCGCCCTGAGCCTACGGCGTAAATCTCTTCAAGAACGACTTGTTCGCGAAAGCGCGTTGATTTTTCCCTCACCGACGATCTGCGACGTGCTTCTTCAGGCCTACTTCGAATGGTTTCACCCCTGCTTTCCCATCTTGGATCGGCCGCAGGTACAACGTGCCTACCAAGAGAATACCATCTCGCCATTACTGCTCCAGGGGATGTTGTTCATTGGAGTTAGCTTGTGTTCGGACCTCGCGTTGAAAACGACCGGCTTTACCGATCGATACCAGGCCAAGGGGGTCTTCTACCAGCGGGCGAAGGAGATTTACGATGTTGGATGGGAGACTGATACGATCGTGAAGCTTCAGTCGCTGTTTCTCTTGAGCTTTTGGAGGGGCGGACCGACTGAGGAGCGAGATGTTCGTTTCTGGCTGGGGGCTGCCACAGATCTGGCGCAGAAGAAGGGGATGCATGTTATGTGAGTACTCTTGAGTGAGGAATTTGAGGCAGGATACTGACGACGCAGGTCGAAACTGTCTTTCTTGACCCCTCGAGATCAAAAGATATGGAAGCGCATTTGGTGGGCTCTATACGTGAGTAGACTCGTGATGAACTCAAAAGGTGCGAACCTCCTAATGCCCTGCAGGTGCGTGACCAGCAAACATCCGCTGCACTTGGACTGCCCTCCCGAATCCGCGATGAAGATTGTGAAGCTGCAGAGCTGGAACCGTGGGACTTTGAGGAAGATGATGCGACCGAATTCTCCGAGGTTTTCCAAAAGCCACCACCTGCCCATGTCTCTTATGTTATGGGGATGGCTCAATTGGCAAAGTTTTGTGAGTGGCCCAAATCAATTGATCCTCAGCGACAACCACTAAACACCGTGACTGTGTAGTACGCGAGGTCGTCACAAGCCAGTACCTTCCCGGACGATCGAAACTGGACAACCCGCAGCGTCCGGCTCTTCACCAGAAATTGGTTGACTGGGAGTCCGCTTTACCGACCGACATGCATTTCCAATCGTCTTCGAGCCGACATGTCATGTTTCTCGTCGGCATGCTTCACATGGCCTACAAGTATGTCTCGTCCAACACCCATTCCAAAATTATGCTAACAGCCTCAGCAACCTCTACGTCCTCCTTTACCGGCCGATATTCCTGCAACCACCGAGTGAATCGATGAATCCGGAAGGAAATATCGCGATCGACGCAGCCACGCGGAGTACGCGCATCCTCGAGGACATGCTATCCGAGAACCTCGTACAACACGGTCTCGTTCATCTGCAAGTGTCCCCAGCTACCACTTCACACATCTGCTAACCATTCTCACTTCTAGAATCACCCACACCTTCTCCGCACTCTGCATCCACACAATCCACTTCGGCCGCTCAACCAACACAGCCCGCAAACTCGCCGAACACCGCGCCAAACTCTGCCTCCTCGGCCTGAAAGAGCTCCAAAAGTCCTGGGATCTAGAAAACTGGGTCCTGGACCTTTTCTTCCGCTGTCTTGACGACCGCACCGCCCGAAACCTACGACTCGCCGAGGGCGGACTCGCCCCTTCACTCTCCAGCCAACTGGGCAAGAACTCCCGGCCCGACACTCCAGCCCTGGACATGCCCAGCACTCAACCTCTCTCCCCAACCTCGAACAATGACGTGATACCAACCACCGACACGCAATCGGAGCCCTTTTTGCCGGCAGAGGACCCGATCAACATGGACTGGTACGAACTGTTCAACGCGGACGGCGATGACGTCATGGGGATGGCGGGTTCGCTGAGCAATCCGGACTATCTCAACCCTCAAAACCTCGAGTTCCTCTACCGATTTCTCTAGGAGGGAGACCCGACGAACTTGAGTCAGCAACAAAACGATAGTTACAGCAGGATTGGATTGTGTTCAGCATGACCATCCCGCTGAGAGCAATTGGTCCCCAATATCGTCATGCCGATCACAACTGAACGATCCCGCTGGGCTGACGCAGACGCATGTACCGCAGCCACCGGCTCGCGTGGATTTTCATTGCGATCCTGCTTCTACTATTGCCTGGCAACATTGGCCGTACCTTGCAGGGTGACCGGAAGTGGACCGATAGTTGGCGCGCCGTCGCAAATACTGGCTGGCTTTCAAGTGTCGCGTCAGGTCAGTTACCCACCTGCACTTCCTCGGTCGAAGCTGACCTATCTACATCGTGCAGTGCGATGAATCCCATACAACGTGCCAAACCTGCTTGAAGCGTGATCTCCCCGTCTGAGATATCGAGTCGAGCCCAATTCATAGCTTCATACGTGCCAACTTCGATCAGCCCGAAAGACACCAAGACAACGCCAAGAACAAACCCACCACGATCGTCCGATGCATCCACAGTGATAGTCACCATCGACCGGACCGACGCGTGTTGTCATCGATCGAAGTAGATGAATGTGTCGTGCCAAGGCTTGTCGTCGGTGCCTGGGACAGCAATACGCGAGATGGTGCGGAATGAAGTCGGGTTCGGACGGCTACGAAAGACGACTCGTTACAGCCTTGCACGGCAAAAGGTGTCGACCAGTCTACTACACGGCTCAGCCGCGAGACCTTTTCTTGTTTTGGAGCAGTGAGACAGGAAGAAGGATTCTGTTGGAGTGCATTCTGTCTAGTCAGCTCGCCCTGGAAGAGCATCACAGCGTGGCATCGATCGGCCTCGACATAAAGGACGCCTACTCCAATCACCAAGCTTTTGAATCTATGGCGCGATGGATGCCAGTGGATGCTGCAAGCGTAATGGGAAAGCACTCTGCAAGGAATCGCATCGGGCATTGCGCTACTCTAGCGATGACTGGCGGATCTACGATCCGATCCCATTCGCGGCCCTTAGCAGCCCAAGGGCACCCCGGGCTGTTCTTACTCAACTGCGACTATAACAGGACCTTTAGGGAAGCAGATCGCCCAAAGCGGCCCGGTCGCAAGGAACGGGAAGGAGGCGGGGACGGAACAGGACATTCTCCTCCGGGTGTCGCTGTTGATGGGATGATGGATGAGACATCAGGGATCTAGACCGTCCAGAACCTGTCATCCATGCACCGTGTAGTGAGGAGTACCTGTCATGGTATGCCCGTGCGAGTTGTCCATGTACACATGTACTTGCACCTGCGCATACAATTGTAGTCATTGCCACTGGTCTTGGCGCTCCGATCTATACATAGCACAACTTGCGACTGTACATACATAGGATAGTAGCGTACCCTAGGGTAGCTGCACTAGGAGATTATCTTTTCCTATCCATTGACTCCAGATGATTTTCTGTAATGACTAGGATAATACTTATGCCGACCGCGTGGCTTGGTCTGTTCGCGTCGATCGCGGAATGCCGCTGCCTGGCCTCGACCCAAATGGTCCACCCATCTCAAACATGGCCAGTGCGCCGCCAAATGCGGCGACTCGTACTTTCACATTCCACACGAAATCATCCCCCCGTCACACCTCTTCTTTCTCTACACAATCCATTGGCTCTATCTGGAAGTAGGGCTGGCAACCCCAGACCGGTCACCACAGAAACACGGGGAAAGAATGTTTCCGCGCAGGTTCGGTTACATCGTCAACGCCATTGTCCGCAAGGGGGAATCGCTCCCTCCACTGCCTGTCACAGGTACCTGAATGTACCTGCATGTGATAACGCAGTCGATCGATCCCCTGCATGACCCTTGCCCATCACTCGTCCTGCACCGCACGACCCAGGGATCGCCTCTAAACGCGGGTACCTGGTCCCTAGTGGAGGCGACCCAGCCACTGCTGCTTGCGTGTCCAAGATATGCTGATAGGATCGCAGAGAGCTAAGCATTCACTATGGTAGTAGGAGAAGCTTGGCTAACCAGTTGGAGGCGGTGGTCACGCAGCGTCCGGCCCAGTTTTCGTCATACGGAATTGGACCTTTGGCGTCGCCGATCGTGATCGGCCCAATGGCCATCCGGTGCGATCCGTCAGTCTTGCCACCCTTTGCGTGATTCCCTGTGATTCGTCTGTGCTATTCTTAGTGAAGGGATGACAGCTCAGGTTTTTTTGGGAGGAATTTTTTTTAATTTTTAATTTTTTTTCTGGGGTATATATAGCGAGTGAGGGTCCGGGCTTTGCGCATCTTCCTAGTACCTAGTCCTTCTACCTGAGCTTCCACTACTACTGTACCTCATTGCACACACTACCAAGTGACTGCCAAGACACATCTTTACTCAACTGCCATAATAAACACAACTACCGTCGCAATGTCTTCTTTACGATCATCTAGTGATCGCAGTGGCTCCGTCAACTCCGAGGACCGTCCCAAGACCTCATTCCAAAGCAAGGCCGATCCCAACCTGGCACTATACGAAGCGCAACCCAGTACGCCCCTCTTTCACGTATCGCAATGAACAATGAACAATAACTAACCACTACTAGTGTCCGTAAACACGCAACCCAGCGACCGGGACCAATTCTCCCTGCGCAGCATCCAACATCGAGACCGAATGGGCAACATCATCAGTAGGTCCTTCCTCTCACCCACTCGCATCACATTCAAATCCAATTCTAACGGAATCTAGCTGATCCCGACCGTTCCAACCCAACCCGCAACCGCCTCGAACGACCCCTGGATACAATTCGGTCCTTCGAGGCAGCCATCGACGCCCGTCGCAGACAAGACCGGATGTGATGGAAATAATGGTATAAAAAGGCGTTGATAGTGCACGATGGGATATGGATGTTATGTTACGATGTGATTGACCTTCTCGCTTGATATTACACTATTGTATTTGGTTGATGGCCCGGGTGTATGAGTAATGTCTTGAGCTCTTCGGGATTGAATATATGATTTACAATCACATTTTGCCACCTGACAATATCCTCGAATGCACGTAAAGTCACGGTACTGTGAAAATTTCATCCTGTATCTGTATTCAAGGAACCACCGATTCCATGTTAGCCAGTAAAGCACCGGGTCGAATACTCAATGGCACCAGTCACTTCCACGGTAAGGTAAGGTACTAGAATAGCAGGATGGGTTCGCCAACGCCATGCAAATGACATGCACATTTTCCCCAGATCGACCGTCTTGGCATAGTTTATCGATAGTGTATCTAATCGAACGAACCATTCTCGAAATCTTCTGGGATAGCCTGAAAATAGTGCTGTCTGCGCCTGCCGGAGAGTGGCCGGAGACCCATCGCTCTAGAGACGTAGTCTCCAATGAAATAGCTCGCAGAGGAGCGATAAGGCCCAGAAAATAAGAATAGGAATAATCTAATTGAGATTCAGCGTTAGTTAGTGCGGTTGCCGCGCAGAAGAACTATCTCCGAGGTGTAAACAGCTCTTCATACATGTGGTGTAAGTCTGCACACTATGGAAATTCGTCTAATGTTCAGACGAATGACGTTATGCGCACTTCAAGATTGAGATGAAATGTTTCTCTGCGCCAATTTTCTGCAATTCGAGTGGCACAGAAAGTGTAGAAAGTGCAAAGCGCGCGGCGAGTTTGGAAGCCACGCACTGCCGACGCCATCCACGAAACGGCCCCACCCACCGCGTCAGCCCGACCTTCACGTCCCACCAACTTGTATGTCTCCAAAAATCTTACCCAACCGACCAGCACTGTCCAAATCTTCCACAAAGAAACAAGACGAGGTCTCAGATGGAGATCGGCAAGTCGAATTCGCAGCATCCAGGACGCTGTCAAGAGGCTGTCATCTTGCACCGCCGGATCATCAACGCCGCATCTCGCACGGCACTAACGCTGCTAGTCTGCAGAAACCAAGATGCTTCGAGCTAGGCGGAGTCCGATCGATTGGCTCTCGTTTGTCGTTCGGGACTAGTGAACCGACTCGTTTCGAAAAGAGCCCTAACGACGATGGCTAACTCGCTGGTTGACGCGGTCACTCACCTCTCAGGAAAAGATGACATCCGGGCACCAGGCTACTTGGATCCGGAGGCACCGCGGCCATTAGCTTGGTGGATGCCAGCTGGGTCGTATACGCGTCCCCTCTATGTTCAGGGGCGAGGGACAAATCAGGAGGATCGAAATACCGCAGACCTATTAATGGACATGGAGGCGAAGCCACTCGATTTCCCTTGTGGTCTCGACATTCACTCCTTTCTATACTCTCATCGTCTTTCGTTTTATCTGACTACCACTGGAGGCCGCTCCGTTCACTCGTTGATTCAATCTTATCTTTGGCATTTTGACCTAAAAGACGCCGACTCTCCCGACGCCGACTGTCCACCATGAAGCTGTCCCTGCTGTCGCTGGTGACCTTTATTACGGCCGCTGTGGCGGACCTGGACCCCATCGTTATCAAGGTAGACCCGTTCCGTGTCAGAAATGGGGAATTTGGGAGTAATGTTGACCACTATCGAACAATAGGGCTCCAAATTCTTCTACTCTAGCAATGACACTCAATTGTATGTACCTCCCTCCCTGGTTGCTGCAATCGAGACTAATCAACTACTAGCTACCTCCGTGGCGTTGCCTACCAGTGTATGTCCGCTGTCCTCTGACCCTAGGCTGGATACTAATGCGACTCAGACTCCAACACCGAGGACCCTCTGGCCGACGCCACGGCTTGCGAGCGTGATGTCCCGTTGATGAAGGAGCTGCGCACCAACGTGATCCGTACCTACTACATCAACCCCGATGCCGACCACACCAAGTGCATGCAGCTGCTCTCCGACGCTGGTATCTACCTGATCTCCGATCTGTCTTCTCCGAACGTCTCCATCAACCGTGCCGACCCCGAGTGGCAGGTCAGTCTGTACTCGCGCTATACCGCTGTCATCGACGAGCTGCAACAGTACAACAACACGATTGGATTCTTCGCCGGCAATGAAATCTCCAACACCGTCGCGACCACCGACGCGAGCGCCTACGTCAAGGCCTCGGTCCGTGATATGAAGAGCTACATCAAGCAGAAGGGCTACCGATCCATGGGTGTTGGCTACGCCACGGCCGATGTGTCGAACATCCGTGTCAACCTGGCCAACTATCTTGACTGTGAGAGCGACGACCAAGCTATTGACTTCTGGGGCTACAACATCTACTCGTGGTGCGGTAACTCCACCTACCAGGAGTCTGGCTATAAGGCTCGCACTGAAGAGTTTCGCAACTACACTGCCCCGGTCTTCTTTGCTGAGTACGGCTGCAATGAGGTCACTCCTCGCGAGTTCACTGAGGTCAAGGCTCTGTACGGTGATACCATGGCGGAGGTATGGTCTGGTGGTATTGTATACATGTACTTCCAGGAATCCAATGATTATGGTATGTCTCTCTCTCCGGCTTCAGCACCTAACAGCCACTGATTGTATTTTAGGTCTCGTCTCTGTCATCGACAGTACCAGCGTCAGCAAGATGAAGGATTTCACCTCCTACTCCGACCAAATCGCCAGCGCCAACCCCACCGGCACCAACAAGGCCTCGTACACTCCCACCAACACCGCCCTCCAGCAATGTCCCACCGTCGCCACCTCCAGCTGGCTCGCCAAGGCCACTCCGCTGCCCCCAACTCCCGACTCCAACCTGTGCGGCTGTATCTACGACGAGTCCGCCTGCGTACCCGCCGACGACCTGAAGGAAGCCAAATACGGCACTCTGCTCGGCGTCGTCTGCGGCTACACCGACTGCAGCGGCCTGAACTCGAACGCGACGACCGGCAAGTATGGCGCGTACAGCATGTGCGGCGTGAAAGACCAGCTGGCCTTTGCCCTGAACAAGTACTACACCGAGCAGGATAAGGCGGCGACCGCATGCTCGTTCTCTGGCTCTGCCACGACTAAGGCGACCACATCTGCCACTGGCACTTGCTCTTCGCAGATTAAGGAGGCCGGCACTGCCGGCACTGGAACCGTCACTACTGAGAGCACTGCTACCGCTGGCTCGGACTCTTCTTCCAGCTCGTCGACCTCGTCCAGCTTTGCTGTTCCAGCTAGTGTCCACTCGAGTGTTTCCGTCGGCTCGTTACAGGTTGCTGCGTATGTGGCGACTGCTCTCCTGGCTGGTATTGGTATGATTGCTCTGTAATTGATACCTTTGCCAAGGAGCGACTTTGTATTATCACTTTCAGGTTGTGCCTTGGTTCGATATGCACGTTGAGATAGAGTATATATTCTTTGCCTTGCCTGCTTCCATCAGAGGGGTCGATGCAAGCGCACACTGCAGTGCGATTTGTTGAGAACATCTTGGTTAAAACACCGAGGCAGAGCGTGTCAAATGGTATAATTGATTCTCAGTAGGAATGTATCGCTTTCTACACATACAGGCATACGTCGCATTCGCACTTTGATTCGTTCATTCCGCACGTAATTGATACTTTATGTACAGATAAGCCAGAGTAAAAAACTACTCCCCCTTAATTGCTCTTTTCGTCAAAATGGCCGATGTCTCGTCGAGTCGGCCCCAGTCATGTGCGTCGCGGCAGGCCTGTCGACTCAACCGCACCGCTCGACTTGTCCGCTTCCTCATCTCCTCCTCAAACGCGTCAATCGCCGCACCCGCAGACTCGGCCCCAACATACACCTTCTCAATGGCATTCGCCAGATTGAAAGCGTCGAGCAAACCATGGTTTGCTGCCTCTCCACGATCTGCGAGCTGTTAGTAACCATGCAAAAACAACCTGCTGAGCAGGACATACACATAGTCATCGCGTGGGCAGCATCTCCCGCCATCGTCACCCGTCCGTCGTGATTGTCCCACGGCAGACACTCCCAGTCCGCTAGCTTGATTTCAGTAACTGGCGTCCCATTCGGAATCCTTTCGACGGCTTGCTGCAAGAATGGCACGAACCCCCTCGCGCGTCGTTTCATGTTGGCCAGTCGAGCCTCGTCGGTGTCGGCCACTTTATCGTCCGGTGAATCTTCCCTCCATGACATGCAAATCTGGGCGCGATATCGTTCGGCGTCTGTACCCGCCGTGTGGTTGACCTGCGGCGTTTCGAGCATCGAGAACCAGAAGAACGCACCCGTCGGCGGATGGCAGCCCTGGAATAACAGTGGATCCATATCGCGCAACGGCTTGATCTCATCAGGGGACAAGTCAACTGCCACGCCGGTAAAGTTGATTCCCAGAGGAATGTTGTCGAATGCATCCGGCCTCAGACCCTGTCGAACCATCGACCGACTGCCCTCAGCACCCACAACCATGCGCCCGGCCACAATCGTCTCATCCATAAACCGCAAATGCACTTTCGTCTCCTCCAACAATTCCACCCCAACAACCCTGCGTCCCCAATGAACCCGCTCCTCAATCCCCACCAGCAATGCCTTCCGCATCTTCTCCCGATTCACCCTCCACCGCACACTGGGCGGAATCTTGAACCTCGGCTCACCAGTCTCAAGATTGATGAACAGAAAATTCCCATTATCATTTCTCGCAACATCCGGATCAACCTGGACATCCTGGATGCGCTTCACCGTATCCTCCGGCAGCATCTGGTGCATATAGTCCAGGGCCCAATGCAGGGTAATGGCCCACCCCTGACCACGAGCATCGGGATCCACATCGCGCTCATAGATCTCGAAGGGGATGTTTCTGAGCTTCAACGCCTGGCCGAGCGTCAGGCCGACGATGCCAGCACCGACAATAAGGACGGGATCCATGACGGCAGTTTCGATGGGAGCTCATGGCCGTCGCACAGTGTGCTTTTGTGTTATGACAGCTGAGGGAGTGTTTATCGGCCGTCGCATAGATAACGATAACGTGCGGGGGCGGCGCATTTTCTCCACGGCGGCTTTCCACGGACATCCATGGTTCTATCCGACCGTCGGCTACAGCAATGCGACGGCGCGCGCCTGATTCCGATGTGGCAAACATTTTGAGAGAAATTGACAGCTGAAACAATTGACAAAGAAGGTGGTGGTATAAATCACTGGCAGCGATGAGCACCTCCCCCTCGTCATAGCTTTTCCGTCAGTCAACGCCCATCATGTCGCACGAGGCCCTCAATCCCATCCACCCCTCCGTTCTCCCCCACCTCGACCCCGTGTTTATCGATCTCTACAATAAACACGTCGCCAATACGCCAGCGGGCCCAATTGACCTGTCCGTTTTGCGTACAAAATACTCCGTCCTTTATTCCTATGGCACCGGCCCTGCCCCCGAACCCGCGCGAGTCTACGATAGCAAAGTCCCCGGCCACAATGGCGATTTGATTCCCGTGCGAGTGTACGAACCCGCATCGCCTGGTCCATGGCCAGTTCACATCGATTTTCACGGTGGAGGTACGTCTCCCTTACAACCCCCTCAATAAAAGCCAACACGCTAACTTAAAAACAGGCTGGGGACTCGGCGACCTAGACACAGAATCGCACATCTGCAAACACATCTGCGTCAAGGCCAATGTCTGCGTAATTGATGTCGACTACCGGCTTGTCCCAGAACACGCCTTCCCAATCGGCGTGCAAGACTCCTTCGCCGCCCTCCAACACATCGCCACCAACGGCACCAAATTCAACATCGACACCACCCGAATCTCACTCGGCGGCGTCTCCGCCGGCGCGAACATCGCCCTCGTCTGCGCACACCTAGCCCGTGATGCCAGCATCGACCTCAAACTAATCGCAGTCGGCACACCAGTCGTGGACGACATCTCAAAATACAGTTCCGCCTCCGACGCCCCCTGGCCCTCAATGAAAGAAATGGAGCACGCGCCAACACTAAACTGGGCCAGGTTGAAATGGTTCGACAATCTCAAGTGGCAAAGCATTGCGTCTGACGGGGACCAGCGCGAGAAGCAATTGGCTGCGGTGAAGTGGTACGCGAATATCCTCCTCGCGCCGGACTTTACAAATCTTCCCAAGACGGTTATTTACACTGCGGGGTGTGATCCGCTGCGCGATGAGGGGGAGGCGTATGCGCGCAAGTTGATTGAGGGAGGGAATGAGGTTGTTCAGAAGAGGTTTGCGGGCGTGCCGCATCCATTTATGCATATGGATAAGGGTGAGTTATCGTTCCATTCCCCGGGTGGATTATTCGCTGAGTCTGAGACGTTGCTAATGATTATGATGATGTGGTACAGATTTGTGGCAGGCCAAAGACTTTATTGATATGACGGCGGATCATATTCGGACTACGCTGAATGGGTGATGGATAATAGATGGTGATCTTGTGTGTATTCGAGTCTTTACTTTCGCCTTCAAATGGAGTATACTACATCTGTACTGGGTTCCCGGATTAGCTGAATTTAGGTACTACTGAATTGAGATACCACCGAGAGCACTGATTTTCCATACGGTGTGATGACATAGGTTCCATCCCGGGCGAAATTCGTCTCCGAGATACACGCGCTTATTTGGATGGAGGGCAGAGTAAGCTAACTTGAGACGGTCTGATATTCCACATGTAATTTACGCTCATCTGAAAGCAGTGACTTTTACAATTGCCGAAGCGATTCTGCGTTGCTAGTTATCTCTTTGGCCCCGAGCAGCCAGGAAGGATGTTAACTACATTTGATTGGATGTGCTTTCAATTAGAAGAGGATCTTATAAGTATGTTTATTCAGATACGGAGCTATCAAGGAGAAACAAATGAAAAGGGTAAGCATCACCCTAACTCCACGGAATTCAATCCGCAAAATCCATACCGCACATCCCCCGTCAGGAAATCGTATACATCTCCTGTGTCTCAAGTCTTCCTCTCTGACTCCTTCTCCTTCTTCTCCATCTCATATAACTGCTCGGCGAGAGGAACGATCGACTCCCTGAGACTCTTGAACATCATACCCAACACATCCTGCGCAGTAGACGAATCACAAGAGTAATGCTCATGAGCAAACCTCTTCCCAGGCTCACCAAGCGGTGCCCGACTTTTCTCTGGCAGCGCCGCGCGAACAATATCTGCGATCTCCTGCGTATCGTACGACCCGTGCGTAACGAGGAACCGCCTGTTGCCGGCATTCTCATAGGTCGCCGCTCGCAGGGTTGCCTCGGCTAGGTCCTCGACGTCGACCCAGACTGGTTTACATGTTAGGACTGCACATCACAAATCACAAGTGAAAGATATAGACGTACCAGGAGCCTTGGTAGGAGGGACTTCCCCATCACTACCAGCCTTCAACACGCTCCAGACAATCTGGTTGCTAGCATTCAGGTCGGAGAGGGAGTTGATGCCGTGGATCATCTTCCCAAAGACCATGCCAGGACACAGAGTGACGAGCTCATAATGCGGTCGCTTCTCACGAACAAAGTCCCACGCAGCGCGTTCCGCAGCCACCTTTGAGGCACGGTATGCGATGGGCTGTACTATTAGCAGCTGACTTGTCTACCCGAAGCATGAAAAGAGTAACTCGCTTACCGCAGCCTCCGCATTAACCCCATCCTCATAACTAAGCGGACACCAGTCCTTCTCAGTATACACTCGACCAGGCTGCAACCCAAGACTAGCATCATAAACACTAGCAAAGCTCGACATAACCACAACCCTGCGCACAGACTGTGCGTTACTCGCAGCGCGACAAATAACATCCGTCATCTTGACAGCGGGTGCCATAAGTTTCTCCTCAAATTGACCAGGTTTTGCCTCATAACTAAACGACGACGCAAGATGCAGGACCGCCTGGCAACCAGCCATGAGGGAAGTGTAAAAGTCGACGGTGAGATCCTCGTCGGTAGCAACGACGAATTTTAACTGCTCCATATTCTGAACGCCCGCGGCAACGAAACTCTTCCTAACGATCTCTGCTTTCTCCATGGAGCGCACCGTCGCACGGACGTTATAGTCATGCCGGAGGAGGGTGGTGATGACATGGGCGGCGATGAAGCCGTTGCCGCCCGTGACGAGGACGGTTGCGCCGGGGTCGAGGGTGGACATCGTGATTGGGTTGGATTCGAGGTGTAGCGGAAAGAGAGCGTGAACGCAGGGTGGTCATTCTGGCTTCTTATGTTGATCGTTCACTTAGGGTAGGAGTGGGGGTGTCGGGTGCACCTGCAGGCGTCGGCGTCGGCGTCGGATAGCACGCGGTGGTGCGAACGGGTAGACTTTCTCATTTTGATTTTCAAAGGATATGGTGTAGTGTCTGTGGTTTCCTAGTTTGATTACGGGAAGCTTGCCTTCACTCTAGCGAATTTACGGCAGGTCGGCGGTGCGTAGAACTCTTAGAGACATTGTCTGATCAATTCCGTTGCTAATGTTCCGATTACAAAATCCAGATAGATACAATTTCAATATATCCCAATTAATACACATAGCGGAAGTTGTTGTTATCGTGCACATCCTGCGTATTGTTCTTGCTAGCCATGCGCGCTTCCATCGTGCTGCGCGCTGGCACTCCCAGACGGTCCGCCTTGGAATTCCGTCTTCCGTACATCAGTCGTAAGACTGTCGATACCACGATGGCTGCTGCATTCACTGCAACCAGGGTGATTTTCGCTGGGATGTATCTTGAACTCTGTTAGTTTAAATCTGACGTAGGGTTGTGGGTAGGACTTACTGAGGAGCATCCTTCGACTGGAAGGTCTGGGGACCGATGATGTTGGCGATGCTGAATCCGGCTGAGACGATTGCTGCACCGGAGACCTGGTTTCGTCAGATCAGAACGAGTCGTTTCGAACAGAATGACATACCTTCATTGTATATCCCTTGAAGTTTGCGCCCGTCCAGGCGTAGATCAGAGCGAGGGGAGCGACAGTCTGTGATTGTCAGCGCTGTTCATACAGTAGCAATATCAGTGACGTACCGTGTTGACCAAGTATATACCAGCAAGGCACCCTCCCTTGTTGTCTGTCGGCAGAAAAGACATGAGACAAGACCCCAGCAGCGTCGGAATCAACAATATATCAATCGCCAACCAACGAGAAAATCCCTTAGCAATGGCATACGTCGACGCCATAGTCGAAACAATGCTAACAATCCCAGAAGGCATATTCAACAGCGCACTCTCCTTGGAGTTATACCCAAACCCCAGAATAAGGATAGCCGAAAACGTGGTAATCACGCCACTAGGGATAGTAATCAGAATCGTCAGGAGAACCAACAACCAGGTCTGCAAATCCGCAAACGCTTCTAGGACAGACCGCCAGCGGAAGACCTTCAGACCAACACCAGCCTGATCCTGAGCCAGCCTCTGCGTGATGCGTTGTTTTTCCTCGTCGGTCAGAAATTTCGCCTTCGACGGGCTTTCCGGGAGAACGAAGAGGACCAACAACGAAGCGAGGATGTTGACAGCCCCGATGACGACAAACATGATCCGCCAGCCGCCGAATGACATATTTGCGGGTGCATGCTGTGCCGCGAAGGAGATCAGTCCGCCGATGATTTGTCCCATTCCAAGACCGCAGTACCAGAGGCCGTATCGGGGGGTGGATTCAGCGCGGGTGTACCACATGCTTGTGTACATTGTGAGTGAGGGTGCTGATTCAAGTCAATAGGAATTTCGTCGGTTGTTTTTTCAACTGTAGTTCACTCACCAATAACCGCCTCCATCAGACCAAGCAGTATACGAAGAGCAAGCATGCCGGGGAAGTCTTTGGCAGCAGAGGAGCAACAGAGGATGATACCCCAGCAGAAAACATTCGTTCCTAGGACCTTTGACACAGGAAATCTCTGGAGTAGGGCGCCCTGTGGGATCTCGGCCACTGCATACGCAATGAAGAACGCCGTCGCTAGCCAGGAGAAGTCATTTCCCGACATCCCCAGGTCGTCTTGGAGGCCCATGACATTCGCATACTGATGCACGTTAGCTCAGACCAGAACGACCATTCTCAAACGCTGGTACTCACATTGATGGAAATTTTGTCAATCATCTGGAGGAAATACGTAAAGAACATAATCGGCAGGATTTGCCAATCGACCTTCCTCATCAACCGCCTGTCATCAACAGACAAACAACCCAATCCACAATCCTCCGACGGATCCAGCTTCATCTCAAGTTCATTTTTCTTGTCCATAGTTGATGGCGTGAGCGTGAGAATATCTCGTTGTGGTGGTGATATCCGAATCCAGGGATGAGCGCAGCCCGCGTTGGCCACCTTTAAGAACGGCCCGCACGCATCGATACCAAACCGGGGAGAGATAGCGAGCACCTCAGCTTCCCCAGACAACTGGATCGGCGCGGGCTGATTGGATTCCCAGAAACAACTGGGGCGAGGGTTGAGTCGGCAAAGATCGGCAGCGGAGACGCCACGAGATGCAGCCGTCGCATAGATAGCGCTTCCGTCGCTTATCGCAGCCGACATTTCTATTGTCCTCCACGATGGCATTCAAAGGTTATCCGACGCGAGAATAGCTTCATTCTGGCGTGGTATATATTGTGTCGATGATCATCTGTCCATGGCAGGAAACAATCAGTTGAGAGACAGTTGAAAATGCCATCACGAACCGACTCCCCACTGCAAATCGCCATTATCGGCGCTGGCCTCGGCGGGCTCGGCGCGGCGGTGTCGTTGCGTCGACAGGGTCACCAGGTCACTGTTTATGAGCGGTATGACTTTGCGGGCGAGGTGGGTGCGTCGTTGAGTGCGGCGTCGAATGGGTCGCGGTTTTTAGAGGAGTGGGGGGTGGATGTGAAGGCTGCGAAGCCGGTGAGTTTCACAATAGCTGATTTTATATCAGGTTTAACATTGTGGTAGGTCATCCTCAAGCAGTTGATTATGCACAACTGGGGCGATGGTGAGGTGCAGAGTACCTATCCACTGGGCGACTACAAGTCGAAGTTCGGAACGGTATGTATGAAGCTAGCCCGGGCTGTAGGATGATCCTGACTGTAACAGGACTACAACAACTTCCACCGAATCGACATTCACAAACAACTCATCAAATCGGCGTTCGAAGAGCCTGGAGACGGTACGCCGTGTGTCCTCAAGGTCAACCACAAAGCAATCGAGGTGAACGCCGAAGAAGGAATTATCAAGTTCGAGAACGGAGTCAAGACAACAGCCGATATTATCGTAGCCGCCGACGGCATCCGGGTAGGAATAGCCCACAGACAAATTTTTCCATTTTCTGACACCTCCCTTGCTAGTCCGTAACAAGAGAACTCATGGGAATAACCCCCAAGTTCACCATGTCCACATCGTGTTGCTACAGATGCATCATCGGCGCCGACAAGCTCCGCAGCCTCGGACTGGAAGACTACATCTCAAACGAGGCAATCGAATACTGGGGCGGATTTGGAATCAACAAGATCGTCATGTCACCCTGCAGCAACGGCGAAGTCGTTAGCTGCTACTGCTTCTACCCGGCTTCATTCAACAATCTGCGCGAGGACGGGTGGAACATCGGCGCAACACCGGAGCAGCTGGTCGAGACCTTCCCGGATTTGGATCCGCGGATGAAGACGTTGATGCTGAATGCGGAGGATATCAAGATGTGGCGCCGTATGTACAATCAATTTACCATATGGGTCAGTACTGACAATGGCACAGTATACCGCCACGAACCTTACCCGTTCAGGGTAAAAGGCAAAGTCTGCCTCCTCGGTGATGCCGGTACGTCCACTGAACCTCCTTCAAGATTCAATGCTAACATCAAGTCAAGCGCATCCAATGATGCCCGACCAATCCCAAGGCTCCTGCATGGCCTTCGAAGACGCCGGCGCGCTAGGCATCGTGTTCCACAAGAACTTCCGTTCAGATTACAGCGTAGCCGAGGGACTGGCGTTGTATGAGAAACTTCGCAAGACGCGCGCGACGAGGGTGCAGGAGGCTAGTTTCCGGGCACGCGAGGATCTGAGTGAGAGGATTGGGTGGAGTTCATCGAGTGATCGGCCAGGGAAACTGACCATTGAGGAGGTTTGTGGGTATAATATGCGGGAGCATCTGGGTGGGTTGGTGAATGAGTTGAAAGGGAATGTGTAGAGAAGGGAACTGTATCTTACCGTAGGAATGAATTGTTTGGTTTTTTATTCTGTATGGATGTCAACAGTACGCGAGCGATGGATGAGGAAGGATTGCCGTTTGGTGGAGTTCAATCGGTCCGATGAAGATGATGAGACCATACCACCATCAGGGTGGCAGAGAAAGATAGCCCGCATTTCCGAGGAGCGCTCATATCTGTGTGAGAGGAAATTCGTGGCTCACGGCGCTGTGGTAGGAGGGCTGCAGTTCAACACGTGACAGTCCAGTTCACATTTATAAATATCGCCTGCCGTTCCGAATCGTCCGCCTCTTTTCTTCCCTCTTCAACGTACCTAGTTGCGGTGGACCGTGGTCAAGAGGGTGGTTCACCACAGTATGTCCACCGCATCGCACAGTGCGATGTTCATCTGTAGAGGCACCTTCGGGGGTATCGGCGGCATAATTTTTGGCATCCCATTCGTGGGGCTATCATTTCATCATACCTTGTGTCAGGGATACGAGGATGGAGAAGAGATCTGGAGCACCCTTCTACTACGTGGAGAAATCGGCGCCAAAGATGAGTTTCCAAGTCGGCATTGTGATTTTGGCATTTTTGCTGCACATCTTGGTCTCTATATGGCCTGTAAAGATAGTCGTGAATATAATGGTCACGATTTAAGAGCGAATACCCAGTCCGCAGTCACAGTGCATTCATAGAATAGAGGCAGCCTGGAACATGAGCAACGCAATCTACAAACAGGGAAGAATATTTGACTCTGAAAGCGCATTATATCGGTCGCAGAAGACCGCAGTGACTCAACAGCCGCAGTAACTGTGGAAATAGCCCGTCGGCCGTCTGAGATGTCAGCTTGATGCCCCTTCCCAAACAGGCTAGCGTGTTTCCCACGGGTATAAATATCACCTTCCCGCCGACTTCTTCCTCTCCTTTTCTTCTCTCCAACTTACTTACCAAGCTTGGGTGGGCCGCGGTCAAGAGGGCGGTCCATCACAGAATGACCACCGCATTGCACAGCGCGTTGGCCGCCTGTTCAGTCACCCTCGGGGGGCTGGGAGGCAAATTGTTTTGGCACACCCTTCGTGGGTTTTTCACCTTTTCATCATGCTTTGGGTCAGTGGCCTGAGGATGGAGAAGAGAGAATGTAGAGAGGTGACCGTCTTGCCTTGGCCGTGACATTGTGCGATATGTTGAGCGGTGCGTCTAGCTATACGCGTAATAGCGAAAGCTTTGCGGATTCTATGAAGCTCTCTCGCCGCTTCCTCTCTGGAGCTCATAGCATCGCTAGCCAGCGCAATTCGCGGTCTCGTTCCATCACGCTATCTGTCTTCCATGACTAGTCCTGCAGGCTGTTTGTGTTGACCTCCCGCCTCTGCACTTTCCAACGCGTCAGGCAGTGTGTTGCCTGTCAACGATTCACTCTGTATTCGCATCCGAGGATGACTGATCGCAGATAATCTAACTGGTATTTCGGAATATTATTGGAATCATTACACATGAATCAATCTACACGAAAACAACACCCGGAAACTGACTATATCGTACAGCCGCCCAGTTCAAATCCGACGCCCGATTCGCCCCATTCCACACAGCCTCCAACAACTGCCTCGCATACTGAATATGACCAAAGCCCAACGTATTCTCCATAACCATCAACCGCTCCTTGACAACCATCCGCCGCTCAATACTGATACTACTAGATCCCGCAATAACAAGCGGAAACAAGAGACACCCCTCCACACGACTCGCATACGGAACATCTTGCACCGCCTCAAGAATAGTCGAAATGGCCCGCTCCACAAAATCATGAAGTGGATCATACCCCTCAACAACTTGATGTAGGCGCAACCGAATAGCCCACTCAAACGCAGCGGTCGCGCGTTCCGTCGCAACCAGGCCCTCCGCGTTTCGATCATGTTCCGCGCGCCACTCGTCGATGCGCGCCTCCACCTGCGTCGCTGCCGCTCGGAAGCCAATCTCGGATAACTCATCGACCCGCTTACTGCGATGGTTGGCCAGGATATTGACCATACCAAGAAAATCGAAGAGAGCCGGGGAGATACCGTATATCGCATCTGTAGATTCACAATGCTCCAGCTCGGGAACGCTGCTTTTTCGGAACGAGGTTGTCAGTTCGGTCATGCTGTCACCGCTGTGCAGGAGTGGCGGCTTGCAGCGGGAGATAGTGGACATCGAGTCTAGATAGTGGAACAGACTGATGCAGAAGGTCCACTCATCCGTCGAGACGAGCGACTGGAAGGCGGGAGATTTGAGGATTGCGCTTGCAGCTTTGAGATGCCATTTCCAGACTCGCGAGGTGCCATCGAACAGTTCTGTAAGACACAGAAGCAGAACTGTAGCGCAGGCTTCGAAGATACATTGACGATCCGGCCGGCCGAGGAGGGTATTAACCTGTGCTAGAGCTACACAACGATGTCAGGACAATCCAGAGCAACTTATTGAGTGACTTACCCTTTCCTTGCCTCTTCAACGCACACCCCCAAATACTCGGATACACTCTCCTCCAATGGCACCCACTCAAACTCAGAATAACACTAGTAACCGCATCAGAGACAGCCGCCAACGGCAAAAGCGTAACAAGAAACGGATTCCGCTCCGTATCATGCGACCTCGAAAGCGCCCTCGAAACAACATGAATATAGTGATTGAAAAGGCTTCTATCCTCCTCACTTGCCAAATACGGATTGGACGAGACAGGCGAAGCCTGTAACTGCAAAGCCGGCAAGGTGGGGTTGTGCTCAGGCAGTGGGTGCGGAAAGAGCGTGGCAATAAACTCGTCATCATCATAAGGAGCATCGATTTCCGAGAGGGCTGGTATCGGATCGGCATCATCCACCTGAGTTTGATCCGAGCTGGAGGAACCCGTCGCATGCGAGTCTGGTGTCGGAGCGCCGTGCGGGTCGCTCGCGGCTGACGACCACTGGCAGGGCAGATTCAAACGACGGCAGTCGCCGCATCGGGGCCGTATCTCATCACATTTCTTCTTCCTGTTGAGAGTGTCAGCATCCGAAACCAAGTCCAAGCTCCACCGGATCTGGCGATCTACCTCGCCTTGCAGGAAAGACAGCCACCGCGGGACCGCGATGCACGGGGCCGTCGCGAGATAACAGCGACTGCTTGATGGTCCGGACCTCGTTCAATAGGACGCGGACGCGGTCGACAGGCATGACCAAGACCTGCAACGAATTAGTCCCACATCGCAGCTTGTAACCGGGGGTGCTGGACGTACGTTTGCACCGCGAACAAGGCTGGGCACCATCGCATCGTTGTTTCTACTCCAATTAGCGTCAACATTGAACACGACCTCTGTACGAGGGAAGCACTGACGATGCGGGCACAGCGAGCACAGACTCGGCCGGAGGCATTCATGGCGGAGTTGTCGCGGGAAGTGGCACTGGGAGTGAGGAGAAGCGACGGAGTTCTTATCGGGGGGACTTCCGATCCGACGGGGAGCGATAGTACGCTGCATTTCCTTTCGGATGCTAGACTGTGCTGGGTTAGTGCAGTGGGGAGTGTCGAAGTGGCACCGTGCGGGGTTTTCCCCGGATTTCGGCATTCGGGAATTTGGTGTGCCAAGCGCGGTATACTATTGACGTTCTCAACGAGGTTGTCTACGTGGATTAGAGGGAATGCAAACATGAGATTTTGTTGATTACGAGAAGGTAGAGAGATTTCTAGAAAAGAAATATCAACAGGTTCAATAATGATCGCTGCTCTGGCAGCTCATTACCAGGCAGGCCAGGGCTTCAAACACGAAGTTAATATGCCCTCTATCACTTCGCGGACGAGGATATCGACGTGGCTCTACAAAAAAAAAAAAAAAAAAAAAAAAAAAACATGTAACAAGTAAGAACAGCATGTGTACAAATCTTTTCTCCATTCTCGAGGCATGACCCAAGCGATGATGAAGAACCACGAAGGGTGTGCCAAGAGAACATGCCTCCCAGCCCCCGAAGAGCTTTAAACTGGACAAGCGACTGCCGCACTGTTCAATGCGGTAGACGATCTGTGGTGGCCCGCCTTCATGATCGCGATCCACCAGAACTAGGTAAGTTTGAGAGAGGAGAAAAGAAGAGGAAGGATCGGAGAGGCAGGCGATATTTATACCAGTGGATGGAAGCCGCGCTAGCCTATTCGGCATGATTATCCAAATACCGGGCACCGGTAGTAACTTGCACCGCTGTCCATACTACTGCCACAGAGCTGAAAGCTGAAGGACCACCCTCGTGAGATTTGATTGGTTTTGTTCGTGGATTTGAATTCATTTATCTCTCTGTATGAGTTCTCGATAGAAGGCTGCATAATTAGCCTAAGGTACATGTCTTCAGGATCTTCCCCGTTTTGCCATCGTCCATTTCAATATAACAACTCGCGACATCTCCTACAATCACGGTATGCTTTTTTCTGATTATTGCAAGACATACAATCACTTGGTCATATATATTGAAAAGCCCAGATTATATACATCACTCAACCCTTTAAATCCATATTTCGACTACGTAGGAACGTTGGAATATTGGGTCATACTGTGATATAGAGATAGTACACTCTTTTGAACTCCCAAATCAGGCCATGGCATTTTCATTTGCAATCCGGATACGAGTGATGCATAGGAGACGCCTACGGGCCATATGTGACAGTGATCAATCGACAGAGAAAGGATCCTTGCTAGAACTGATGAGAGGAGGATAATGGCAGATGGAGTGGAGCTCAGAAATGTCTCCTGCTGATTCTGTGCAGACATAAACAGCGCCTGTCATGCTTGAAGATAGATGGCAAATAATGATCGAGGGCGTCCGATGGCCATATCGTTTTCAGCAACTTGCTCCTAGATGACGACAGCTATCTGAGGGAATCAAACTTATCAGCGATAGCATATAAGCCACGTGAAGTGGCCGAAGTCTCACATATATCCTCCTCTTACCCGAGTGGAGGGCCATAAATGATAAAAGGATTCCACGAGTGTGCGACCCAGAGTATCTGCCTGGCAGCCCCTGTGCACTTCAGGACTGAACAGATCCTCTCCACGATGTGGAATGCGTCGGATGACCTGTGGCAAACCGCCATCGTGATCGCGACTAGCTCAAACTTGCAAGAGGAAGCCGTGGGGAGAGAAAGAGAGATTCCGAATGAGCGAGAAAGGTGCACCACGTACTTGTATCCGTGGATATAGATAAGCGCCACAATAGTATCGCGAGGTCATCACGAGGACCCGTCTGAAGCATTACGGAATCTCACTCCTGCCAAAAAGGTCATCGCGATATACCATCCCGTCAAACATTGCTGTCTGGCCAATAGCGTCCGTGGCGCGTCGATATTCGAAAGGCACAATGTTTCGTCGGTGGCATCAGGTCCACGGGTGGAATCGGTAATGGTTCGAGCTCGGCGGATCTCTTCGTTTGCCTTGATGGTGGTTGATCTGCGTAATGAGAGATAGTATGGTGTTAGATCTTCGTAAACCAAATAGACAGGGAGGGCACAACACGCGCTACCTTCAGTTGATCCCCAAGTCACTAGTTTTTGTCATCGAGTATATTTTCACGCAAAGCCTCGATTGCTCAGACAGCACAGAATAGTTAGTTTCGGTGCTAACGGTAACAGCCAGTGCCGCAAGTCTACCAAACACCCCCGTAGAAGTAAATGTACGCCAGAAACCACCTGCCCATTTTTTTGTTTTGGATCTTTCTATACTGACAACCGGCCCATCGCATAGTTCGTTTGATGCCCCACGAATTCGACGGCCATATCAGTTTCCAAGCCAGCGCCCACGCCGGGGATCATGTGTAGCTATGTGTATGCCCATCTTCAGAGTCTTGTAGTAGGTTTGTAAAACGTCAAAGCTCATGGCCTGGCTGTTGATCTTCAGCAGACGATCCATGAGATCGTGCCCGCAGGTGTAGGCAGGCTGGCACTCTCTTGCAACACGGAGCGTTTTCGTATATATCTGATGCTCAGAATCAAGCACAATGTGGCCATTGAAGCCTGGCCTGCCCAAAATTTAGTGTCTTCCATGTTCTCGATAGGTCTCGACTTGAGGTGGTTCTGGCGTCCGAGGGTGTCGGTATTGTAATACTCTGCCCCTGAAACCGTACAGCGATCAAATCAGTTCCGTGTAACTTAACAAAGGGATAAGGCCGAACAAAGGCATACTCTTTCTGGTCTCGAACGATGTAGCTTCCCATGTGGATATTACTGTCCCACGACTCCGACAAATGTCTAGTGAAGCTCCTCTGAGCCAACCTGGAAGTTGATAATTGAGGAATTGACGGATTGTATAACATTTAGCACCGCCATGGCCGAGTATAACTGAGAGTCGTCCGTCTAAGGCTGCCACAATTCCACCTTGGAGCACACGTTCGTCGATACAATCGACCGTAGCTAGGAAGGTTTATTTGGGACGGCTGGACACTTCAGTGCTCATGTCTGCCAAAGTGTAGGAATGCCGAAGCACCCTTCGTCATTTCTGGAGGAACCCTTGCGCTTGTAGAAAGAATATTTCGGGTGGAACGCGCGTACTCAGACTTATAGGCTCATGTTTCGCAGGACGCCCAAGATCATCGTGCACGGAGTGGCCTTAGCCAAGTGTCTTTTGCGGTTAGCAGACCACGGGATCGGTTACGATCGGTTTCGATGTGAATGATAATTAAGGAATGGAGGTATGAAGTAAGGCGTCTGGATTTCACTATTTAAGCACGTATGGGTGAAAAAATGAAAAGATCATCAGTTACAAGTCAGATCCATGGTTATCGATGGGGCTCAAATAATACTCACTAGTGGCTTCGATCTCGAACTCGTTTGACAGGGGGCGGTTTATAAAGCTGGTTCGCAGCACTCGTCAAAAGCCCCGACGATTTTTATTCAGCGTCCGCTAGGGCAGACATCTCACGAATTAGCGAAGTATCAGCCCCAATGTCGAGTCAATATTTTGGCAAAATGGTCTCATAGAAGAACCATTGGGGCCCATTGTGGGTAGAGGCGTTGTATCCAGTAGGAAAAAGGTCCAGGGTGTCAAAGCCATGGCGGTAGCTGGTGTGTGCGAGCCGATTATCGCACCAGAACGCCGCATGTGATGCGAAACATCAGAGTCTTCGAGAGTCTCGTCGTGAATGGGCAAATACCATCATGGCTGCGAGCATGGAAGGTGAGCTGGGTCTGAGGATAGGAAAAATCCAAGGTGTATGGAAGATGAACGTGCAACAGTCAACCGAGGGCGTCGGGATAGCAATAAGGCTCGGATTTAGCGGGGTTTAGCGTTCTGAGGACGCTTGACAAACAGTACAGGGCAACTGCTAATCATGACACATATGGAGGAAAAGAATAGGACTGCGAAGGGAGAGAGGAGTATTGGCTCCGCGATGGGATACCAGCAGCTGGAAGAGGAGGCAGTTGCGAGGAACGAGGACGTGTCAGCCCAGAACACGAATACCACATCGTCATTTACCTGAATAAAAAGCAGGACCACGATAATGAACGAGATTTTCTTCGATGAAGGAATAACTGGCGCGAGCTGTGCTCGGCGTTGCTTTGCAGCGCGTAGTTGGTTCGTGTACAGCGGAGACGCGAAAAATGTAATTCCAGGAAGATGTTTTACTGTCACGGAGGCATCAAACACTGACAGCTACGTCAAGAACCATCAACAAACGCCCTTCTAGCCTGGTCTAAGTTCCCGTCCGTCCTATGCCACAGCGTATTCTCAAGACGGCCCTTTTCTCCATCTCCGGGTCTCTGACCCAGAGAATGATGAAAAGAATCCCCGAAGGGAAGTGCCAAAAAAATATGCCTCCCAGCCCCCCGAGGGTGACTGAACAGGCGGCCAACGCGATGTGCAATGCAGTGGACGATCTGTGATGAACCGCCCTCTTGACCGCGGCTGATCCAAGCTAGGTAAGTTTGGGGAGGAGGAAGAGGAAGAAGCTGGAGGCGGAGGGAAGTGCCTTTTATGCCCTCGGCGGAAAGGGCCGTCACGTGCAAGGTCTGGAGCCTGGGTGTTCAGGGTCATAGGCAACATGTACAAGGAAGAGATTTTGGCTTCACGTTCTGGGAAAATTACAAGGAGACTCGGTAATCAATACCCTGGATTGAAGTAACAATGTTTTAGACTCTCAGCAGAACGGCTACCTCATGAGCGTTGACGAGTAGATCGATACATGTCGAAAATACAATGAAGCAACCAGGCCGAGCAGCTCTTCTCCATCCTCGAGTCCCTGACCCAAGGCATGATGAAAAGATATAGTTAACCCCACGAAGGGGGTGCAAAACAATATGCCTCGCAGACCCCCGAGGGTGCCTGAACAGGCGGCCGCCGCGCTGTGCAATGCGACCGGCGTTCTGTGGTGAGTCGCCCTCATGACCGCAGCCCACCGAAGCTAGGTAAGTATGAAGAGGAAAGAAAAGAGGAGGAGTTGTGGACTGGGTGGCGATATTTATACTCGTGAGCAGTACGACGCTAAGCTGTTTCGGGAAGGGGCCTTCAGCCCGTGACTGGCATGTGCTCAGGTTGCCTCAGGCTGCCGATTTGGACCGATTTGCACTTTGTTTTGCTATTTCTGCTGTTTTCTGTTCTCTCATAGCAGACTTTCTAGATAGCAGAGTCTCCCTGCAGTATTCTATTCATTACGACGCATTAAACAACCTCTTTACGGGCAGCAGGTCCTCCCGAGTGGAATTCTTTGTCCACTTCCTCGTCAAATTTGGCATCAGATTTTATCGTTGACAGTCCGCTTTGATCTACGATTTACTAGTGAGTTTAACACAAGGTTAGGCTACCCGATACGGTTGCTACTCGCGTGTCACATCAAAAATATCCAGGTAGCCCCAAATCCATGTTCACGCACCATAATTCTCACAAGCGGAACGATCCATCAGTATATCCATCAGTATATCGAATCATTCCCACTGTCACATTCGCTTCGTTTCTATCCACCATCTGACGCAACGAACTTTCACTTGACTACGTTCATACAATATGACTGACCAGTATAGAAACGTGAGATATCCATTGAACTGTCGGTGATCTTCAACCAACATTTCCATTTTTTTCCGCTTTTCTCACCATACCACACTAACGCTATATTTGGCGTAGCTTGACTTTTGACAGCGGCCGGAAACGACTCGAGCAGACATCCCATCATGACCACCCCCTGGACCATCAAGGTCAGGGCTTGCTTGCATAGTACTGGGCACCTGTGACTTGTAAGCCATCTTGCGCCGCCCCTAGAAGAACTCATCTAATAGACAAGGGAATGGCCGACGACCCGACTATATTACCCGACTCTAGTACCTGTTTAATAAAGCGGCCCGTTGGATGCACTCCTCATCCATTTTTAAGAGCATCGATGGTTTCTCAAAATCTAGTGCAATCTTCGCCATAATGCGTCGCCATCTTCGTCTTCGACAGTCATGTTGATCGTGGCCACTAGTGGGTCAATGGTCCCCACCAGATGTGATGAGTGTCGATGGTGTGTAGGTCGTGGGGGTCGAGAGGGCCGTAGTCGAGAAGGCCGTAGTCGAGAGGGCCGTGGTCGAGAGAGAGGGCATCGGAGTCTAAGGTTTCTGCAGAGCTGGATTCCACATCAAAATAACGGATGGAAGTTTCAGTGTCGATGTAGTTGTCATAGGCTGATTCCGTAGCGTCGAAGGTGAGGATATAGTTGAACGGAATCTCTTCGTCGTTCGCGTTCTGGTGGGAGTTGAGGTACGGGATCAGGGACCGAATTCTGCGGCAGAGGTTAAAGAACCAGGACGAAAGTTTGCCGTTAACAAGATCGAAAAACATCTTGAAACGAGGAACGAGAAATTGTGATCTCTCGACTTTGTGTGAGAGATGCTTTCCGGGAGGTTGGAGATGGTGGGATGGCAAGAGCAGATGCAGGCGGCCGCGCTTCGACTTATGTGTTTATGGGCCTCACGTCCACTGTGCAGCCTAGCTGCAACGCAGGAACGGTCAATACCATGTCTCTAACTACGGCCATTCCGTCAAAATAGCCTACATATTGTCTGGGTATGATTCCGATAGGGGACCAGCATAGGCAAACTAATAATAACAGTAAGGGCTTGACGGTTATTTTGACGGGCGACATGGCTGCTCACGCTGCACAGTTCCAAATACCAGTCTGTATTGCTCTCTTCTCCAGGCCCGAGCCACTGACCCAAAGCATGATGAAAAGGTGAAGAACCCACGAGGGGTGTGCCAAAACAATTTGCCTCCCAGCCCCCCGAGGGTGACTGAACAGGCGGCCAACGCGCTGTGCAATGCGGTGGTCATTCTGTGATAAACCGCCCTCTTGACCGCGGCCCACCCAAGCTTGGTAAGTAAGTTGGAGAGGAGAAAAGGAGAGGAGGAAGATTCGAAATGGCAAGCGATATTTATACCCGTGGCCGGTGAGACGCTATTCCGTTTCGGGAGGGGTGCTACCGGCAGATGGGGATTTCGTAGCCTCATGTAACCCAAGGAAAGTACATGGTCTTTGCAATTACTGTGGCCCTTCTTGGGCTGGGGATTCCTGTTGAAAATGGTTGGTCAAGCGCGAGGGAATTGTCAAGTCCATTGTCATTCCTGATGCTTCCATTGTACTGATATCCGGCATTGATATACTCGAATCTATTTCTCCTCACTATTCTAACACCTTTTCTCTTAGCAGCTTGTAATTTGTACAAGCCTCTAAATCTTAACAGGCTGGGGCGCTGGAGTTGCTGTACTGTTTACGTGAGCAGGTGGGCACAATATCGGGGACATTTGCGGCCCCTGGGCCTCTTGCATATTGTCAACGGTATTCGAAAACCTATTTAATCTCGTGAATACTTTTTCTGCCCGAGGCAAGGTGAGCAACGAGCGCGTGGAGCAGGACATAAATTACGCGGGCCCGTATTACTGGAACAAAATATATATTTGCAATGGAGTGTGGCGATCAGGTGGGCGTCGCCCGGTGTAATTTAGAACCAAACTGGCCAGCATCTACAGACTATTTAGTCTTTTAAAGGTAGAGGAACGCGTATTCCTTTCACAAGGAGGAATATAGCGAGCCAAATATAATAGGTGCATCTCCCGTGGTGGTAGCAGTCTGGCAGATTGCCCTACGCGGGCTCATTCTACCCATATAGTACAGCTCCGGGTCCTGACGCCCAAATTTGTATTCTGCCACTCCATGTTCGTGTCAGGTCTGTCAATGATTCGGGTTCCTGGAGCCGTCTTGCTCTCGGGCCTTGCTCCATTTCCCCGGAGATTCGCATCACGTCCAATTCCCGCCATCACCAATTACCCACCATTTTTCCGTTCGGATTGTTTTCCGGGCCCGTTTCAAACTGTTTGTATCGGATTCATTTCCTTCTTTCGTCGTCGACATTCCCTCGGAAAAATTGTCAAGGTCGCTTCCTCGTGAGCAGTACATCGTCAACCGGCTCCATTACGTCAATGAAGAGGATAGGTGCCTTCGGCCACAGCTCTTGAAAAGCTGACTTTGTAGCGCAGGGTCGGGACTCGGGGTATAGTGCATATCGTGGGCGCGTGTTTCGAAGGAAATAGAGACCTGGCATTTTCCTTCGGTTATTCATTCGTGCAAGGTGGTGTCTATCTGAGAGCGCCGTCATCAGACACTTTCAGTGAGCCTTCATCATTAGGCTTTTGAATACTTACCTGAACAACAAACTTGAGCTTCCCCAGCCGAGTTAAGCGGACACCAATGAGATATAACTGAGCAGCAAGACCTCGCCATCGCGGTCTTGCTGCGTGATCTAGAATTGAACCAGCCTCCAGTGTGTCGTACTTGCCTCGGCCATTGGATCCTACGAGCAGTTGTTTAACTGCGAGGATCTTGAATCATTGCTTATGGGGGCATCAAAACCACATGTCCCACTGTGTCTGACAGGTGTCCCCTTGTTTCCGACTCCCCGGTTTCTGTTTCACAGCGCCACCCCTTTCCTTTCCCAGCAAAGTGAGAACAGGTTCCGTATGATAGAGAAGATCCTCCGAGCCATTTGTCGTCTAGCTCCAACGCTTCATGCAAGTTCGTGACAGGAAGAATTGTATCGTTATACATTCAAGGCTGGCCACATCAGAAGCAGGATTGAGGTCCCAAGGAGAGTTTTCAAGAGCGATTGCGCCCGAGGAACGGAGGGTACGGTGGCACCGGATAACTCTAGGGACGCTGCGAGCTTTCGATGCCGAATCGAAGACCACTTAGGGAATTATTCTATATTTCAACAGGGGGTGGGGGCAGAGATGGCAAACTTGCGTAGATGGAGGAATTGACGTACTGTGAATATTTCTCTCCTCTATGCTATTCCGAGCGAGGTCTTGTCCTCGTAGTCGTGAAACAGCCCACGCGCAGGTTTCTGTTGTCTGAAGCCGGCTAATCGACAGGACCTTTGAGTCGCGAACATCGCCGACGGACAAAGACATTCCGATATGACGTTAGCCTCCTCTTCGAAAATAGGACTGCATTGCAGGACTTACTTGTACCGAAACGAGCAATCTTAGGTGCGTGTTGACATGATGCGGCAACGATGGTCCGATCGACTTGGAAGAAGGAGCACCGGCTGCTCGTCTCAGGAATCTGTTCGTCGCCCACGTCACTGACGGCTGCAGGCTGCAGGTCCAACACGTGACAGCCCAACGAAGGTATAAATATCACTTGCCATTCCAATTCTTCCTCCTCTTCTCTTCCCACTTTAACTTACCTAGTTCGGGTGGTCCGCGATCATGAAGGCGATCCACCACAGATCGTCTACCGCATTGCACGGCGCGGTGGTCGCCTGTCCAGTTTAAATCTCCTCGGGGACTGGAGAGCACATTGATTTGGCACACCCTTCGTGGGTTCTTTTCATCATCCTTGAGTCATGAACTCGAGCATGGAGAAGGGAATCGTGTTTGACCCTGAGCGATTGTCCTTGTCAGTTGTGTTTGTGCATCAAAGGAGTGCCTTTCACGGCTTTCGTCATCTCTCGCGACTCATCAAAGTGCACTTTGTAATATTCTCTGCGTCATAAAAACCCTCTTCCACTGGAACTACCATGCTTTTCAGAATTTCGTCACTGTGGGTATCTTTCCGTGCCGTCAGGGCGGTGCTTCACGGCGACCCCTGGGACTTCCTCAACGCACCTATAATACTCGCGACAGACTATCGCATTACTGGCCATCTCACGATTCATTCTGTTCTTTCTCCAACAGATGTACGTAAGCATGACATTCTCGTTGCATTCGGTGCTCCTCTTCCTGATCTCTGGTTCCAACAGAACGCGTAAAACGATGCCAGATCCATCTACTCGTCCACTGGGGCCGTCACGGCCAGGAACAGGCTGACAGGCACACCTTCCAAAGGTAAGTAACAAACCATTGTAGTTCCGAAAGTAGTACGTATTGCCGATACAGTCTCCGCTGCTAGACGGTCACTAATATCGCTGTCGATCATGGCAAATCCCACACGGCCGAAAAGTGAAACATTAGCCTTGTTCTCTCTATAATATCCCGTTTTGGTTAGGCGCCTTGTTCGGTGCCTATTGTAGCAAAATTATTGGCTTGTGCCTATCCTAGTATATCCTGTATGGATCAAATGCTGTGCTCGCCCAATTATAAGCAAGGTAAGGAAATTTAATAGGACTGAGCTAGTATACATAGAGGGCTCGTACCAATTTAGCCACTCTGTCGTGAGAAGGATGAAAAGCCTCCGGGATTTTGCTCTCCATTTTGGCTGAAGGCTTCGGTATCGACGTGCAGAATTGGGTCGTCGGCCGATCGACCGCCAGTCGGCGTCAACTCTAGAGGCTGATGAACTATGCCCTGTCGTTGGAGGGCCTCGATAGTCGAGGGACTTGCGTGGATCACAGTGAGTAGACTGTTGAGCACTGTGAATTCCATTTTCAACTTGACGCTGTAGACTACCGTCTTGTAGGTTGTTTGAACGTCGAAGTTGTCGGTATACTCGGTGGCGAGTAGGGATGCATCCAATAGAACCGCGATGGTGTTGACGATAATGAGATTGACGATGACCCTGTAGCCAGCGCGCCCCTTCATGGTTAGAACAGGTCTCATCGCTGTCATTGTTTCCCAGATGTAGAGACTGCTTATGATGATCTCTTGGACCGAGAACCCAGCTAGTTGAATCCGTTCATAGATATTGAATGGCGCGACGAAGCTGCTGACCCCGGCATTACTCCCGAGGAAGAGTATAGTGACGGGAACATGCAATATGAAGAAATTTGATATAATCATGTATAGCACCCAGCGACGACGACGAACTGCTGTACTCACCAGGTGGAGTCTCGAATACAGCACCACGGACTGGCCAGTCACCATAGCGTACCAGCCAATGCATACCAAGACACACATAGGAAAATTAGGTGCAAGTGCGAAGAAACGAAGGAATACCGAGATAGCGTGGAGTAGGATTCCCCAAGTAGCGACCAGCATGCTCCAGAAGTAGAGCCCGCGACGACATCTGAAGGTGGTGAAGATCGAAATGGTGATCTCGAGCACATTGTAACATGATATACCGAAGAACGCTGCAATTAACATGGCCATTGCCCGGGAGACGTTGATGGGCCCGGTTTCGCCCGCCATGTTGACCGCTGATTACCGGTCAAAGGTGAAATGGTGCCACTGGAGGCGGTCGGCTTTGCCAACAGTCAGATGGACTGCGCGGAACTTCGGTGGGGCGATATACACATGCTCTCCTGCACCCACATATCCTGTCAAGGTTAAATAGGGGTCGACTTCTCGCTGGGAATTAGATATCGCACCTTTGGTATTGGAAGGTATTCAAATCACAGCCTTCCCACCCTAGGATGGTCTCGGGGTCCTCACTGACAGGATTCGGATTTCTCTAGCACGCCAGAACCTAGGAACTGGCTATATTAGAGTTTTCGAGCTTTCTTTGGTGTACGAGCCCCAACCTCAAGTCGCTGTTGACCGGTCGATACGGTCCATCAATACGTCATCTGATCGGGCCGAGACTCCGCCAGTCTCTGGGTAGGTCGCCATTACCGCAGAAAGTTTAAAAGATCGCTCTGCTGACTCCTTGCAGAACCATCTGATGGCAAAAAACGCCAGAATCTTGAACTTGCGACAGCATGATGCACAGTTAAACTATGCGTTATCACACTCCTTACCCGCTGTGGGTCCCGACCAGTCTTGCGCATAGCACATATCGCGGCCCCCTTTGTGGGCCGTGCCGAGGAGCACTAGCATTGACTTCTTCTGGTTAACGCGACCCCAGTGGAGAGCTCCCTAAGTTTTGAAGTTCGCGGGGAGAGACAGGTGTTGTGTTACACCTATCAGCATCCTTATCGCCTGTGATTTCTTGGAAATCAACCTTTATAAACGCCCTGTAGTTATAGTGATTTTGTTTGAGCTATGGTATTTTGCCTTCAACGATAGGCCATAGGTATTCCACCTCGCAATTATCAGAAGTTTTGAGAAAATCACCCTGGGATACGGTATGGGGTGTGGAGAGTAAGTCACAGAGTGGAACCATAGGTCAAGCCGCATCACCTGTAATCAACCATTCCTGGTGCCACGCACGCAAGTCGTCTACCTCAATTCATACGGATAAGTCGACAATGAGTACTGTCTTAGCAAAATTAATTCTATTCTGGTGTCTATTCATGAATCTCTAACATCATCACACATCTTTAACTGACTTTACCACTGGTTGGCAAGGACATAACGGTATCGAGCCTTACCGGCATCCATATCAAGAATAGCCTGGTTGGCCTCCTTCATAGGGCGTTCCTCGATCCAGGGGTGGATTCCCTTCTTAGCAGCCAGATCCAGCATCTCGCGGATCTCGCCGGGGCTACCAATGAGCGAACCGCCAAGCTTGATACCCCGAACAATCAGTGCGAAAGCGGGGATCTCCAGACTGCCGTCTTCGGGAGCGCCAAGCTGGACAAAAGTACCGCGGGTACGCAGCAGCTGGCAATATTTAACGATGGGCATCTTGGATGAAGACACCGTCGAGATAATCAGATCAAGGCTCTGGCTGTGTTCGCTAACCCAGTCCTTATCCTCATCGGTGGCGATATACGCATCAGCACCGAGCTTCAGCGCATCGTCCTTCTTGTTGGCCTTGCGCGAGATAGCAACGACCTTATCGGCACCAAGAGCCTTGGCAAACAGAATACCAAAGTGACCCAGTCCACCAACACCAATAATGCCGACCTTCTTTCCAGGAGCACAACCGTGCTGACGGAGCGGCGAGTAGGTAGTGATACCACCGCAAAGCATAGGCGCAGCCTCAGCCAAGGGAATAGCGTCGGGAATCTTGATCACGAAGTGCGACGGGGAGCGATTGTACAGCGAATATCCACCATAAGACTTGCCGCCGTTCAAGAAAGTCCCGTTATAAGTTCCGGTCATGCGGTTGCAGTGCTGCTCCAGGCTGTTGGCGCAAGCCTCGCACTTTCCATCGAAGTTCTGGCACGAGCCGCTCTGCGCGCCGACGCCGACGCGGTCGCCGACCTTGATTCCTCCGGTAGCCTTGGATCCGACGCGGACGGCCTTGCCAACGATTTCGTGGCCGACGCAGCAGGGGTAGTTGGTGGGTCCCTAGACGGCATAAGCTTCAGCCACAATCACTGACATACCAAGACAGACATACCCATCCACTGCGAAGAGTGTGCATATCCGAACCGCAGATACCACAGTGCGTAACCTGGATATCGACATCGGTTTCCTCCCAGGGCTTGGGCTCAAACTCCTGCCACTTCATGTTACCCTGAGCGGCGCTGGCGTCGAGGCCCATCCAGCCCTCGAACTTGTAACCGGTGGATCCCATTTTGTTCGTTGTAAAGGTAAGGAAAGAGAAGTGATTCCTCCATGGTCCCCACGGCGGCCCCGAGGACCTTTATATGCAGCGTGAGCGACTCCACAGTCACAAAATTTGCGTCTCAGCATCGGCTTGCTAGAATCTTCAGCGGTGCGGATCCAAGCGTGGGACCTGGCTGAACAGTCGGGATGTCATCATGCCGATAGACAACCGCGGTTTTTAGACGAATTATGTCCGCGCGCATTGGAACACAAGTGGATCCTGGACGGGCTTCACTGGGGAAGGGGGGTCGTCGTGGTGCATCCGGATGACGGTGGTAGACACGCAAATCGGAGCTAGCGGCTAGAACATGCGATGATCTTCATGCAAAGTCCGTCATCCGTCAGCACCCTGTTTTAACTCCGGAGCCGAATTATGCCGCGTGGTGGGCGACACGGCGGGTCTGAAGTGGAGTTTTGCGAAAACGACCCAGGAAGCAGATCAGGCCGACAGTAACAGGTGGGTCGGGCCACACCTGACCGGAAGATCTATTTTCCAGGTGTAGAGCATAGATTAGTAATCTATTATGATTGGCCAGGTCAAATACCAACTTCTTGGCAATACCAACCCTTTCAATCTCCACACCCCTCCTCCTCTCCACCAATCGTGAGCCCTCCCAACTCCCCGCCTATTTTCATCAAGAACAAATTATTAATCTATTATTGTCGAATCCTAACTAGTTACACCGTACAGGTCCCTGAGTCAAGATGGTGCGTTTCCTGGAGTCCCACGCCCCATACAAGCAATACGTGGCGGATGCGAAGGCCGGTATGCTAGAACTACCCGCGTATGAGAAGGTGAGTGGAAACATCTCTGAGTGGGGTTTCTGATTGTCCTGGGCATTGAAATATATATTGAATGCGCCATCTGTGCTTCTAAAAAATCCTAATAGTGACCTTGAATATATGACTAATATGCATTTCTAGGATGATGATGGTAGCGTTATTGTCCTTCCTGGAGAGCTTTTCTGTCGATTCGAGGATTGCGATCACCAGGTATGCTATATGATCTTAAAATATTCTGAATCTATTACTAATGTATTATCAGAAGCAGTATTCTCACACTGGCAACCTCAAGACGCACCTCACCGGTCATCAAGGCGTGACGGTCTCTGGTAAGTACGCTAGTAAGGGCCGCCACGCTATCAAGGAGATGGACGAGGTCAAGGGTATTAACACATCCCTAATTTATTCTTGTTATACTACTAATATATGATTTTAGCTTGGTACACTGCTCTTGTTGCCCGTATCTCTACGAAGCCGCGACTTCACGAAGGGTAAAGGCAAGAATCGGAAGGTAAGTTATCTCTGATTTATTGAGAACAGATTGCTAATATATTATAGATTTCGGTTAAAGCCGTGAGGGATTTCCTCGCCACTAAGCATATACACGATGACTGCAACGCCTGTATCACTGCTAATATCAGTAAGCGATTCTTAATATATCCTTAATGCATTGCTAATATATCATAATAGAATGCGGTACTGCCCCATTCACCTGCGAGTATCTTTCTCGCTTTTGGGATGTGGACGCAGACTTTGAGCGTCTCGAGGAGGAAGCATAAATTTACAATTATTCTTAATTCCTTGACCAAAATTGTTAGAGTTAATAGAAGTGGGCATATTTTAACCTACCTACGCTTTACCTGTCTATCTATCTCATCTAATTCTTGCTGCCGTTTACGATTAGCAAGCTGCTTTTCGAGCAATTGTGCCTTTAAGTCCTCCTCTCGGAGCTGATGTTCAAGCTTTTGGATAGCAAGACTATTATGCTCTTGTCGTAAATTGTCAGAGGCAACCCGTTGTAGGCTTTGAGCTCTGTAATATATTAATAAAATATTCTTAAAACATCATAGAGTACTAACCTTGGTGTAGGTGTTCTTGTTCGGCGAGGAGTAGCGGTAGGGGATCTAGTACTAGATCTCCTTGGTACACTAGCTGAACGTCGAGAAATTGGTACACCTGAGGTCGTATACCGTACACTTGTCTCATCAGATGCGAAGAACTCATCTATGTTCGATGAGCTCTCAAGCTGATTGAGTTCCTCTTCTAGTAGCCTCTCCTGGCGCCTTTTTTGCTCTATAGAAATGATTAATAATGTATTGTATATATTCTTCGTATCAACTTACCCTTTGCTAGGTGACGATCGAATGCTGCATGAATACCATTCATCCGATACCTTTGTCGAATTCCGGTTACTTGACGAATAGAATAAGCTTGCATGCGGTTCTTATCATGGGCAAAAGAACTAGAAATATTGTATTAATATACTATTAATATATTACGACGAAATTAATAAGAACTTACTTCAAAACCCCTTGTAGTAGTGAAAGCTGAACACCAGTACTATTGATCATATGGTGCGATTGCTCCACTGCATTTGTGTTCTTTCGAAGTCCTTCGAAAATCACATCAGGTATCTGACTCCAAGCTTTATTCAAAGCTGCCGCAACGTAAGGCAGTTTTTTATGGCGAGCCCATTGCTGAATGACAACAGATGATTCATGCTCTAATAATAAATTAATAACCTATTAAGAACCGATTAGAGTATATTTACCGATTATCCAGTCTAAAGCTTGAATATACTCCTCTCGATTCGGAATATCGATCACTGCTCGCATCCTTTCCCTACATCCAGGAGCGACCTGTTGCCCACGAAGTGCTCTATCAATACCCCTGTAGAAGTGGGCTCTGCAGAAGACAACGAAGTGTTGGATAAGATCATCAGGCGATACTTGAAGAGTACTCTTATCAGCGAGAAAGTCTCTAAGACCTATAACGTATTAGTAATATATTAATAGTATATGATCTATTTCTCACCTCCGTATTGCTTTGTATCCATATCCAGAACGACAGCATGTAGCCCCGTACGATGGATTGGATAAAAGTAGAACTGGCGACTAAGCACACGCTCTATGCACTCAAAAAGCCGAGTAAATAGGAGATAATAGGTTGAATGGGTCTCGGAAACGACAATCACACGTGCTAGTGTAAAAACTAGAAGAACATTGTATTAATAAAGAACTATTAATATATTAGGGTAATATTTACCTCGGTCTTGCTCAGGTATATATTTTGAAAATGTAACCTCTCGCATTGACCTTTCTTTGAATCGTTTAAAAGACATGTCAATCTCTACCGATTCAGATTGGATGAAAAGCTCAGCCATGTCAGATGTGAAGCAAATAACCATAAGGTCAGGGTCTTGATAGATATGCTGAACGTAGTCCTACAAAAAGGTTAATTATAATATATTCTCATTATATCACGACCTATTATCTTCATACCTTTAAAGGAGGATCCTTTTCCATCTCAAAGATCAAACCATTGATATCCTGTCCATGAGGAAATCGTAGGAGTCTCTCCTTTCGAATGAGTGTGCTGATCCGGTCTAAATTAGCAAAGCTTTCATGGACATTGAGCAGCGACTCGCTATTATTGTATCGCTTGCATAGACCCCGAAGCTCAGGGCTAACGAGAAAACGTCCTAGGATAAAACATTATTAATATTTCTTTAATATATTCCTAACATATTAGAAAGAACTTTACCTGTTGTTAATGCAGGATTGTTCTGTAGGCGGATTATTCGTACTAATCCGTCTATAATTGCGGGTGGAGGCTTCGATGGAGGTGGCGGAGGGTGCATATGAATCCCGGTTGAGGTAAAAACCCAAAATGGATTGGACGTGAGGTCTATTGGAATAAACCAATGGAACTCAACGGAGCATTTGTGCCTTTTAATTTTACCAAGCCCACGTGTATGGTCAAATTCTATAATATAGTCATTAATAATATTTTCTTAATGTATTAAAGATATATTCCTTACCACAATAGTCTCCACGATGACGATTTGTGTCGATATAACCACAGGTTTGAATTTCTCCCTGGACCTCTCCATCAAGGATTCGCCTAAGCAATTCCCTGTCGATACCAGAGTCAGGGCGCACACATGATGCAAAATGAGACCTTGGACTTTCATATGAATTAGAGCAATAGATATAAAAGTCAGATCCACCAATAACACTCTGATATATAAATAACAGGTTAGAAATATTTTAAGAATATATTAGTAGTATATTACTTACATCCTGAACCCATCGACCGCGCGGCGAACAAGTATCCTTCCAAGATCCACATGAAGTGCGATTGATCTTGAATTGGCGCATCGTAGATTGGTACAACCTATATGTTGCTGGTTGTAGAGGGTTTTGGGTATCACTGAATGCGATATGTTGGCGAAGCTCTTTGATTCGCTGCCAAATACCCTCAGTAACATGCGAATGCACCATTTGCTTGAGCTCAGGATCTGTAAATTCACACATTTTTATGCCTGTACATCTGTAGAGGCTGTGTAGAAAAGCGACCCTTTCTCCAAAGATAGAATCATGCTGGTTACGTCTGTTTCGATAGGCTTGTTTTGACGAGTATTGCACCTAATATATTATTAACATATTATCAATATATTAATGGGATATTAATATACTCCTTCAATTGACTGCTCCACTGCGAACAATGACCGATCAGGCACATTGATCACATATGTGAAGCCATCCGGGTCTGTCCGGGGATATTCAGGTAGCGCTGAAGTATATTCGATAAAGCGTGTTCGAATCGGCGAGCGCTTGTCGTGTAAGATAGTCCGTAGGAATTCCTAAAGACACAATATATTATTAATGTATACTTAAATATTGAGAATATATTATCGTCATACCGGAGGTTCATCTAGAGCATCTGTAGGTCCAGGGGTCCCTTGAACAGTAGCAGGAACTGCACTCTCCTCACTATTAAGCTGCCGCCGAAGCTCCTGCTGAAGCTCCTGCTCAAGGGATTCACCGATATCTTGGTCGTCCTCTAAAAAGGCTGCCATACTGGGTGTGGGTGCAAACACTAGAATGAGATGAAGGAGAACTACCCCGCCTGACCCATGGTTCAGTGCGAGTGAATAATACATCAGTAATTTATTAAATGTATTCGCCAGAAATAAATTACAGGTGCCAAGAAATTAGGTGTGGCCTGGACTTATCGGGCTTATCAGGTGTGGCCTGACCCACCCGCAGGTGTTCAGGTCACATATACACTCGTCAAATACCACTAGGACCCTTCGGGATGGGCTTATTCATCGTTCACCCAATTTCCACCTAGTATGGTGTCATAACACGCCATAGTTCAAATATAAAGACCCCTGAGATCGCTCAACCGATCTCAACAACCTTCAATCAATCATCTTATTCTGTTTGGACATCTTCAGTACCAGCCAGTACATCGATTCCTCATCCTGACATAATGTAGAAAAGGCCCATTTATCGGAGTCATTTGTAACTGTCGGTAATTCAGGTATTCCTTGAGTAGCGTGACAGATCGAAACAAAGTATGGGGTACTTTTTTGACCCCGTCGATAGCCGAAAACAGATCCTCGCGCAAATTGAGCTGGAGTAGGGCTGACAGGCCCCTTCGTATGAACCAGAATGGGTCTCGCCGGTTGACAGCGGAATTTGAACTGCTCGGTGCATGGAGAGTGAGGTCGCTCAGATAGAGCTCTAGCCAGGAGAGGCAAAACTGCCACCCGGGCTGACGGTTGACGTTGAGCTGAAGGTGAGCGTTAAAGTGAAGATTGTTTGGATCCCTGACCGATCAGATGATAGAGGCTGGTGATATGGGCGCCTCCTGGAGCACATTCCGCACGCCGCAGGGCAACAGATGTCGTGAGCATTATCAGCTGGCATCATTGAGTCTGACTCGGGTAACAGTGTATTTTTCGGAGCACATATCGTTGCGTTGGTGCGCATGGGAGGCGTTGGTGGGCGGTTCCTGAAGGAGAACGGAGATTTACATCTTGTGTGTCAGATGGCGGGAAATTGTCAGATACGAAGGAGACAAGAAAAGACGGTGGCAATGAGGGATTTGGATATGGAAGAGGAATGGCATTTGAATCCGATGGAGTTGAGGCCCTCTTGTCTTACAATTATTGCGTCCAGGGTGGCTTCGATATCCAGCCCGGCCGGGGCGTTATTACCGTCGGTCGCATCTACACGGCAAGTGAAAATCAGAGTCAGTCAAATTCTACAACAGAGTCTTTTTCTCGGAATTTCACCTCATAGTAGATTCCAAGCACACGGAATGGCGTCTTGTCGCGAGCGGTCGTCATAAGAAGGGTGGCGGACGAGAGATGGAAGTTTTGTGGGAAGCGGAAGCGCGTTCGCCGGACAAACCAAACCATTGTCTACAGGCCGGCCCAGGATCGCCTTCCATGTCGGAAACATACAGAAGCTCTTCAAAACCTACTCACATAATACGGGAATATAACACGTGTTGTACATACTTGTAATATAATATCAGTCCCTTTTTATAGATTGTAAGAGAGATACAAGAGCCTATAATTAGAAGACTGGCTCTCCTAGAAGGTTCCACGCAAACGCAATAAACAGAAGAATTACCTCACATATATGAAAAGACCGCTTCTGATATCGTAGATAATTTCTGGGGGTTGTAGAAATATGTGACAATGTGCTGATGGGCCTAGATGTCAACCCAATCATCCATGTGAGCAGGCTCATCATCCCAATTAAGCGACTCCTTGATGAAGTTCACCACAGTCGTTACGGCGTCTTCGCCACGAGGTACATAGTGAGCACCTTCAAAGTAGATCATTTTCCCATTCGCACAGGTCTCAGCCAGCGTGTTTGTTTCTGAACTTGGAATCCAGAAATCATAAATTCCGGCCAGGTGGAGGATTGGTGTCGAAATCTGGCTCGGGTAAACCGATTTGAACTTTGGATGCGTCAGCTTGAATCCGCTAAAACAGATCGCAAATTGTAATTGCGGATGCTGAGTCTGGTCATAAAATAGTCAGTACAACGGATAATCTCTCTGCTCGCATGGGATAACCCCTCACCTTTAGTCCCTCATCCTGGAAATCACACCCATCTTTTCTCTCCAGGAGCCCTGCCAGCACAGCTGCTAGACATGCGCCAGTTGAGAATCCCATAACTCCGATGAATGGTCCCTCCGTACGCATTATCCCGAGCAAATAACGAAAGGTCAGCTCTAGCCCAACGAGCTCATCGCTAGCAGGATCGCCGTAACCCCATACGCGGGATGAGCTTCGCGCATCGTAATTGTCATACAGCGTGAGGAGGGACTGGAAATTATCGTCGTGATTGGCACTGTCTTCCACAGACGAGTTGTCCGGCAAGGGCAGTGGGGCATCAGGGTACAAAAATTCTAACCCTTCAGGAAAATACGGCCGTTCTTTTCCACTGATACTAGTTGTAAAAGCTTGGTGTAAGCCGTCGCGAATGCGTCGTGTCTTGGAGTGGAAGTAGCCTCCAGACTGTCCATTTCCTGGGACTTGGTAGTACTTTGTTCCTTGTTACGTTCACTGCCGCTGGGAAAGGATCATACCATGAAGCATTAGAATTTTGGCTCTAGGCCTAGGGAGAGAGTTTGATTCGTCCGTTCCCATGGCGTTTTTGCAGGCCTTGAATGATCTGATCTGCCGCTCACAGCGGCATCGTACAATTGGAGGCCTTTAATAAAATGATGTATGAAATTTGACTTTATTTTCGGCCCAGAGTTTGGACAGTTACATTCGGGACCGGGTAGATGTGGACCTAGCCATTATCCGTCTCTGTGAGTTGAGCTTAATCTCAGTCCTAAAAAAATCACGTCGCAGACGTCGAACCGGTTTCCGACTGTGTCAGATGTAACCTCAGTTGGGTATGACGAATACGAACAACTATTTCACTTGGTTTACTCCTACCATTGCTCTAATCTGTCACTGATGGACAGCATAGCCTGCTATAATGTCGAGGGAAGATATCTGATGACGTAAATCGATAAATAGATAATACACATTTAAACTCAACCTATTTTCCCTAAGACTTATCAACACCTCCCATCATGACGTCATATCTCTGTGTGTATGAGTTTACAGCTTAGCTGAGGATTTCTTAGTCTTCAAGCCAATCCGATTTGATAGACCTTCTCCTAGAGCCTTGCCTTCCAGAATTGAGTCCAAATGTTTCAGTCTCATGTCGCGTATGGATTCATTAACGCCTACATCAATAATGTTAGTGACCCTCCAACACCATAAAGTAAAGCAGGGTCTTAATTGGTGATACGCACCATAATTCAGAGAATTTCTAACTGCCTCTCGAGCAACAAAGATCGCATGGGGACTCAACGAGGCAATAGCACGTGCCATTTTCAACCCCTCGCGTAACAACTCTTCTTCGGGGATAACCCTCAGTACAATACCCCATTCCTCCGCCTCAGCTGCAGACGGTCTTCGAGCAGTCAAAGATAGATCCATTGTCCGCTGAAGATCTGCGATACGACATAGTCTTGGGTAGGCACCTGCCAAGGCTGCCAGGCCGTGCTGGCAATCCGCAGCCCGAAAAGTGGCGTTTGGGGATGCCAACGTGAGATCGAAATTCAGCGCCATCTCGAAACCACCACCATGTGCGTGGCCGTTGATCAGACCAATGATGGGTTTCTTGCCGTCGCGACAGGACATTCCTGCGAAACCACTAAAGCTAGCGTTACCAACAAATCGCTTCTTAACACCCTGTTTGTTCACCAACCTTGGTGGAAACATAGATCCTCTTGGGGGTGGATCGCCCATTTTGAGCATCGCCAGCTCCTTGAGGTCCATACCGGCGCTAAAGGCCTGTTTGCCACTTCCTGTCACCAGCGCGCAATAGAGGGATTCGCACTCATCGTACCAGTGCCAGAGCGCTTCAAGCTATCAGTGCGCTGCGAGAGGCAGGGAGTTCATCTTTTCAGGGCAATTCAACGTCACTAGCATGATGTTCTTGCTCGGAAACCTAACCACGGCATGTTCTGGTGAGAGATGGTGGATATTGGATTTGAGAAAGATAATCTGGTGTCATGGTTGAGGGATGGGTTTGGCGGTGCATACAATAAAGTACTTTCTTGGCTTTCAATGTGCATGGACAGAGGATTATCTCTGACAGCCACGCTCCAGGCAAGTGATAATAATATAGTAGAGTGGAAAATGGACAGGAAAGTTTATATGAAAGCCTAAATTTAGTCTGGTGTAACCTGAAGGATTTGAACGCGGGCCAGGGAAAGGGTATAGGTATCTAGAATTGAGTTTGATCCACTCATGGTGGTTTCTGTTTCCGTCGGCCATTTTCTCTTGGACCGCTTTTTCCAGCTTGATTAGCAACTATGAGGTAGCTGCTACTTTAGCCGAATCAAATAAAATTCAATAAAAAAGTTGCCAGTTGTAAACTAATTGGCAGAGGAGAAAGTCAGAGTGATGACGTTGGGGGGCAGTGAAAATGCCTCACCTACAGTTTCTTTAATTCAATTCGCAAATATTGATTGATGCTACGCCGATTAGTACTTTATACACTGCTTTCCACTCCATTACGGGCTCGATAGATCCAGCCTTAGTGCACCTCATCGAAGAGCAACAAATCAGAAACTTACTGGACTTTCCCTGGCAGACCACAATTCATTTTCTTAGCCATGTATAAAAACGTGTCCGAAATTGATACTGAATTTCCTCCTGGGGATCCAGAGAATCCCAGGAACTGGCCAATTTGGAAACGAGTGACTGTTTCTACCCTGTCTATCTTGGGCGCTTTCTGCATGTACGTTCTCATGCATACCGAAGTAATAACCTTTGGAGACAGAGCTCTTATCTTCCGCCATTACATAGGACGTCTGCAAATTCCATATATCTTGCAGCAATCCCAGATGTCAAGGCCGAATTTCATGTCAGCCTCACTAAGGCCATATTGCCAATTACGCTCTTCACAATTGGCCTGGCTCTTGGACCTGTTGTGTCAGCAGCAGTTTCCGAGATCTATGGACGCAAACCTGTGTATTGGTTGTCCCTAGTGTGTTCAATTGCCTTCACCGTTGTTGCGGGATCCGCCACGAGCTGGGCAGCTCTAGGAGCCGGGCGGCTCCTTTCGGGGAGTCTTGGGGGACCTCTGGTCGCTATCGTGGCGGGAACTATCAATGACATCTGGGACACGTCGAGAGAGGACCTAGGGAACACCTTTTATGGGGTCTTTGCCGCTTCACTGATCTGGGGAACTGAAGTCGGGCCAGTTATTGGACATTCTATCAAAGAAGATACCAGGAACTGGCGGTGGACTTTTTGGCTTACAGCGATCCTTCTCGGTGTTTCGTGCATGTCGATATTCTGCCCTGAGACTTATGGGCCGCAGATCCTTCGTTACAGGGCCAAGAAAAGGGGTGCTCCGCTACCTCGACGGGGTTCCTTGACACATGTGCTCAAGGCGGCGGCTGGCCGTCCGCTGCATATGCTCGTTGTAGAGCCCATTATTGCACCTACTTCATTCATCTCATCCATATCTCTCTGCGTCGTTTTTTTCTTCTACATTGCGTTCCCCATGGTTTTCGAACGACTGCATGGCTTTTCCCGGTATCAGAGTGGATTGGCCTTTCTATCGTTGCTCATTGGAAGTATCTTAGGGCTTGTATACATGACCATTGTGAACAAGGCCAAACATCGCAAAGCAAAAGATATAATGCGGCAGCATGGTATTCCAATGCAGCCCGAGGAGCTCTTGTATCCTGCGATGCTGGGCGGTGTACTCCTCCCGGTGTCTCTTTTCTGGTCGGTCACTGTTCTTTCCCATGGAGCCACATCCAGTCATGCTAATAGAAGAAAATTTTCAGGTTTGCATGGACTGCTTACGCGTCGATCCATTGGGTGGTCCCCTTGCTTGCTGGAATTCCATTCGGCGCTGCCTATTTTCTCGTTATGGTGAGATTTCCTCTTCCCGAAGAAGCCGTATGCGACTTACTGACATACCATACAGCTCGGGTGGCCATTATATAAAAATTCCGTCTATGGAAATCGGTTCGGTGCGTCTGCTTTGGCTGCCGAGGGCTTTATGCGTTACGGTATGGCATGCGTGGTGCCTTTGTTCTCGGTCCAGATGGTGGACCGAATTGGAATCCATTGGTCAGTTTCCATTGCAGCATTTATCTCGCTCATATTAGTACCAATTCCGTGGGTGATATACAAAATTGGACCTCGCCTACGGCGGCGAAGCCGATATGTTCCGACTCATGAGGGAAACTTGCGCAGTTCCCTGGAGGATAGCATAGAGGCGAGAGTGTAGCATGTTTCTATCAGATGGGTTGGACAGATGGTGAGCGTCATACCGCTGCATATCATTTGAACAATAATCTTATAATGCCAGGGGTCGAGGTTTCGTAACACTTTTCAGCGGGTTAGCGTATTGCTGAGACTCGGCGAAGACGCCAGAGTTGGGGCCACTTCATGGCGGAGCGGTTAGTTTTTGAAGTTTAACTGTGATACATGCCCTCAAGCTTCAATTAGCCTGATGATTTCTGCGTTTATTGATGACAAGTGCAGTTCCTCGAACATTCCACTCGACACTTTGCAGACAGTGCCGTCTCCACGTCTTGAAGGCCTTCGTGTATCTACACCGCAACGCTGAATTGTTCTCTTTAGGAGCTCATTAAGCCTAGCATGAATCTGTGACATCTGTAACCGAGGTCAAAGAAGATGCAGAGCTCGAGTCGTGTCCTTGTCCATCCATGTCAACCATAGCATGCTCTGTATGCTATTTATGGTCCGCGTCTTATGCTGGCGGTGTTCACGCCCTCTTGCTGCCCCTGTTGACTACAGGTCAACCATATCAACACACCACCAAGGAAGTTGCATATAGCCCTGTTAAGTATACAGGCGGCGACGGGACGGCTTCGAGCAGACGAACGAACATGCCTGAGCCTATTGAAAATAATTTTTCAGCACCGGACTCACATTATGCATGTTTGGGGCGCACTTACCATATGCAATTTCCATGTCACTAAACATTCTAAGGACTTTCAAGTAGGGAGTGACAAAGAGGATGTGACCTGTATTTATAGTGGTGAATGGCTGAACCTGCTTAGAACACATTGCTTGACTGACATACAGAGGTGACGGCAGCTGGTATGTTTGGTGACAGGCTTTGAGGCAATTGAGAGTCCTGGGAAGTGTCAAGAAAAAAGTAAGGAAGAGAAGTCATCCAGGCAAGTGAGTGGTGAACCGCATCCTCACAACGGAAACCGTGAGCGACATATGGAGTTCGACATATGGAGGTGACAGCAATCTGCCTGTCTGGAGCCAAACTCCAAGGTCAATGAGGATCTTAGGGAGTGTCAGGAATAGGTTCAGGTCGAGGCGGCGTCCTGGTATTGATAAGGCAGCACAGCGGCTTCACAACGTAGCGGTGGACAGCAAAGACGTGCTCGCGCCTTCTATTTTCGTTTGGCCAGGCAGCTCTCCACATGAGTCATCACTGCAGACCCAAAGGTATAAAAGGGTAGATTTTTTCCACTGCTGAAATTCTTTCTTCTTTCTTCTTCACCCCTCCCCTACTGCTACCCGCTGGAGAGCGATCGTGTGACGCCCCTGGGTTGGCGATCCGGGTCGTCCATGATCACGAAGATGGACGGTCACACAGGTCCATGCATTGCACAGCGCAGTTCCTGTGTCTAACTTCGGTTGCGGGCATAATTTTTGGCACTTCCCTCTTTTGGGATTCCATTATGTTTTCATCATCTTTTGAGTCTGGGACTCGAGGATGGAGAAGAGAATCGAGGATGGGAGGTATGAGGCGTCTCACATCGTGGATGATTTTTCTAATTTGCTTTTGTGCGTTACGCTGGTTATTCCAGTATCCTGCTTCGTCATGTTGTCTCGATCGCTGCCACGCGTCTCCATCAACAACGACGGCTCTCATCAGCTCCCCGCGTCTGGGGGTCTTTTGTGACACACAATCATCTACATACAGACTGTCAGAAGACTCATCGTTCCTCGTTATTCGAGGCTCAGTACTGGGCAACGCCACTTCAATCATGACGGTGGCGTCGAGATCCGGTCAACTCTGCGCCATCTAGGGTGCCTTTCTTCGACCACGCCACATTCCCACATCGGCCTGGACACATCGAATTTGTTGTTTGAACGCACTACAATAAGACCTCTTAAGCGTTACACACGAATATACTTGAGTATCATCACTTTCTCATCCCCCGTAGCTGTTCAAACACAGGTGCTAAGACTTGACCTAATCACAGACCGTCCTCCTCCACCGCCAATTAGCCACCTCTCTTGAACGAACCTTCCTAGCCTTGCCCCCAACAGTCCCTTCTGCAACGAATTCGGACGAATGCCATACCTTCTACTGTTGCCATTGAACGGCCTCATGCAGCGTGATACCACACACCGACAGATATTGTAATGGATCTCTCTACATGCACCTCCTCGGCCCGTTGACCGGACACTTACAATACGATACCCTCGGCAATCTTGCCCCGGTACTAAACGCTATAACCAGGGAGGAGCGTGGGACACGACGTATAATTTCATTTGTGCATTGGAATTACGTCCGCCTACCATAGAAGCCTCCGCTCATGCGCAGTTTCCATCGCGGGCTTGGAGAAGAGATGGCGTATGGTGGTGATGTGTGGTCTGTCAGGTGTTGGCTGCGTTGGCTTCCCAGATTTCGCTCCGTTGAGCTTGAGGTAAAAAGCTAGAGACTATTTCAATGAACCCTGAGATCCTCATGATGGATTTACGCGCTGTACCGGCTGCTGTATGTTGATCCCGCACCGTGATATTGCAGGTCTGATGGGCATCAGGTAGGGACAGGCGTGGGAGCAACCGTGAAGCTACGAACCTGGCAATTTATCTACAGAGCTCGTAAGACGTACAGATCCAGGACAGCCGACTTGGCTCCTTGAGCAGGCCATTTAGAGTAGGACTTGCTATCTGAGAAGCCATAAACGACCATCTACCGCGAGAGCAGTGGTCGTATGCTCATCTTACACACCGGTATCACTAGAGTAAATACACTCGACACGCTCAGCACGAGCGTTCAGAGCCCGCCCAGCTAGTCCCTGCCCGCAGGGCATCCTGTCACTCCCACCAGTCCTGAGAATCCCGCATCCTCCCACACAATTCACGGTGGCCAAATCCGGCAGGCAACAACCCCCATCACGTGCCGATCTACGACATAAATATCACCTGCAATTCCAAATTCTCCACCTCTTCTCTTCCCTCCTAAACGTACCCTGTTGCGGTGGACCGCGATCAGGAGGGCGGTCCACCACATATCGTCCACCGCATTGCACAGCGCGTTGGTCGTATGTCGAGGCACCCTTGGGGGTCTCGGCGGCATACACTTTGGCACTTCCCTTCGGGGATTCTATCTTTTCATCATGTTTGGGTCAGTGACCGAAGCTTGGAGAAGAGAGTGGTGTTCCTGTGGGCGGGATTGTTGTGCGCTGGGCAGTTTCGGCTCCAGCCATGATTTCCATCACTGTTCGCGTCTCTCATGTCTTATTTACATATCTATTCTCGCCTAGGTCTCTCCTTCTTCTGACGCCATCAACTGTTGAAAGTGGGCTGTCTCAATAATCCTTCAGCTACAGGTAAGTCTCATCTCCATCTCACTCCATCATGCTGTCTGCCGACAGCCGACCGTGGCTCTTTTTCATATCATGTCTGACCACTTGAGCAATACAAGCATCCAGCATCTGAGCAAAAACGACGGAAGCTTTCATTTCATTCTCTGCTCCCCCTCAGTCGCCTTTTCCCCGTGATCCTAAAATTCGATACCCCGGCATTCTTACTTCCTGTTCTCATCTCTACCGACCCCAGACCATGACAACCACGTTGAGCTCCGTACACAAATACTCCTTCAAAAGGTCGAGGCTGAATGAATGTTTCAGGATGCGTACCGCTGAGGTGAGTGTCGTGCGCTGCTGAACGCCGAAACACTAGACCTCGGTGCGTGCCTTCACTTGATCGACGAATTCACCAAGCTCATCCGCCAAATATCACGCAAGGGCGTGAAGATAAACAGAGCTGCTATGGTCACTGCATTGCCCTGGAGGCACTCTGTTGGCATAAAATTCCTGGGCGGGACGCGTTGGTTCGGCCGTAGATGCCTGCTACTTTGAACAAGTGTTCAAGCGTGGAGGTACCAGAAGACCCTATGACCTGCGATGACAGACCCAAGGTCCATGTGGCGAGCCATGAAAATGCAATCTGTGCCATCGCAGATCGGAGGTAATGGGAAGAGGGTGGGAAGGCAAGACAGAGTTGTTTGCCTACCACATTCGGGTCGAATGTGGTGGTACCAGCAGCATAAATTTTATTTCGTCTATTCCCATGGATACAGACAAGGGTGATACAGAATCTGCTATATCCCGTCTGAGGCGAATCGACTAGCGCAGGGTAGACTGAAGCACAAGGCCATCTCGAGTGTCCATTGGTATTCCCTTCGAAAGACCCTCCCTTAGAAAGACCCTCCTTTAGACCTGCACGATTCTTAACGTCTTTCTGGATGACGAGGGCAGCGAATGTAGGCAATCTTTCTTTGTACAAAATTCCGCCCAGATTTTCAGAGTATTTCCCAGAGACTTGCGGACAGTATCACACCGACATTAAACCACTCGTAGAATTGATGCCGTGTTGATCGTCAGATATTGCGCCACCACTTGACCTTTCGTCGTCTTCCGCGAGACACCATTATTCGCCTTCAATGCCGTGCATGGTTGCTCGTCAGAACGCGAGCTTTCAGCAGCATCCTCCGCATCAGAAAGACTTTGGCGAATGGTTTTGACTGATTTGTCCATTCGGCTGAACTCGGTCGAGGGCGTTGTGGACGGCAATGTGTTTGACTACCACCTGCTCGTGAGGAGGTTCAGGATACTGGTCAGAATGCTTGAATAGGCAATTCGCAGGGAATTGGCGTTTCTCGTTGGGCCAGGGTGGATGCGAGTCGGATGGCTGTAAAAGAAGTCGTCTTTGCCGCCCCTGGAAGGGACCATGCAGCTATTCGGGGTGGCGGATGTCAAGGCTGCGATCGTCGGTGCTGCTTATCTTAGGCAAGACGGAGGGATGAATACTATGTGGGGATAGTCAGTGAGGGAAGTGTGGTTGAGAGATGATGATTGACTTTGTATCATGGGGTGGCTGACCGTCCTGGTGATGATGATGGAGGGAAGTGGCTTCTTGTTCGCGCACCGTCCGATGGTCTATATAGACGTGGGCGCCGGGTACCGTACAACATCCATGCATCTCATTTGAGACCCTCTTCTCCTTCACTTACAAGCTACTCTCAGGTAGAGGATGATTTGAAGACTTTCACCTACTCTAAATTAGTCTCAGGGCGTTCTGGCGCAGTCTGTACAAGGACTTTCATCACACCTTCAGTATGAGAGGTCTTTCGATGCTTTCACCTTCCACAACAGAAGCAAAACTGATTCTTAAGTAAGCGATACTTCTCTCATATCACCACTATTACTTTTATGTCCTATCTAATAAATGAAAAATAAGCACACTGCCGTTGGTGTGAAGGTTCCTTGGAGCCGATATACAGTCCTCACTCGAAGGTCGTGTGTCGATGTTGGAGGTGAATATCCCACAATACTGTCAACTTTTGCTGATGAATTTTGAAATAGTCTGAGCAGTTTTGTGCTTCTAAGTTCTTATAGGTATCCCGTTTTCATATTGCTTGTGGCATAGTGGGGAGGCATGTCATAAGGAAGCTTCACCATTGGAAGGCGCGGATAGGGTTTTAGCTTTTGACTTAGTGATAATCGACCTCTACTGTGGAGGAGATCTTATATACCTCCGACCCCTCTTTCCCTAATTCAGGAATCGGCATTTCTGGCAAGACATATTCAAAACAATGATCTAATATATCGTACAAATTAGGACGGTCATTCTGAGAGCTAAAATCTAAGAACTATAGGGACTCAGGAACCTAGTGCTTCAGCTCCGCTAAGTAGGTGTACTTTATAGGAAGGATCATCGGAACTAGCTCATTTCTGCCCAGCTAAAGGGCACATAGAATCCACAAACCAGCATGGATATAGGCCATTGGAACAACTACTTTAGGGATTTATAGTGATAGGAAGATGTTGTCAACAGGAATCTGGTAGTATTTATCCTACGCCTCTAGTACTACTGGAATTCATTCTTGTGCCTACCTACCCTTTGCCAAGTGAGCAGGTCGAAGTGGTTCTTGTTGCTTTCGTGGGCCAAGAGCACATGGTCACACTCACATGTGCACTCAGTGGCCTATCCGCAGTAGATCTCAGCATTTCCCGTGAGACAATTCTTTGAGTGTGAGTTCACATATAATCTGTCGGCATTCGCGGTCTATGACTTCGCTTAGTCACGTGCTAGACCCCAAATGGAATAAAAGATAAGATGGGCGAGAATAGATAATATTAGAAAACTGTCTGTCCGTCCTTCTGTCTCTGGGATGCTTTTTGTATATGTAGACCGAAATAGAAACATACCAAGCAAACACGGTGAAGAAGAAGCGGTGTAAAGCGGGGTAAACATGATAGATCACAGATAAGAATTGTTCGTACCACCAGCTAGGTACTGTGTACACAGTTAAGTGGACAGTGTGTATGCTCCAAAGCAAAAGTCAATTGATTCGTGTAGATAGATGTTCATGTGTACCAGATCCGGTCCAAAATACCCTGAATCCCATACGCCGATACTCGGTGGTCTCAACACCGGTGCTGCAGCTCCGCGCAAGGTCACCCCAGCACAGGAATGTGATCTATAAGTCGCCAGCGGTAAGTTGCCGCTGGCTTGTTCTGACAAAGGATATGTCCCGACAAGAATAAAGAAATTCCTTTTTCCTCTCATCCCGGACCTAGTCAATTGATCAAGTGACTATGACCCAGCCTTAGAAGTTAGGTGCTGAACCGTGTTAACTTGTAACATAATCCCTATGGGGAAGGTAGGGTACATATAAAAGGCTTAGCATGCCCTAATTTAGCTAAGACTACGCCCATTCTAGAACCTTGGGAGTTACAAGAAGCTACTTTGCCCCTCCCACTAAGCAAGCTAGAACCAGAAAATGGTCCACCGAGAATTGATAGTTCATTTGGATATTACGATCAATATAGTGACCATACTTGACAGCGAATCTCGTTTGGTAAGACCCACCAGGAAACAAATCCGTGATTCGTGTACAATCAAATTAAGAACCCAAAGCCCATGGATTGGACCCAAAACCCATGATGGGTTCGGGTTTAGTTCAGGTTTTGATGGATCTTGCCGAAATATAGGCCCTCACCGCCAGGTGGGGGCCGCTACTAGGCACTGCTATGCTACACCTTGCTTTTTTCAACTAATGAACCTTCTAGCGCTGATTATTATCTATGGAGATGTTTCACTGCAGCATTTCGCATTTGATCTACATGAGTATTGAAATCCAAGATCTTTGAAACGGTGGCTAGTTGGATATGCGCCATTAGTGTAACTACTAGTTTCCCGCCCACAATATTTTCCCATCCTTCTGGTAGTTATTCCAATGATCTTTATCCAGGCGATCGAATTGTGGATTCCATGTGGCTCCCCTATTACGTACTGCCCCACAACTAGCTTTGCTCTTCAGCTGGACAGAAGCGAGCTAGTTCCGATGATTCTTCCTAAAACGTACATCGGCAATTAGCCAAGCTGAACAATAAGGCTTCTGGCTCCCTCTAAGGTCGATCTTGGATCTTAGCGCCGGAATGGCTGGACAGGAAAAGGTGCGAGTGGGGCAGGTGGCGAGTCCATTTAGAGGTCGAAGTTTCAGAGGCGCAGCGAATAAGAAGACTGCTTGAATAGAGCAAGAACCTCTATACTACCTTCATATCGGCCTCCTCTTTTGTCCTTTATTTACATCTAATTAATTGACTTGGAACCTATATCTAAAGAAGGCTAGCGAGAATTACTCTCATTTAAAAGCTGGCTTGTATGCGGACTGGTCAGACAAGGGGTCTCGTTTCAGCATCGCGGAACGCGACTGTTCTATCAGCGAATGCTAAGTAAATTGCTTGGCATTACTCAATCATGCATACAACAATGCGGCTAGCTATGGAGTATGTGGCTAAAGACACTATCTATTAATTTCAATGAATCAAGCCGATCACTTAGCTGGATCTCCAGGAATGTAAACATAAGCAGTAAGTCGTGTAAACAGAAGAAACCTATAAATTGGACGAAAATTCCAGGCACTTGAACTAGTCTTTAAAATTCTAACCCGTTTAATTAAATCAGACAGCTTGCGCTTTACATCTTACCTCCAATCAACAATCACCATTTCATCAATATGAAGACCGTCCTTACCCTCGGTGCTCTTGCGGCCATTTTCCAGTCTGCTTTTGCTCTCCAAGGAGGAAGTTATACGATCGGATCGGCTGATCTAGCCAGCAATCAAGTCCTGAGTGACTTGGGCCAAGCTAATGACCCTTTGGTTTTCTCCGACAAGAACAACCACCCTTACCAAACTTGGTTCTTCACCGCTAGAGGCAGTCAGCGCGACTTTGTGATTCAAAACCTTAGTGGCGGCTATATCAACTGTGTTGAGCCAGGCTCTCCTTGCGTTTCCGGAGACGAGGAAGAGATTTACACCGTGGAGCAAGTCACCGATAACGGCTATGAGCTCGTTGCAAAGAAGACTGGATACTTCTTGCGCGCCGACGGCCAATACCTGCAACTTGCTGAATACAACAACAAGCCCGATGAGGAATTTATCCTGACTCCGACTCAATAGTGGGTGAAGACGCGATTCTATTGGATGTTACCAAGCTAATGAAATTCCAGAGAGCTGCGCAGGCAATAAACGGATTGCTGGTTTTACCGAAATCATGGGTTATTCAGGCAAATATCAACTCGGATAATGCTCTGAGATCACATCGAGCCACGAATTCAAAATTATACAAAGTTTTAAATACAAATTTGAAGTTTGGAACTCTCACGTCTTTTTCACTTCATTCAAAGACGGAAGCAAGATTGAATTAGCTTCACTCGCTGAAAATTATAGGCAACCGCACGCGTCTATAAATAAGCTATCCATCCCCATCGTCGAAGAAAACATGTCTATGTGGTTTACTGTAGCGCTGTTATCGGGGTTCTGGCGCTCTGCACCTCGATGACCAGATGGGTGGGCTCTTATACATTCTGTGGCCATCTCCTTCAAGAGATCATACCAAAGCGGTACCTCGACTTTATCAGTAAGGTCTGCCATCGAGATAGACTTCTGGCTCTCTGGGGGTTCGGCTAGCTCGATATGTAGTCTCAGCATCAGATATTCGAGCAGTGCAATTGCAGAGCTGATTCCATCGCGAGATCCTTAAACCAGTGTCATCGTGTAATGCAATAGAATTGTTCACATAAACGTTGTGTGTGTTTGACGACTAATTTACTTTAAAGAACGAGGAGAATTCCTCTATTTGAGAATAGAGCTGACTAAGTTTTTCAGATTACTTGCTGCCGTACTTGTTTTTGATGAGAGTATATCTTTCGTTTTTGCTAGATATCCAGGACACTTAGCGATTTCGTTGAAGGATTCGTCCATGTTTAGCCTAACAGGCCACTCTTCGGTTGTTGATTTTCTGCTTGATAGACTTTCCTTAAGCTTCAAATAAACTGCATGTTGGTACCGCTCAATTGAATCAATTCAGCTATAGCACTTCACACTTAGGGCTAAAATGAGATACAGCAGTACAACCCTTCATCCTGTGGTCGATACACAGTAAGTATCCTTTACTGCCTGGAACCCCAACTATACTCGCTTCCTTTGAGAGTATTCAAGTATGTTTCTTCTTAGAAGTCTCAGCTCTTTAAGCCACCGCGGGGCCCGATAGAACTAATCAGCCACCGCAGTTGATATGTCGGCCGGGCTATAAGTTCAGGGCTGTTACGGACCCTGTAACGCCGCACCCAGTGGAGGGTCCGCAGCTTATTGATGGGCCACCGAGAGCCAATCGTTCTGAGGGAATGGTACTTTAACACCCAAGTCACGTGTGTATCCGAATAGTCAGGCATGCCCTAGACCAACGGCCGCGAACCATCTCAACAAAGAACGCCAATACGGCATCGCCAGGAAACCAGTTGGTTACAAAACGGAAAACCCAGATTGGTGTCACTTTTACCATCACCTACACTACGCCATAGGCACAAGGGCCCGGCAAGGCCACACGTGACTCCAGGTATACCATGCGGTATACCAACTGGCAGATGGAAGACCCGGAACGAATCCAACTACATAAACACCTCTAATCTGACAATGGTCAGTTAGAGCGCCGGAACGGCACAAAATCAGTATCCAGCGCGTCGAAATTGAAACATACACAGAGTAGACCCTCCAACACACTGTCCTAGTATCTTGCACAAGCCCCAGAACCCGCGCACCTTGCCAATTTATTAGCATCTCTTCTCCAGGCTTGAGTCCATGACTCAAGAGATGGTGAAAAGATAACCCCACGAAGGGGATGCCAAAGAATACGCCGCAGAGACCCCCGAGGGAGCCTCAACAGATGGCCAACGCGCTGTGTAATGCGGTGGACAAACTGTGGTGAGCCGCCCTCATGACCGCGGCCCACCCCAACTAGGTAAGTATGAAGAGGAAAGAAAAGAGGAGGAAGGTGCAAGGTGGGAGGTGGTATTTATACCTGAGAGGGCGGAGGGATTTGGCAGTTTCAGCAGGACTGGACCAATCAGGGGCATTACCACTGATATGTGCTGGTTCGGGAGAGCTGGGCCGAGGGGTCTCGGGGTAAGATTTGTCGATTTGTACTACTGTATGGGTGTTTGAAGGAAAATAGGTATGGAATGGGCTTTGAAATTGATTTGCATGTGGTTTTGGACTGCGCAAGTTTTAGTTCAGCACCTAAATTACTCCATTGCACTTTTCTAGGTTGAAGGTTGATCTATGTCTAATGCGAAGCGCGCATACTCCTCAAACCCCATCAGAAACATTATCCCCAATCTCATTGACCTGCACACAAGTATTCTCGTAGCAAAACGTCTTTCCAATTTCAATTTGGTTCCTCATCAACCTGGTGTATATTAGCAACGCTCACATCGTCTTTGGGAATTGGTCCACTCACGCTTGATACCGCTGCATATTGACCATCTCCTTCTCTGCGAGCACCCTCAACGCAACCCTCATATCATTGACGAGACTATCACACCGGCTTTGACTAAACTCCTCCCGCACAACAACACGCATCATACTCATGCTCTCACAATCCGCAGCCATCGTATAAGCGGGAACAATCCACCCCTTCTCACGGAGTTTGGCAGCGAGAGCGAACTCATCAACTACGATGCGTTGTTCTGGGCTGAGTCTGAATGCCACAACGGGTAGACCATCTCCGCCGCCTGTGCTCATAATTGTGAAGCCGATTTCACGGAGTTGTGAAGTGAGGTAGTCGGCTGTGTGTGTGAGGTTGGTCATAATGGATGTATATCCTTTCCGACCGAGTCGAATGAACTGGTAGTACTGCGCGATGATGTGGGACGCGGACTTGGAGAAGTTGAAGGTGAAGTTCAGCTGTTCTGCGCCCAGGTAGTTTATGTTGAAGATTAGGCCGGGTGGGAGGTAGGCTGATGAGCGCCAGAGGGCCCAGCCGATGCCTGGGTAGACCTGTATTCACGCATCATTAGAAAACCGATATAATCCTAGTCAAAAAGAATGTACTTACAAGCCCGTACTTATGCCCCGAAACATTAATCGACACCACATTCGACAACCGAAAATCCCAAATAAGGTCAGGGTTAACGAACGGCGCAACGAACCCACCACTAGCAGCATCCACATGGATAGGCGTATCTAGACCCCGCTTAACGAGCAGATCATTAATACCCTTCACATTCTCATACTGACCAGTATACGTCGTTCCAAAAATGGCGCAAATCCCAATCGTATTCTCGTCGACTAGATCCACGGCCGCGACGGGGTCAATCACGTATCGAGTCTCTGTACAGGGAACAGTCTTCTCATCTATCTCGAAGTATCGAGCCGCCTTTTCCCAACAGACTTGCACACCGGTGCTCATGATGATATTTGGATTGGATGTTGGTTTGCCTTCTTCCCGACGACGGTTCTTCCAGCGGGTTTTCAAAGCTAACACGCCTAGCATGATCGCTTCTGAGGACCCGATACAGGCAGTGCCCAGTGCTGTGGGCTTGCTGTTGAGCATCGGCGAGTTGAAGAGGTTGGCTAGGATGGTTATGCAGCGTTTCTCGGTTTCGACGGATTTGGGGTATTCTTCGTGGTCGATTATGTTTTTGTTGGTCGATTCGGCGATTAGTTTTTCGGCTTCTTCCTCCTGAGTTTTGTTAGGATCTGGATTTGTTGTTGTTTTCTAGAGCTGCTTACCATGTATGTCGTGACGAAGGTGGCCAGGCTGTTCAACGACGTCAGTACTGTCCGAAACGCGGTTGTTTCATACATACTTCAGCATCGGATGCCCGTCCAGAACGAGTTCATCTTTGATCATTCGGTAAGCGACTTCCTTCGGCATTTCGTCGTCGGGAAAGGTGTCGGATGGCATATGTTGGGAGGCGAAGCGGGAGCCGTAGACGTTTGAGGTGCCTTTGGACCAGCCGGCGGGTTGTGTAGATAGCTGTTCAGACGCCATAACTGCGATTTCATGCGATTGAGCAAAATTGCGATGCAAAAAAAAACGCTATTGAGTTGATTCCAGCCAGACCAATTTATAGTTTGACTCACATTTAATGCTGAAAAATCACGCAGCGAGCGCGCAATGAGGGATTTTGGCCACCCGTAGAAAGGGCGCACCAAAACAACGGGGTGATTTCCTTCACCACTTCGCCTTCTCATTCCACCCGTCTCAACCACTCCCACTTTTTCGATAGCCACAACCCTACCTCGGAACCTTGACCAGGTGTAAGTAAAGTAGTAAGTGCCCCATCCTCTCTTTGCTTCCAATCTCTTACAGCCAAGCTTTCTAGAAACTCGGCACCGGCCCGAACTCGCAGGCTTGGTTCGAACCGAAACATGCGCCACCCCTGGATTCGGGCCGCATTGTTCGTTCTGTGATCTCTGGGAGAGAGTGCTCCAGGGTGACGTTGTGATAGGTGGATTGCTGCAATGTCGATCCTTGCAGTTCATCGACTGTGGATACCTTGCGTGGATGGGTCAGGTCAAGCTTTGTGGCATGTCGATCGGGTCTCGCCTCTCGTCTGCCCTGCGGTGGTGTCTCTGCGGTCTTTCCGATGGACTGCCGAATACAGGATTACCTGCGCATCGTGGACAATAGCTTGGTACAATAGCTTGGTCAGGCTACGCTAGTGTGTTTCTGTAGGTGGCATGATCTGCTGTGGATACAGTTAAGTCAACATCTAACCCTGGCCTCAGAAATCGATGTGCGAATACAGTGATACGTCTCAGAGCACTGATCTCTACATCTCGGCGAAGCTGTCTAACCCTGACCAAAGGGGTATCCTCACAACGTACACAATGCCTCGTCCGTTTCTCTCCAGGGCGCATTCCGGTCCGACATTCTGAAATCTACGCGATCATTCCTCATATACCCTCAAGCGATTTCAAAAGGCCCGTTCGCCAACAAAATATGTCCGCCGACGTCTACCCGAGTTCATAGCCACCTAAGCGGGGGTCAGTGATGGTTTCGGGTTCCCGTTTCTACTGCGCTTACTATCGCTTCTTCGCTACGCTGATAAACCCAGCGCCAATTCCACTGCACAAGGGCTGGCTCGGGGAGAAAGATACGGGTTGCCTCGGGGATGGTGTTGGTCGTGCCTTGGCCCATTGGGCGCTTGACGGAGCTTTATACATGATCGTCCTCGGCCAGGAGTATGGCTTGTTTCTTGGATTTGTCTGTCGAAATGCGTTGAATCTTGCGCCAAGATGGAGGTGGATTGATAAAGCGTGCTTCTGCTTGATTCCGTTTGCCATTGGGGTGAGTCCTCCCTCTCTTCTCTTCACCAACCCCCACTAACTAACCAGATCTTTGTCGCCGGTGCATGTGGCTGCTTCAGAACTGACGAACCGGTGGCTTTCTTCATTCCCGGCGGTGCCTTGAACTGGGATGGCAATTATCACGGCGAGATCGAAACAAGACACGACTCCTTGAACCAACCGTCGAAACAGTCCGTAATTTTGTAACATTCATCTTCATTGGCGCAATGATGCTCTGGGAGACACTCCATCTTTCAGATAGTACAGGAATCACCATCTCACGACTAATAACACTCGGCATGCTACTCCTACGCTTCCGGCGTATCCCATCAATACCGCCGGGCCACCGCTTTCTGCCGAATGTCTGCAGGAACTGGAAAGAAGTGCTGTTTATGGGTTTTTCGGGCGAATCAGTACGTTCTTCCCTGTCCCAATTAGGCCATTGCAAGCTCCTAACCACTGTAGGACTCGAGGCAATCTCCTACGTCGAATACGCGCGCCGTCTCCTCCCCGACCCTGGTAATAGCGATTCCGAGATAAATACCCTCACCGTGCCGAGTATTGAGGATTGTCCTGTTGAGGTCCTCATGCTGTCGCAAAATGAAGCTACTTCCGAATAGTTGTGTTGTTCATCCACGGGGGCGTTCGGTTGTTGTTGAAAAACGTTTTTCAACAATTTCGGCAGTCGGGGGGTCAGTTTCCATGGATTTTACGACTGGCGATGAAGATGCTTTTCAGTTAAGGAATAGGAATAGTGCACCGTGCCAGAGCCTTTCTTCCACGAAGGAGTCCTTTGCTCAAGTTTGTTGAGTTTCAGCAGTCTTCAATGCCGCTGAGGCCATGAGGGCTACTATGCCATCCTCCCTGGTTCGCGCTAGCCTTATACGGTAACGCGGATCTTCGGGAAGTGTGTATAGCACACTTCCACTCAGGGGTTATCTTAGATTATTAGACATCTTCAATATTGATTCATTGCTGGCTTAAGCGATTCCCTCCAGATCCTATCCTTCGTCGCAACAAAGTTAAACAGGTCGAAAGGGCAGGGTTTGATCAGGATATATATCTGGCTCCAACACGAGAGTTCTCGGCGTTCATTCGAACTATCACACTTTCCATGTCACGTTGAGATCACTCGAATGGCATCATATTGCAATGCGAATATGAATTCACACGAATTGCAAAGAAAATCCCACCCGAACCATTTTCACACCAGGTGCTGGAATTATGAACCTCGGCCCATGCAAAAACCAGTCTGGTTTGTCTCCACATCGCGAAACAAGCAACCTTCCCCACTGATCAGCACGCATGATCTCATCCTCGGTCGGACGAACCCACATGCGCCGATCGCAAACACTTATAGACAAGCCAGTCCCGTGGGGAAGCTAAGCTCTTCCACAATCCAGAAAAAGTGCCACCATGTCGTACGTCTGGCATACCCAACCCTATACAGCCGCATGCTAATACCAGCGAAGCTCAATACTAACAACCCTCGGCCTCCGCGCCGCTCCCAGCCAAGCGGCTCCCAACCACGCAACCTCCTTCCTAATCGCCAACTGGGCGCTGGCGTACTGCCTAATGAGCACGCGCGGCACAAAGATACGCCTCGGACTGGACCACAACGTTTCTCCCCGTGAGGACCTGAGCAAGTACGGCGAGGCTGCTGTGCAGTCTGGCAAGATTTCGCGCGCGCGATTGAATCGTTTGAAGCGTCAGGAGGCGGCGCATGCTAATGCTGTCGAGGGGTATTCGCTCTTCGTCGGTGCCAGTAAGTGAATGCTTAGTGAGATCGATGTGAGGTGTGGATGAGGCTAATGTGATGTGCAGTTCTCTCCGCGCTCGTTGCTGGTGTGGATGCCGAGACGATTAACACTGTTGGTGTTTGGTATACGGTTTCGCGGGTTGCGTTTAGTCTTTGTTATTCGTACATCGAGGATCCCAAGCTGAGTTATCTCAGGTCTGTTGCTTGGTGGTCTGGGAATATTTCTTGTATTACGGCGCTTGTGCAGGCAGGGAAGAAGCTTTGAGGGTTTGCAGTGATGGATGACTGAGATTGTGAGAAGCTGTGCTTAGGTTATGATAGTGTACTGGGATGGTGAGATTATGAATGCAATTGGGAATTTCGAGAATTGTGTTAAGTGCAGTATGTGTACATCAGGTGGAGTTTTTAAGTGACTCGTAGGTGAATGCGAAGATTCAAGGGCAGCCCAACCTCTCCGTGGGTTTAAGACAAGATGGGGGAGGACTCATTGCCCGAATTACTAGGTAGGCTAAGCGATACAAGGTGTGTGAGTGATTTCTCTTCACTGAAGAAGTTTCGAGGGAATCATGGTTACCGTAGAGAAGTAGCAAAAGCCACCAGACAAGAGGCATGTGGAGTCGATCTGTGGGTATTCTGAACAGCGCGTAAGAGAGAGGAGCTGTGATGGATCAAGGCGGACCTATCTAGGTACGGTCAGCTCTGCATTTATAGATCCAACAAGAAGACGTACGTCAAATTCGCAATAGAAAATGCGACAAAAAGATCAAAACTGAGAGTGCCATGAGCAGCGAAGATTTCGAGATCGCATGAGACAAAATTTGGAAGACAAACACCTGCCGTCCGCACCTTCCTCAAACCGCAGCGCCTGCCTCGTCCAGAAACAGCCTAGCGCGGGTTCACGGGCATATATATCCCCCAAATCTCCCAACATTCCTCATCTTCTCTTCCCTCAAATTGCGCACTGTACGGTTATGATGACGCCGAGTCCCCACCCGCAGATTATACTGCCTGACGCGTATCTGTGAGGAGGATTCCGAGATCGTGCTAGGTACCTGCTTCAGATGGCCCGAGCCGTCTGGGAATTTTTGAAACTTTTTCGGGTCCCTTGTTTTCATCGGGCTCGCCTTTTCATTGCTTGTTGCCCTTGTGGTGGCTTGTAGGGAAGAAGTTATATCTCATGGTGTTGTTATCCTGCTATAGGGCTGGGATAAGGCCTGATGGGTGCGTAGATGGCCGCGAACAAAGCATTCGCCTTGGGAATTCTATTCACTGTCCTTGGCTTAATATCTTCTGGATAGGAAAGAGGTACTGCGGATAGTAACTAGCCATATATACGAGGAGAAAATCAGCCTTGAGGAGGGTGTTCGTTTGGATCTCCTACTGTTAATGTATACCGAGATTGCTATAGGTCGATACAAATATCCCAGGCACTTAAGTATAGTCCTCGGAAATTATGAATGGCACAAGGCAGACAGAAACACTGTTATTTAGGCCCTGTAAACCATGTAGTTAACTAACTATTCACTGGTCGCCGACAGAGCTGCCCGTGACAGTACTGCTTTCCCAAACGGGACTAGCGTCTCACCACCCGTGGGTATAAACATTGCGTGCCAGTTCGCGTGTTCCTCATCTTCTCTTCCCTTTTCATACTTACCAAGTTGCGGTCTGCTGTGGTCATGAGTGCGGTCCACCATAATTTGTCCACCGCATTGCACAGCGCGTTGGTCAGCTATTGAGGCACCTTCTGGGAGACTCTGCGGCGTATTTTTTGGCTTATCCTTCGTGGGTTCTTTTCATCATCGTTCGAGTCAGTGATTTGAACATGAAAGAGAAATTGTAGATTACCTCACCTATCTGTCACATGTTTACCAACATCAATCTGCCACCTCCTTCCGCCTACGCAGGCATAAATATCATATTTCGAGTTCCAAAATTTTCCCCTTCCCTTCCCCAGGTATATACTTCCATTCTCTTCCGGGTCGTCCATGATCATGAAGATGGGCGGCCACACAGGGTCCATTCTCTTCCCCGTCCCTCCGCCTTCCCCTGGGACCCCGTGTCAACTGCGGTTGCGGGCATATCTTTTGACTTTCCCTTCGTGGGCTCTATCTTTTTCATCATCTCTTAGGTCAATGGCTTGAGGATGGAGAAAATGAGACTTTTGGGTGGGACACTAGATGCGAAGATGGCAACATTGTGCTATGTAGAGTCGTGATAAGTCTGTTGTTCGACCGTTTATTGCACGTGATAAGCGACGGGCTCTTCATCTCCTGCCTCACTATCTTACGCATCAACACTTCTCCATCGTCAATGGCAGCAGGTAGCGCTAACTTACTACAGTGACATAGCCTACGCTTCTTGAACAGTCATTTTCTGCTGTATTGAGTTCCTCCGGGTTGTTAATGGCTGTTGGTGACTGTTCAAAGATCACGGTCGGTAGCTGGCCGCGACGGGCCGTGCCACGGCTATACAGTAAGTCAAAAGCACCTCCCTCATCCGTTCTCACTAAGTCATGAATCTCATTCTGGCGTCAATAAATCTTGGCTCTCATTTCACATCTGTTAAGGTTGCTGAACAAGACATCGCTATTCATACCCAACATCCTGGCCCGATTGAGATAAATCAGATGATCTATGCCCGCGCCGCGCCAAGGCGCCTCGATGATACAGGCATATTGAGCTCCGATTGCGAATATTACATACAAAATCGCAAGCCATTTATCACCAGGCTGCGCCTTCTGTCGAAGGAATTCTAATACTGTGCAGTGAAGAGAAGTCGGTTAACGATGGGGAAGAATAGGTGAAAGGTTCCTCAGATAATCCTTGAAGAATTTATCGGCTAGCTGTCGCGGTGGAACAGCATATATTTCAAAATGGTGCAGGAGCAGAGATATCCGGTTCGTCCAAGTGGTAGTTTACTGCATGAAGAGCATGTTGCCAACTTGCTGCTTGCTTTGGTCATGGTCTAGGAAACCTGGCAACAACTGTGAACGGTGTTCCGCTTCTATCTGCACTTACCGGTCTGGGCTGCCTATGATCACGAAGATGACCACCATTCATGATCCTCACGTTCTTCCTCGCAACATCACATCACCGTCCATCACCATCTTCACGTCATATCATCATCTCCAGATACTGCAGTACGGTATCCGTTGCTTCTTCTCGCTCGGGTTGTAATTAATCCCCACACCGCTGCCACTCTGCACGTACTGATTGGTGGAGAATCTCTCTAGCCCACGCACAAATCACCATGTCCAAGACGGTACAATACACCCCGACCACAACATTCGCCTACACAAGGCTACACCTCTCCATATCCCAAACTCACACCCACGTCCTTCATCTCCGCATCTTGGCGTAATGCGGAGAGCTCCCCCTGTGATCGGGCATTCTTCGGCTCGTCCATGTTGATCTTCCCCGACACGGTAAACACGCCAGTACGCGATTCTACAGGCGGAGAAATGCGTGGATTCCCCGCTTGCCAATGCTTGCTTTGAATCCGGGGAAATAGAGCGGGTGCTAGGTGGTGAGTATTTAATAGCGGATAGCCCAATTGAAATTTTCTTTTCCGACACGGTCTAGTTGAGCCTTCAAAATGAAGTTCCTTGCAATTGCTGCGCTCTTCGCCGGCGCCGTTAGTGGTCTCGCCTCCAGTCACCTTATCCCCGGTGCGCAGATCATTCCAGCAAAGGATACAGCTGCGCTGCGAAAGGTTGGCGCTCACGGACGGAAGTACCCCGATCGACGAACCGTGACGATCCGCCCTTCGAAGAATAACACCGATGATGTCTCAGATGATTTCCTTTGGGGAATTAAGCAAGCGAATCACGGTGGACGACTGTTGTTAAAGAAGGGGAAGACCTACATCATTGGCAAGAAGTTGAATCTGAGCTTCTTGGATAATATCGAGGTGCAGCTTGAGGGGGAGATTAAGGTATGTTGGTTTGTCCTGTGGTTGAATGCAATTGCTGATTGGTTCTGGTAAAGTTCACGGATGACATCGAGTATTGGCAAGCCAACAACTTCTACTACGATTTCCAAAAGTCAATTACCTTCTGGGTCTGGGGTGGTCAGGATATCAAGATTTTTGGGTCCGGAACGCTGAATGGGAATGGGCAGGAGTGGTATAATGCGTTTGCTGGGCGTGAGATCTTGGTAAGCGTCATCAGTGTCTGCAGGTCAGCCAATTGCTCATGGTATAACTTCAGGATTCGAGCAACACCTTCTACCGACCTATTCTCTTCCTGACAGACAACGCCACTCGCGTCAGCGTCGAGGGTATCACGCAGCTCAATTCGCCCTGCTGGACGAACTTCTTCGTTCGTACGAATGACGTTTCTTTCGACCACGTCTTTATCAATGCCTACTCGACCAATGCTTCAGTAAGTACACCTCACACACCGCAGACTAGGTAGCCACATCTGACATGTATTTGTAAGGCCCTCCCCAAAAACACTGACGGCTTCGACTCCCTAAACGTCAACGGCCTCAGGGTAACAAACACTCGAATCGACATCGGTGACGACTGCTTCTCGCCGAAACCGAATACCTCCAACATTTTCGTGCAGAACCTCTGGTGCAACAACACCCACGGTGTCAGCATGGGTAGTATCGGGCAGTACTCGGGCGTGCAGGATATCATCGAGCATGCGTATATTGAGAATGTGACACTGTTGAACGGACAGGTAAGTCTTACTATCCCCTGGCTGAGAAAAGTTCAAAAGTGATACTGATACTGATTTGTGGGATAGAACGGCGCCCGCCTCAAAGCCTGGGCTGGCCAAGACGTCGGCTATGGCCGCATCAACAACATAACCTACCGCAACATCCACATCGAGAACACGGATAACCCCGTCGTGCTGGATCAGTGCTACTTCAATGTTAACGCGACCGAGTGTGCGGCGTATCCTTCCTCCGTCAACATCACCAATATCGTCTTTGATAATATCTACGGCACTTCGTCTGGTAAGGAGGGCAAGGTTGTTGTTGATTTGACTTGTTCGCCGAATGCGGTTTGCTCAGACATTCATCTTTCGAATATTGATATTACGAGTCCAGCGGGCAGTCCGCCGGAGATTGTTTGTGATGGGATTGATGGGGATATTGGAGTTGAATGTGTTAGTTCAGCTGATGCTGAGTGAAGATGAGATATGGGGTGTTGGTAAAAGATTGGCGTTTGACGTTGAGCATGTCCGCAGTCCAAGAGTGTTTAGTCGTAGTCCTTTAACTGAAAAACGCGTTGTGTCGTAAAAGTACCACTTAAATAGCCCCGAGCCGTAAGATACTGTACGTAATTGCGAACATTCTGAAGGAAAGGGCTACCAGAGCTAACTGTTAAAGCGAGGGGCTGGTGCGTCGTGGCTGATCCTTGATTGGCTTGGCGGGTCATGGTATCTGAACAGCTGGCCACCCCAAACAATCCAGCACCGCGCTACGAAGGGACAGAAAATCATGAAATATCTAGTGGAAAAATGGATCGAATGCAACCGATTACTGAAAAAGAATGAAGACGAGCTGTTCGAGTGTGCATACACTGTTGGACAGTAATCGCGCCCGTATAGGCCTCAGTAACAGGGCCCACGCTGACACCGACGGTGGCGCAAATACGCGACAAAGTCCGAACCGTCGGAGATGAAACACGTTATCTCGGAGCAAATCAACAAATTGAGACCTCGTAACCAAGGCTTACACCCGAGTCCAATAAAGCAACTGTCACGTCGGGCCAAGTGCGCCACGGCGGCGCCAAGTCGCCAAGCGGGAACAAGCATTATCCACGCGAAACCCTCAACAAAGCGTTTTCAACGCTCTGCGCAGCAGCTCAAACACAACGCAGACAGCTATATCTGTCAGCAGGTAAGTAAGATAAAGATCTCAATCGAAGCACACGCAGGACGCAGGCTTACAATCCCGTGCGGGTGACAGTATCAACGCCATTGGCCTCTCCACACCCCACAATTCCCACAGGGCAGAAGATATACCCGACAATAACAACCAACAACGCCTAGTCTCACCCTATCTCCGCTGAGTTCGTCGAATCTGGGGGTGGAGAGCCCCGCCCCCGGATTGACGGGTGTGGGAGAAGTCGGTGGTGGATGGTTGTATAAAGGGGGATGCCATCTTGTCCAGCGAGGATGCCATAGAAGTCACAGGTTCTATCGCGATGGAAAAAACCAGCAACAACTCCCAGCACGTCGAGGGCGCCCCGACGCTCGAATCGGGCAAGAATCAGGCGTTTTACGTCGAGGATCGTGTCGCACATCTCTCGGAGGAACATCGCCAGTATCTTCTTGCCAGACATGGGACGTTGGATCTCGATCCCATTCCGGATATGAATGATGCTGATCCATATAATTGGCCGACCTGGCGGGTAAGTCTACTCTACAGAGTGAAGAGATAGGAGATTGCTGATATACGTAGAAAACACTAAACCTCTCCCTTGTCGTCTTCCACGCCATGATCGGCCTCTTCACAGCAGCCTCAATCCAATCCGCCTTCGTCAACATCTCCGCCGACCTAGGCGTCAGCATGCAGAGGACCAGCTACCTAGTCTCCCTCTTCATCGCCGTGCTGGGCGGCGCACCGCTGTTCTGGCGTCCGCTCGGTAATCGGTTTGGCCGACGGCCAATTTTTCTTATCTCCTTGATTTGTAGTCTGGTTGGGAATATCGGCTGTGCGGAGAGCCATTCGTATGGGACTATGGGTCTGTGCCGCGCTATCACGGCCTTCTTCATTTCGCCAGCAGCCGCGATTGGGTCTGCTGTTGTCGCGGAGGTTTTCTTTAAGCGTGATCGTGCGAGGTGTATGGGGTACTGGACACTTATGGTTACTATCGGTGTGCCTATTGCGCCGTTTCTGTTCGGGTTTGCGGTTATGCGGGTTGGGTATCGGTGGATTTATTGGACGTTGGCAATTGTGAGCTTCACTGCCTTCCCCCCTTTACCCGTTGGTCGTTACTTACATCTTTTAGGTCAACGGCATCCAATTTATCCTCTACCTCCTCCTCGGCTCCGAATCCCTCTATCTCCGCAACGAAACAGCCTCAAGCAACGTCACAAGCGTGAACGAAGGCATGTTTAAATTCCGCCGCATCGACCCCACACCCCTACGGCCCTGGGATTTCATTCAACCACTCTCATACGTCGCTAAACCCTGTGTCATGATTCCCGCTGCCGCATACGCAATGATCTTCCTCTGGGGAAGTATAATGCTTACAATCGAGATCCCGCAGATCTTCCCCGAGCAGTTCGGCTTCAATACACAGCAGGTCGGCATGCAGTTTCTGGGATTGATTATCGGGTCTGTGCTTGGTGAGCAGATTGGGGGCTTAATTTCTGATCGCTGGATGCTGCTGAGACAGAAGAGGGGGGGTGTATACCCGGAGCCGGAGTTTAGGCTTTGGTTGAGCTATATCGGTCATGCGCTTACGGTTTGTGGGGTCGTGGTTTTTTGTATCCAGCTGGGTAAGGCTGGTGAGAGCTGGAATATAACGCCTATTGTTGGGGCGGCCGTTGCGGCCAGTGGAAATCAGATTGTTACGACGATTAATATAACCTACGCGGTTGATTGTTATCGGGCTGATGCGGCGAGTGTTGGGGTTTTTATTACTTTTGTGCGGCAGATGTGGGGGTTCATTGGACCTTTCTGGTATGCTTTGCAAGACTGTGCTGTGAAGATGTTATACTAACTCATTGCAGGTTCCCTGAGATGTTCGAGAATGTTGGATGGGGTGCTGGTGCGGGTATTGCGGTTGCGTTGATAGTGGGTGTTAGTGTGATACCTACAGTTCTGTTGCAGTGGCAGGGATCGAAGTGGCACTGAACGGAGGGCGTCAGTGCTAATCTGTGAATCAGATCTTACTGTATCTTAATTTGTAGATAGTGTTGAAATCCTACGCAGGTGGTCTCATGCAGCTTGATCTTGTCGCTCATGGTTCTCTTCCTCATGTCCCAGAACTTAGCCTAGGGATGGTGAAAGCCCGGGCCGACGAAGGGAAGTGCAAAAATGTCCGCACTACCACGAGGGTCATTGAATCTCTAGAGACGAAGCAATCCCTGAAATATTCAAGGATGATCCTTGCAAAGTAGCGGGCATAGATAATACGATGACCAGCCCGTGCAGAGCAGATATGCTATCCTTTCTCCATACCCGAATCCCTGACTGAAGCATGATGAAAAGGTGGAGTAACCCCACGGAGGGGATGCCAAAGAATACGCCCAGGAGCACCCGAGGGTGACTAGACAGGCGACCAACGCGCTGTGCAATGCGGTGGACGGTCTGTGGTGGACCGCCCTCTTGACCGCGGCCCACCTGAACTAGGTAAGTTTGGGGAGGGAAGAAAGGAGGGAGAGAAATTTGGCGGACAGCTGATATTTATACCCTAGACAGGCACGTGCTGGATTCCTGCCTGGTTGGTGGCTGGTGTCACGGAAAAACACACAGCTATCCGCGATGAACGATTTTGGCGGCATGTCTTGACGAAGGAGATCCTGGGGACTGCTGAGCTTGTACGGCTACTGGGATACATATCTTTCCTGCTACCTTCGCAGGTGAAGTAGAGGTCTTGATCTGATGGTAGCGAGGAAGGAACTTTGTGCTGGGGGGAGGTGTCGTATGAAAGGCTTTGTTGAGCAGAAACTTGATCAACGAAGTCATCGTCATACACAGGCAGCTGTCTATGATCAGTCGAAGAAAGTGAAGGATGGACTGAGAGATTGTTGAACAGAATGATCATCGTTTATATGGTTCGACAAGGAGATGCCCCCGACTCGTAGCATAACCGACCAACACCCCTCTTCTCCATCCTCGAATCCATGACTCAAAAGATGATGAAAAGAATCCCCGAAGGGAAGTGCTAAATATTATGCCCCCCAGCCCGCCGAGGCTGACTGAACAGGCGACTACCGCGCTGTGCAATGCGGAAGACGATCTGTGATAAACCACCCTCATGACCGCGGTCTACCCGAACTGGGTACGTTTGGAGAGAGAAGGAAGAGAAAGAAGTTTCGGTGGGCGAGGAACTTGGTTTTGTGCAGGGCGTACCACGCTAGTCCCGATCGGGAAGGGGCCTATGGCCTGCCAGAGCGGCCGGGTACGGGAGTTTGAACGGCCATGGCGCAGGTTTGGAAATTAACGAAAGGGTATTGTATGCGTTGTATAATTTTGGTATCTTGAGATGACCATTCTACTCCCATAGTACTGACAGTTTACTATAACAATTTGTTGAAATCACCTGAACAGCCTTGGCCGAGTGATATTCTCAAGTCTGCGAACCAAAATTTCTTCAAATTATCATTACCAGGGAGATACATTTTAATCTCGCCTGCTTTAGCCATGTATTAGTTAAATGGAACTGTCCAAGTGCTTGTGCAGTGTCTGGTTGGGTTCATGCCACCGCGATTCTCTCCTAAAAAATTGACTTCGGTATGGCTCGAACCATTTCGGCATAAAGCATACAGCATGAGTTTCTATGGCCTTCCTGCAAGCTCCTAAATTGGCGAGTGCGTCTTGTTATGTTGACCTTCGCAGTCGCTATGTTTGCATGTCGAGGAAAGTGTCGGCCTTGGAGCAGACTCCGAGAGGTGTTCGACGAATTGTCAAAGGTAAACTCCGTGCGCCGACACAGCACACAGAAAACCAAAGCCACTGTCGGTGCGATTCCATGAGCTGAAAATGATTTCCCTTGCCATGACGTGAGTATGTGTCGGAGTGTTTTCGTATTTCATCAAATGAACTGAAGAATAGTGACCTTGCGTGGTGAGTATCCAAACGATGCAGCCAGCATCATTTCGGTTGAGACCCCGGCACGACAGGCCGCATACGTGAGCATTGGATTGGCATCAATTCGTGATGCAGGGATGTTCTGGACGGAGATGTTCAGAATTAGGAAAGTCTGCTCACAAGGAACGAGTAGATTCCGCATCAATGCATGGATGGAAAACTGCCTCAGACGGAAGGATACTCAATCTATCGATAGTATGATGATGGATCATTCAACCTTATGTTATATCACCGGCCACCGAATAGACACAACGTATTCAAGGGAAGGGTCCGTATGGTGCTGGACTAATGAGAGAAGATCGCAGCACCAAAATGGCGTTGGCGAGGGGTGGGCAAGGTGCCACGAACGTAATGAAGCTTTTTCGATTCCCGAAGATGACTCGCAAAGGTACTTCTGTGGAAAGGCATTACTTGGGTCAGCAGCTGGTAGCAAAGTGCATCGAACCAAAACGAAGAAGTGAATGGGTCGAAGCGTTGCCGACAAATGGGGCCTGGAACGATCAGAGTTGAAAGCATTCGAGGTTGTTGGATCATGGTCGATCGCTGTCTCATACTACCTTTCGCTCACCATGAACGCCAGGAATAACAGAGAGACTACTTCATTCAAAATATATAGTTACTTGCCAGCTTGACTACTCTTCATGGTTGGTCCTCGGGACTGCAGTGCTCTCTAGGTGAGAATCACATAATGCGGGCCGTGTGGACTTGGGTTGGCAAGTGCATCCCCTCAGGTAACACGTGGATGAGACATAGTGTGGTAGAAGCGAGTCGGTGACATCCCTGCGTGTGAAGGTTCGAAGGGAACCTGTTGCTGATGTGTTAATGAGCCCGTCCGGTGGTTGATGTACGGGGATGTGATGTGTAATATTGGATTTTAAACATACTGCTTTGATGCGTGAGAGCCTCACATTTAGCATTTGCTGAAATCAAGAATGTGGTGATGTGGGATATGATAGATGAGTGTAGCTGGAGAAAGAGGGAAGATAAAGCGACTCAGGCGTACACGAACTGAGTGTGTAGGCAACCTCGGGCAGCTTCAAAATCGTCGCGATGCCAGAAAGCTGATGTTGATTCACCGAATTCTCAATTTTTCAGTAAAATTGTGAGCCCATTCACGTTGAGTTCAGGTAATTTCATGTCAACTTCAAAATCCAGAGGCTAGAAAGGCCCTGTGGAAGGTTTTCGCATTGCATTGCAAGTTGAATGATGAAAGAGCCATCCAGCGTCGTATACATTTCTGCAGACAGAAAAGGGCGACCAGATGACCGCCTTTAGCCCTATAATCAGTGCGTTCGTCTGAAGAGCTTCAACAATCTTCATCCACCCCGCTCGAGCGCAGAGTAGACTCGGTCTTGTTCGCCTAAAGTCTTTTGAAACAGATCGGCCTTAGAGTCATTTTGGGGTGCGCTTTCGTGAGCCCTACCTACTTTGAACTTAATGTGTACTTGGTCCGTTTATTGTCTGTGCTCTTCCGGAAAGCTTCGTCATTTATTGTCCACCAATTCGATCGCAGAGCAGACTTGGTGTTGTTTGTCTGGGCGGTCTCTTGGATAGGTATCGGCTGTCAGAGATATTCTGGGATGCGATTTTGGGAGCCACACACTGCATTTCACACATTGTCTGCGATTGTCACAGAGCTACATTATTCTTTATCCATGCCACGTGCGAGGATTGGCCTCTATCCTGTTCGTCTACATTATCGGAGATATAGATGGGTTTTCAGAATTGTTGTCAACCGTGCTTTCACGAAACGTATCTTGCACTTGGTGTGAATTTGGCAAATTGTAAGTGGTGGTCTGAAAATATTCATCTTTTGCTTCCCCTCATTGGAGCGCATATCAGACACAGTCCTGTTTGCCAGGTCAGAAACTGACAAATATCGGTCTTCAGAGCCGTTTTGAGGTGCGGTTTCGTGAGCCAAGCGCCCTGCACCTCCCCCATTCTCTTTGATCGCCCGATCTGAGATAGTCCGAAATGCCTGATTATCTTTGTTCAGCCCAGCCTGAGCGCAAAACAGAGTCAGCCTTCTTCGCCGAACGATTGTTGAGACGGATTGGCTCGTAGAGCTGTTCTGATGTGTGCCCTTCGCGAGCCGTACCCTGTATTTGGTACGCCCTTGACACAGTTGTTTGCGAGAAGAGTCTCTGATCAATAAACTGTAAATAGCACCGGGTGCACTCGGAGGCTACACTTTCGATTATCTGTGAGCGATTTCCATATACAGAAGGGAGTTCGAGATCTGAAAGGTGCAGATAGGAGAGAGAAATAGAACAAAAGCTTCCACCAGCAGCTTGAGGGAAAGGTAATAGTGCCCACCTCATGTCCTCCAAAGGCATGCTATGACGGGCAGGGCAACAAAGTTGTCATACGTGAAGGACGGAAAGTTTCCATTCTTCCTGGAATGTGCTGGATCATGCACGGGTGATACGTTCATGTCAATCATGCTACGTTACGCTGCGTGGCAAACGACATCCGCATCACATCGCCGCCTTAAATGAAACGGCCACATTCCGGACCAAAGCCGCCCCAATGTTGGCGATCGCACAATTCCTTGGCGCCAGAAATGGAATATTATAAAAGGAAGCCCTTTTTTGCTGTCTTCCAACTCTCTTCTTCTCTCCCATCACCAACTTCCAACTCCCTCGAGACTCGATTCTCCTGTCCTGAAGGTCTCCCTAGCCCTTCAGCAGTCCTGTCTGTATATCTACATTCTCGGTTCTCTTATTGACTTTCTCTTCGCCTCTTCGCTCAGGGGCCCGGTGAATGCTCCTCTTCTCTGCGCGTTCCGTGTCAGTCCACACGTATCGGTTCCCACCTTGGTCCGTTGCTCTGTCTAACTGGTCATATCCAGACATCACAAACCTTGATCCGCCTTTCGGGACTCTCACGAAAGTATGAACACGTGCCCACTTCTGCGCCCTTCTCTCAACGAGAAGTGGCCCCACTCGACAGTCCACTCGACAGCAGGAACAACAGGAGGACGACATTAGTCAACGGGCTTCCAATACAACAATTTTGAAGGATATAGATGCGGCAGTCTCTGGTCTTGAACAACCTTCGAGCATTGATGATGTTTGTCGAGGTTTGTCTTTCTCCTACCAAAATGCAAGAGCAAAAACTGACTTGCGTGTTATTTGTAATGCTGCTTTAGGTTTCGCAGTGGTTCGCTCCTACCGCTTCCTCGTTGCGATTCCACCATCGCGTGAACAATATGGCGTTATGTTGGTGATCTTAAATCACCGCTATCCGAGTCCCGTTTTGTTGTGGTCTCTCGTGGATACAAGTACTTCGAATTTGCGAGTTCTTG